ATGAATCATGACTTGGGTGAGCAAATCTATATAATTATAAATATGAGTGACTCTAAGACTAGAGCAGTTCTTAGTGTTAGATCCTTATAGAAAACTGTAAGACCTGTAGCATTTGAGTCTAAGTAATACAATAGTATACAGTGTAACTACCTAGTACATAAGTAGGAACTCCTTACAATTGTCTGTACCCTTAAGAAATAGTGTGTTTACCTTTTTAGAGTATATTTTCATATTTATACTAATTATTATACTCTCAAATACTTGGATACATAGTAGGATCTGTTTAGAAGACAAGCCTAGAAGATAGAGGAGCTCTTCTAGTATGACTACAAGTTACATTACATTAAGAGAGAGGAGAATACAGTTATAGATACACTTTCCTACCACCTAGACTTTGACTCTAACCTGGAAAACAGAAGTCCTACTTAGGAAGCCTTAGGAGGGACAGTTATACAGATCTCTACAGATCCTGATCTTCTTACAACAATTAGGAACAGTTACAATACAGACAAATTCTACTATAAACTGTGTGCCAACCTTAGAAGTATGGAGGGAGCTTGGGAGGATTATAGGCTCTTATACTTAGACAACTGGTTAGTAATTCTGAGTACCAGAAATGTTTGCAAAACCTTGTACCACCTTGTACATAATGAACTAGAACATTTTGACACAGACAAAACATACCTTACTCTACACAACTCATACTATTAGCCTAATATGTGTTAGGATCTTAAGTAGAATTACATTCCTAGATGTAATGTGTGTCAACAGAACAAGAACCTGACTACAAAACCTGTTAGCCTACTACACTTGCTTCTAGTCCTAAATGTGTGTTTTGAGAGTATTATAATTGACTTTATTAGACTATTACTAGAAGACAGTAGATACAATAGAATAGTAACAATGATAAATAGGCTAGGTAGAGTAAACATTAGAATTGAGTCTTATAGGATAGATATAATGGTAGAGGAGTTTGTAGGACTGTTTTTTAATAAATAGTATTACAAAAATAGCTTACCTTAGGAAATTGTTTCTAATAGAGACTACTTGTTCCTGTCTGGATTTTAGTCTGTATTGTATACACAAACAGGCATAAAGTTAAAGATGTTAACAGTATACTACTTAGAGACAGATAGTACTAGTAAGTATACTAACAAAACAGTAAGCTAGTTGTTATACTTTTATATAGATTACTAACAGTAGAGGTGGCAGACTTAGCTCTTATAAGTACAATTCTGTCTTATAAACACAGTCAATACCTTTATAAGTTATTCCCTGTTCTAATTACAATATGGGTGCTCACTACAGACAGTTCTACTACTTACACAGTATTCAGAACTATTGTAAACAGATTCCCTAGAGACACAAGCTATAGAATTCCTTACCTACATACACTAGAACATTATAGAGGTATAAGACACCCTTCTAGTAGTAAAGATGTGTTAGACACATTATACTAACCAGGACTGTGTAGTAGAAGACTGTTTTGTAGTAGGAGACTAAGTTATACTCTTTACTTACAACTATTGTCAGAATTATCTTATACAAACACTAGAACATGTTACAAAGTTTATACTATGTAATAGACTATACTTTATAATTGTAGTCAACTCAGACAAGTCAGAATATACACTAGAGTTACCTGACTCTAATCAGACCTTCTCTAGATTCTATACAAGTTAGCTAAAGTATTATGTCCTAAATGATAATACCTTATTTCTGTAACATACTCTTAACTGACTAGGTCTGATAGAAGGAGATAAGGAAGTATACAAAGTATTGTGAATTGTGGACAGAAGGTGTAAGAGGTAAGGTTGGTAGTATCTGGTAGAATAGGAAGGATAGAGTAAGTAGGAACATGAATGGAAGACAGAGTCTGAACTCTAGAGGACAGCTCTTAAGGTACTACAAGCATAGTTAGTCTTACACTCACACAGGGGTGCCATTTTTTCAGAAGGGGGAAGGGTGTAAGCCTACCCTACAGCTTACAACAGCTTCTATACTGTTTTGTACCCCTTCTAGTGTAGAACCACATTTTCAAACCTGGACCTTCTCTCAAGCCTAGACCTTCTTAGTGTAGACTCTAGAGTCACACACATTTCCTCTTTTATCTTCACACTATGTTTCCTTATTGTCTGAGTCACATACCCTTCATTCTTAGGTACATACACTCTCCTTTTTCTCTTTAGCATTGTTTTCCCCTTTAGGTATGAGCCACCTTTGTTTCATTTCTAGTATATATAGTTTTAATCTTTCACTTTTGTTGTACCAGTTCTTATTCCTGACTATAACAAAGGTGAGTTCTTGTATGTACATAGACCAGTTCTTATTCCTAACTATAACAAAGATACCTTTGTCCTGTCAGCATTCTACATGTGTTAGCAAACCTGGAACTTAACAGAACTTGTTTACAACAGTGTTTAGTACTTCCCTAGTACTGTTCTAATAACTAGTCTACACTATAACTATAAAAGAGCTAATATTAAAACTGTATTAGAATATAGTAATTTACAGTAGTAGTAAAGTGTTAATAGTAGAATGTATACAGTATTACTATAGAGTCTGCTGTTAGTTCTGTAATAATTACTTGTAACTAGACTATATTACTATAATAATAAGTATAATAAATATGTTAGAAAAAGTAAAACCTTATTTTGTGTTAGACTAAAAGACAAGTATTCATCAGATGAACAAAGATTAATATATATGTGTTATAGTACAGTACCTAGTATTATCTTGTTACATAGTGGATATCTAATTATAGTATGAAAGCTAGGCAGAATATTGAATGTTCTCATAATAGTGTTGTATTTACTTAGTAAAGTAGAAACAGTTACTACTTTTGTCCCTCTCAGATTTCCCTTCATACTATTTGTTATATTAAAGAAGTCCTAATGTAAGTAGCAAAACCATCAAAGTCTTTGAGTGAGTATAATCCTTTTAAAATATTACTAGAGACATATTTGTGTTTTAATACATAAAAGTCTAGATTTCAACTTGTAGCTTAATATTCTTAGAATTGTGTCAACTTGACAGGGATGTAAGAAAATAGCAAGTAAGCAATTTGAGACTTGTCAGGCAGAAAGTCACAATTCAAAGATTGCCTGTAAGTAGCAATGCATTCTCAGCCTTGTCCAATAGTGTATAAAGGTGAATTATCCTGACCAGAAGCTAGCCATTAACACTCAGAAACAGAAACATCAAAATCAGTGCCTTTGTGTTGAATTATTACTAGCCCTTTAGAGGGCCTACCAGTCACATACAGTATGCAAAAAAAATATTGCAATATGTAATTTAGATAGATTGTATACATTCTACTGAAAATTAAAAGAAACAAAAAAAGTTCAAATACATATAGATATATGTATTTGATCTTATACTATACAGCTCTAGTAATTAGAGCTGCATATCTGTAACTGCAGGTTTTAAAAAAATTAAAAAGCACGTGACAGTGTGCCATTGTGCATCCAGACACACTGCCTCGAAACATTACAAACACTCATATCTTTGCTACAAATACATGCGTTTACCCTGGTCGTTTTGTGTTTTGTTTGCATTGCATTCAGCTACACTATGGCAAGATTCAAGCACACCACACCTACTACAAGACAAATTATTGTACTTGGAAGGCAGCAAGGTTGAACCTGTGAGGACCTAGCCCAAGAGCTGCACCAGTCTGCATCCACTGTGTCTTGTATCTATCACAAATATGCAAAAACGAAGGACTGGTATGTAAAGGAGAAGAAGAGGGGTAGACCAAAGAAGCTAAGCCAGCAGGACTTACAATATGCTGCACTTCTCCTTGCACAAGGGGCTGTCAAGAATGCTACAGAACTTCAGCATTATTACTTTCCACAAGTCACTGCTCAGACTATTCGAAATGGTCTCAAGAAGCTTGGCCTTAAGGCTTACAAAATGCACAAAAGGCCTCTCCTTTCATACAAAGCAAAGCAAAGAAGATGGGCATGGGCTAGATTACACTTTTTTTGGACTGTTACAAAGTGGCATCAAGTTATATTCTCAGATGAAGCTAGAGTAGAGCTTTTTGGGTCTGATGGGCTTCAATAGTACTAGAGATTCAAGAGGGATGCATTCCAGGGGCGATACATTAGGAAGACAGTCAAACATGGAGGAGGGTCGTTTATGGTGTGGGGTTGCATTACAAAATTTGGAGTGGGACGTCTCATTTGTATTGATGGTACTATGGATCGATTCAAATTTGTCAACATCTTAGAGGAGGGGCTCTTGGGTACACTCTATGATAAGGGCATCAAGAAATCTGGCTTTCTCTTTCAACAGGATAACAATCCAAAACATGCTTCACAATTTGCACAAGACTGGTTTCGAAAAAAGAAGATCAAGCTCATTCCTTGGCCCTCCCAGAGCCCTGACATGAACATTATAGAACATGTCTGGGGTGAGCTAAAACGTCGATTGGATCACCGATTCCCTCATCCTTCAAATAAAACTGAACTATGGGAAGCAATGCAGGAGGAGTGGTACCAAATGGACATGGATTTTATCAATCATTTGTATAGTTCTATGCCCTCTCGTGTATCTACTTTAAAGAAGGCTAAGGGTAGCTATACTAAGTACTAGAATACATGAATTTAACTTTAATAATTCAAATTTTTTTTGTGTCAAAAACTGATCATACACTTGTGCATTATTTAGTTTGTCACATGATCAATGATCATTACTTATCTTTATTAAATCTAGACAGATTTTCACCAAATAATTTCTTTTTAATTATATACTGTCTACTATTCTTAATACAAATAATTGATCTAATTTTTCTTATTATTTTGTAAAGAAAGGTCAATTTTTTACAATTTTATACCTTGTTGCAATATTTTTTTTACATACTGTAGAGCTGAATGTTCTGTGGCACACGAACTGTAGGGCGACTGAGATGAGAGAGAGAGGAGACTATGCAGAAGACTATTTAATAACACTGACAGGTCATTTGTAACATCATATTGCTAAATCCAGTACATTTGCAGGTACCTCATGTATACTAGACTAAACAAGTTAAGAGTAGGAATGAAATAGTCATTTACGACGTATATTCGAGTACGGGGTATGAAATAGACATTCCGTGTCTATTAAGCTGGTAATGAACGGAAGAGAAAAAAGGCGGTAAAGAGAGAAAAAATATAAAAGTGAAGCAAAATAGCACATTCACTTCGTCACTTTCTCACCCTTTGCCCTTCCCGCACCAGGCTTGACGTTCTCCGGGTCCTCTCTCGGCTTATCTCCGTCATCGTCATTCTGCTGTTGTAACTTCAAAAATTCTTCTCCACGAATTCGCAGATACTCTTCAAGCAATAACGCGTTCCGGGAATTCGCCTTGAGCACTGCTAAACCAACGTCGCCGACAACGGGAATAAACCCAATACCAGCGGACAGAGCGTTGTTGAATAGCATACGATGGACGAGCCATGACGGTATCCTAAATTTAGAAATGTTAATTAAAATTAGAAAAGTCCGTCAAAAAAAAATAATTGATTTCAATACGCACTCGGCTTGTCTCGCCTTCCGCACAACCAACATATAATTAAGAAACGCGTCGGCACCATCTCCAACAACAGGGATAAGCCCAATGACGAACGTCCATCCAAAACGCATTCCACAAATCCGGAATCCCTTGTCCAGATGATGAGCTCGACTTTTCACTTTGCGCAGAATTTTTGCGTCGCGTGCTGATAGGCCAGGAGGGAGCTCGCGCTGCAAGGATCAATATTGACTAGGGTTAGGATTTAAAGAAATCACGAAAAGAAGAAAGCTGGACGGACCCTTCTCCGCTTTGTCTTGCCTTTATCATCGACGTACGTTTCATAAACGGGATCGACAGGCTCATACTGTCTAAGATGCTGCTCGAAAAGCTTAAGACCAGCCTTGCTCAAGAGCTTGGAAGACATTGAGATGGTAGAAGGGGGAGAGTTGAAAGGTGGAGAGCTAAAGAGGCTGTCGCCATTGCTCGCTTTTGTATTCTGCTGCGGTGTGCCAGTGGTGTAGGCCCTGGAATGGTAACCATCCGAGCTTACCACGATCCATACCGTGGTTTTTTCTTACCGTGGTAAAAATTCTCACGGTTACCGCGGTAATCCACGTTACCGTGCCAATCTTCGAGTACTTGACTGGGAGTGTAATAAAACATTTTTATATACTTGATTATTACTAGTGAAACCACATGTTTCACTCTACATATAAGTGTATACAGCTAATATGTATTATTAGATAATAAATAAAGCTGTTATCTCGGTATAAGTTATAATTTCTACAATAAAAGTAAATTTTTTCTCACCCTAGTCTACAGCATCCACTCAGCACGATGCAAGTGAACACCTCAGCACGTGACAAAAGAACAAATTTCACACAATGAAAGACAACAACCAAGTAGTATTGTATGTTCCACTCCCTATCAATAGAAGCACTTCTAGTATTACATCCTTCTAAATACTCAAAAAGTAATATATTACAAACTTTAGAGTTAAAGAAGTGCATATAGGAAGAATATGTTTTCTTACTCTTTCATCGGTGGATTCACAAAAAACCACGGTAACCGTGGGAATTTTTACCGTGGTACAGTTACCGTGGGAACTTTATTACCGCGGTATGGATCCACGGATAAGCCTATCCATTCTAGGGCCTACAGTGGTGCAACAAGGCGGTGAGTGGTGCCTCGTTATTTTCACCTGACGTCACGCTACGTTAATTTAATATAATTAATTAGTTACAGAATAGCATGTGACATGCACAGCCTCTGTGACGCTGATCTGCACGTGCTTCACTAGAGCAAATCAGGTGACGATCTCTGCACAGCTTATGCTTCTGAAAAAACTCAATCCTTTGGGGGAAAGCCTTTGCTTACAGAAATGCGAACTCGCATTGTGCAATGCTAGTCGACTAGTCTCATAGGAGATTGTTTCGTGTAGCAATTATCATCGTGGTGTATAAATGACAAACGTGAAGCAAAGTCGTTTCACTAGTACTGATAACTCTCAGAATTCCTGGCTTTAACGAAAATCAGTGTGAAAACTCAAATTAAGCAAGATGCTTTCAGGCTGTCGAGTTTGGACTGAAAGTAGCTTAGGTACGACTCAGGCGTGCAGGATATCATTTGCTAGCATCCCATATGCTGCTGGTCTTATACACATGGCGAGCAATAAGTTACTTAACAGTTAGATACTAGTAGTATACTACACTGTATCGTATGTAGTACCGACTACACAATTATCTCGAGTAATACTCTTAGTAGTCCTGAAAACGACAAGAGCATTTTACATACGATGAACAACAGGTACCTCGTACAACACATTATCCTGAGGGTCCGTTCAAGAAAGTTCGCAAGATCAGAGCAAGGCAAGAAGAACGTGGTGACACAGAGACAAAGAGCACAGTGGGTAGAGACAGACGAAGAAAGAACGTGGAAAGAGCAGAATAAAAAACAGGAATCGCAAGAACAGACGAACAGAACACGGATTCTAGACGCTAAAATTACACCATTAACAGAGTATCGCTTGCAGTCCGGAAATCGCATAGAATGATGGAATCGTATCGCTTGGATGTCCTCCACAAGAAATTAATTAGTTCTACACCAATGAAAGAATGGTTAGGAGAAACAAATGAGAAGATTGGTCGCAGGTGAAAGAGGTTATGAAGTGAAGAAAAGGTTACTAATCGGCTTTTAGGTAATTCAGACGACAGCTTCGAGATGAGTGATCGCCTTTCGCAGTTGCTGAGTCAAGACAGAAACCTGCAACATCGTAAGCGATGGGCGGCGATAGTCAATTGAAATGTCACGTACATTCTTTGGGGAGAACGGCTCGAAGTGATGTCCGGGAATGTCGAGAACCGGCACGCCTTTCCCAATAAGCTTTTCCCAGTCTTGGACTGAAGTTTTTGTATCGCCACGATCTTCAAGGAACGGTACCCTTCCCGTGAAGCTGCTACCTCTGCTTTCGGTCATAGCAAAGGCATCTGTACAGCGCAGCATTACAATATTTGGATAAACCGGCGATTCTGCAGTATGGGATAGTCTAGGAGGCTCGTAAGCTACAAGAGCACGAGTAGCGTAAGACATCTGAACTCGTGCAAGTTGGATGATCTGTGCTTGTTGAGGAGTGGAGCTGGAGGACTCGTGGATGACACTGTCGATAAGTTCCTGAGGGAGTGGTTCCTCCGTGAAAGGTGACGGCGAGTCAATGAGCACGACACCGGCAACCTTGACTCCGCCACGCATGAGCTCGCACGCCATATGAAATGCAACAACTCCGCCAAACGACCAGCCTAAACTTCTAATGATGAGCGCATTAGCAACGAAAGTGCATTTACACACTGACCTCCAAGTACACAACCCTTGTCAGTGATGATCGGCCGGATTTGTTCGAGATAGTGCGCTGCCATTTCTGCAATACCGCCCTTCCAGCCATTTCCGCTAAGAAGCTTGGGGTTGTTGATTCCCCATAATGCTCTGTTAAGATGTCCAATGCGTGAGTAGCAGTGGCTCAACCCGCTACCATCATGAATTAGGAAAAGAGGACGAGCGTCTCCCTCAACACTTTGGATCGGAAGAAGCGTCTGCTCGATACTCGAGATCTTCTTGAGAGATTCGTCGCCGACCAGAGTTGTCGAACTTGATTGACGGGAGCGTGACCGCTGGTTTACAATGTTCGAAATGGACATCTGCACAGAGGCAACGGTAGGGCATTCGGTGAAGTACCCATGTGGAAGAGATACGTCGAACTGATCTTGAAGCATTGAGAGCGCCTCGATAGAGCTAAGGGAGTCCAGTCCGAGTGCATCCAGTGAATCTTCGCCGCAAAGACATTGAGGTGAAACCCCAAGAACTTTACCAAGTGTGTCCTTCACGACAAACGATACCGACGGGTATTCTTCGAGAGGTAAGGAAACAAGGTCATCCATGCGGTTTAGCTCTACAAGTGCGGTTATAGAAAGAGGCGTACAAGTTTCACAGGGGCTCACGTCGAAAGCAGATCGGTGACGTGCCTCTTCGACTTTTGCGACGAGGTCGCCGACAGTTGCAGACGACAGGAAATCCGAGAGATCAGATGTTATGGCCGGTAGAAGTGACTTGATCTGGCCCATCAGCTCAATCCAGACCAAGGAATCGACGCCAAGATCAGCCATGTCACTTTCCAAACTCACGCATGCCAAAGGAAGACCACACATCACTGTGATAATCCGAACAATCTCAAACGTGAGATTCAGAGGCGCGTCCGCAGAATCGGTAGTTACGCTCGATGCAGAAGGAGTAATCGGACATCGGAGCGGACGAAATGGGCTACCAAGCCTTGCGGGTGTCATGGGCGATATGTATCGTTCAGTCGCAGGAGTAAGGAAAGGTGCGGGAGACGAGTAGCGGCTCGGAACATCCTCTGACCGAGACAAATGTCTATTTAGGCTGCTGAGGCGAACACGGGAAAAGCGCATGCGCTTCATGTGAGCAACCACCCTGTGAGACTCCCCGGTCTGGATAGCCCATGCGTCGGCCAGCATCAATCCATCTCCAGCGGGTATGGCGGCGCAGTAAATCTCGAAGCTTGCCGAATGGTCAAGATCGGAAAGCACCTTGGACGAATCAACTTGGTTGCAAATAAAAGCCTCATTTCCGGCCGCTTTGCTGTTGATCAAGAACCCTGCCGCATGGAGGAGTGCGTCAATGAAAACCGGCTGTGCGACAAAACCATTGCCTGCTTGTTCAGCTGAAAGTCGGAACTTAGCGAATCCTTCTCCGTTTTTCTCATCGAGCGTGAAGGTGTTGATCACCTGGTAAAGCTTAGAGTACTGGACGACGCGAGAAAAAATAAGCTCATAGATAGTACGAGTCCGCAATGTCTCGTGGTAGGCACTGCGATCGGAACTGAGAAGGGCACTTCTACCGCGCTCAACGGTCCCATGATGAAGTTGCAGTTTTGACGTCATGTCGCATTTCTTTCGGCGCTGGAAGAATCCAGTGCAGTGAACATTTTGCTCTTTTCCATCCGAAATAGAGCTAATGGAGAACGTTCCAGCGTGCTTTCCACCATTAGGATGCAGGTTGATAGACGTCCGGACTACAACCGGCTTCGCAGAATCATAGACAAGCGGGAGGGTGAACTGGACTTCGGAGAGTGTCAATGCATCTGTGAATGCTTCGTCAATATGCTCGAGCGTGCACGTCGCTGCGCTAAGTGCCAGTTCATGATAAACTGATGCCGGACAAAGCGGGGATGAAGCAACTCTATGACCCGTGATATATTCAACTAGGTGCTCAATCGGTGTCTCGAACTCCGAGACATTTGCATCGCGTGAAGATGGCTTTTGCGTCCACGAATGCAGGAAAGAAAAGCGCTTGAGTTGATCGGTGGGCTGAGCAACCGCTGAGCCTTCTGATGACGTCTCGTTGAACGGAACCCAGAATTCCGTCTCAGTAAGTGGATACATAGGGATCTCCATGCAAGTGGCATCTGGGTATAGGTCACGGTAGACTTGGTCCCAAGCAATACCGTCGCGTAGTACAAACATACGGGATAGTGCTTGGAAAAGTGCAGCGCGTGGTGTCACTTTCTTGTGAAGCGAGTGAAGCGAGACAGCGCCAGTCTCGGAGGCTAAATGGGCAAGCATTGGCAAGGTAGTCGGATGCGGACCGATCTCTACGAATGCTGCAATCGTGCCAAGTGATTCTACGAGGTCGTGAGCACCTTCTTGGAACCGAACTGCTTGGAGACAATGCTTTGCAAAGTACTCGCTATTGAACACCGATGCATCGCCAGGCTGAACGAGTTTACCAGCAACAGTGGTAGCTATTGGGATGACAGGGGCACGAAGTTCAATCTTGCGCGCAAACGGCGACAGATTCGCACAGATAGGTTCCATTGCTGATGTATGGAACGCGAAAGGAGCGTCAACGTACATGCACTTCGACCCTGATGAATCCAACCGCGTCTTTAATATCTCGAGCTCGTCAAGACTGCCGCCAACGACAATATCATTAGGACCATTGAAACAAGCAATTGCAAGCGTATCGTGTCTATGAACCTCCGAGATAGCTTTTGAAACCACGGCCGCAGGTAAGCGCACTGCTAGCATGCCAGTTGTGCCCGGTTGGCAGAACTGGGTCATGAGACGGGCCCGGTGAGCAACAAGGCGAAGTCCAGACTCAAGTGAAAGAACGCGCCCTGCAACAAGAGCAGCATACTCTCCGAGACTGACGGGGAACGTGAGAATAGTAAGTCCCAGGATCTTCGATGATGTATGGCAACTTCTTACCTATGCCCAAGGACAGCGTCTGCCTTCACACCCCAGCTTTCCCAAAGGATGAACAATGCGCATTCCAGCACGAATACCGCGCACTGAAGCGCAACGATCTCGTCATCCTTTGTCAACCGAGAATTTTCATTGGCATCGATAATGGCAAGGACACCCGGATAACCCCAATTAAGGAGCTTTTCGTGGCAGTCGTTGATGATTGTATTGAAGCGTTGGGAGGTCTTGTACAACTGCCGACCCATCCCAATGTGTTGCCCTCCCTGCCCAGAGAAGACGAAAACGACCTGTTTCCCGGAGTACCCTGGCATGAAAGAGATACGCGTTGGGCGGGCTTCAGAAAGGGCCCGTGCAATCCCTGCAGCGGAGTTAGCAGAGACAGCCATGCGCCACGGCCGGAGTTTGCGGCGTGCAGTAGCAGTATAAGCGAAGTTGCGCAGATTATCATCAGTGACGGATGCGGTATAGGAACCGCGGAGGCGCAGCAAGGCATCCTCAGTCTCAGCCGATAGACCAACGAGGACGGTATCACAGGGGCGTTTATTACACTCAGCTGGAACAAAGTTCGAGGTACAATTCGGTGCCTCCTCAACAAGCATAGCAGCATTACTGCCTGCGGCACCGAAATTGTTCACCAGAGCGAGTCTGCAACCAATGGTGTTTGGTAACCAATCCACGCATGCCTCAGTTGTATTGATACGCGTGAAATCCTTGCTCAAGCGTTCGATCTTCGGATTGAGTGCATTTAGGCCAACCTGTGTCGGGACGGCCCGATACCGGAGCATAAGAAGGACTTTCGCGAGAGATGCTGCACCGGATGCTGCTTCTGCATGGCCAATATTTCCCTTTACGCTTGTTACGGTCAACGGGTTAGCAGAGCTGCGAGCCGACCCCGAGTTCGGTGAGAGCACATCACGTAGAGTCTTCATTTCCTCTGGGTCTCCCGCCTGGGTTCCGGTTCCATGTGCTTCAACTAGGTTTACATCTTCTGGCCGAACGCCGGACTTAGTTAGGAGCGACTGGAAAAGGCTCGCCTGCGTCAGACCGTGCGGGCGAGTGATAGACACAGCTGCAGAGGACTGGTTGATTTCTGTACCCCGGATGACACCGAGTATGTTGTCGGAAGATGCAAGTGCGTCCGAGAGCCGCTTCAACACGAACATGCCGCAGCCTTCTGCCCGACAATACCCGTCAGCGGCTGCATCCCAGGGTTTACAGTTGCCCGTAGGACTGAGAAAATGCGCTCGATCGAGACCGAGAAACATCTGGGGTATCGATATGGTTTAGGGCTAGTGAATAACGGAATAGTGTGATGACTCACGTCTGGGCTAGAGATAACATTCACACCGCCCGCGAGGGCCGCTTTGCAATCACCTGTAAGCAGTGCTCGACAGGCTTGATGGATTGCGACCAGTGAGGAAGAGCAAGCGGTATCAACCACGATAGAGGGCCCCGAGATATGTAGAGCATACGCAAGGCGCCCTGCAAGGAAGGCGGGGAGAGTGCCTGAAAAAGATGTTAGAATTTCTTTCAGACAATAAAACAGCCCAGTTACCGGTCGCGTAATGAACGCCAATATCGTTGCGAAGATTGTGAACATAGTCGTTCGTAGCTGCACCAACGAAACAGCCGACATCGTCGGAATAGATGGCGCTCTGCCCACGTTCTTCGGTCTTCGTGGCAGAGTCCTCAATTACAAGTCCAGCAGACTCAACAGCTTGAAGACCAACGCGCATGAGAACACGCATCTGAGGGTCAAGAGCTTGTGCTTCACGGGGACTAATGCGAAAGAATGCGTTGTCAAAGCTCGAGTGAAGGCCATCCGGAAGGAAGTTTCCAAAGCGCGTTTTTAATTGTCTGTTTGGATTCGCATTGGGGTTCGCGTCAGTATATGGAGTAATAGAGAAACGAGTTCTAGGTATCTTTTAGGCAATAAGTCAGTCATGAGTAAACAGATTAGGTATGCGCAGGCATACCTCTTCGACTGTGTTAATTCCCATTTCCAATACACGCCACAGCTCGTCAGTGTTGCGTGCTCCGGGAAAGTTGACAGCCATGCCAACGATCGCTATTGGCTCCGGGCTGCCTGTATTCGCAGAGGTAGAAAGATTCGCTGCAAGGTTCTCGCCCTTTGTAAGATTAGATAAATCACTGAGAACCACAGTGCATGGGACGCAGTCTTTCAAAGTGCGCATGGCTGCACGTGCAAGACCTGTCCCAGGACCAAAGTTCACAAGGTCTACTTCCATATCACAAGTTACGTGCCCTGCAAGCCTCTCGATGACACTTAAGAATTCGACTCTGTCGAGGAGAATAGCGTCCAATATGAGCTCAACGAGTTGCTTGCCTTCATGCACCGTAGACACTGGATAGCCATTCCTTGTGTCGTATAGAACGTAGCCTTCAACAAGGCGCAGGTTCTTGAGCGTGGCGCGGGTCGCTTCCTGATTATCAGTGTTGGCGATGCCAAAATCATTAAGACGAAAATTAAGTAAAGTAGGTGTGTCGGGGGCGGAGAATTCATTCCCATCGCTCGATGAAGTTCCGAAGAAACTGTCAAGAATCCGATCTTTAACAGCACGTAGATGCGAGATATCGGCATGGAAGAGGGTGAATATGTCGAGCGGCTTGCTTGTAACGGCCGACATGGGTGAGGAGGTGGTTCGGGTAGAAGGTGTCATTAAGTCGCTGAGAGCAGGTAGAGCGTGGTCAGGCTCCGGAAGGTCATTAGACCTTCTCGACGGGGAGGGGCAAGATGATATTTCGGATGTGAAACTTGTCGCAGATGATTTGCGTGAAAGTGAGTTGTGTTCACTTGTATGGGATCCACTAGAAGAGAATGACGACGACGTTGATAGAAGTGAAGATCGGCTTGCTGAAGCCGCAGAAGAGGTGAACGGCGATGACGAATGGAGCCCATGTCTCACGAAATCACGTAGAGCGGGAGGGAGACCACTGACAGTGTGGCACATATCCGTCGTCTGAGCGGTAATGTGTACCTGAGATAGAGAATCCTGAAATCGTGAGGTCAGCTTGCCAGGTTTGCCTCTTTTGCGGTCACGTGAATTTCTTTCATAAAATGAGAGATGAAACACAGTCAAGCACTGCCACCGGAAATAGAGATCAAGGCACGGAGCCTTGTAGTTACATGGAACACTTTAAAGTGGCCATATAAAAGTTGACCGAAAATAATAGAGATATCCTGAAGAACTTGGACGAATGGAACGAATTTCAGATGGCTAAACACAGACCTCGCTTCGTGCATTCCATGACGCGACTTTCGTCTCTATCGAAGTGCGTTTCGCGCCAAAGACGACGGCAGACCATTCGCGATCACGCAAAGGGTCGTCAAGAGCGACATCAGCTGCATTGAGCATGGTATCTTTCGAAATCTGTGCCTCGATCCCGATTGCGACTGACACCTCAAAGAGTGCCAATGCATTGCGAAGAATTGCAAACTGAGACGACGTCGATAACGTCCGGGACGCTGCTGCCGGGGAAGGGCACGAGGTCGCAATAAGAACCGCTGGAAGGAGACCAGACGAGTAGCCGATCACATCCACTGATGATTCCCCAGTCATAGGGCTATTCGTCTCGAGTGCTTCAAGGAGACGAACAACCTGTAAGAGGTATAAGTTTGGAAGCGCGAGGAGCGGGTGGCGAAGGAGGGAAGCGTCAGAAGTCGGAAGAGCAGTACTTCCATCGCGTATTTGTTTGATAAGAGTATGGGTGGCACGAGTGGCACAGCTGTCCAGTGCGTCCCGGGTAGCGGGACTAAGTGCAGCAGTGCGGGTCGCAAACACGACGTTCGCTTGACGAACGAAAAGAGCAGCCAAAGGAGAGTCAGATTGGTGTACGGATGCAGAGGAAGAGGGTGTGGAGCCCTGGCCATCAAAGAGAAGGACACGCATTGCGATTACAGGTATAAATTGCGGGAGGATAGAATGTCGGCAGACGATGGTGAGGATAAAAAGAACGCTTGCCGACAGTTGCGACGGTGAGGAAGGTGTTCGCTGGGTGGAGGAGCGCGATGGCCGCGAAAGGAGGAGGTGGAGAGAGGGAAAGAGTGAGTTGTTCCGAACGAGCCTGGCTCTGTATTCTTTTATACCAGGGGAGCCATAGACACGGTCTTCTTGAGTATCGCTGCTCCTAGTCAGTGCCGACAGCTACCCCTCGTGTCCTTTAATAGAACCATCGTTTCTCTTTATTCCACGCAGCTGGTTCATGAAGAATTTCATATGAATGACAGTATTGGGAGAGACGAGCGAGACGCAGCTGCTAAATGCGACATGTTCATTCAGAAACGACATCGGGTTTGGTGAGGGACAATCACTTTCCATATATGGATAATCGTCAGGGTCAGTTTACTTATGCTCTTGAACCAAATCATACTTTCTCCTCATGACTCCAGTATAACCACACGATAGGTTCAGACTGTGAGAAATTCACTCTGTAATAAAGAATGGACGAAGTCTTTATTCTTTATCTCTAGCACGACACGTGCACTTCATGGTTCATTCGAACCAGACTTTTAGTCGGCCATCAGGCAAACACATTTTCGCTAGGTCTCCGCTGCTACCCACGTTTTCAAGACCGAAGGCTTCTTAGTATATCACCTTATTGTCCGAGACAAACGTCTGTCTTTTTTCATGCATGAGTCGCGCGAACGATTATACCCATATCCCATCGAAAGTCTGACAACATTACAATCATGACCTGAACGACCATGCAATACGTCATATTCAATCCGGCCGAACAAGATAGGTCAGTGTCTTTTACTACTCTCCACCTCGATCATCAATAGCTGACGCTTATTACCATCTCGATTACTTTGTGCTCTTACCGATACACGTCAGAATGCTTGTCTGTCATAACATGCATATATCGCAGGACCTACAATCGCGGTGCTGGCAATGCAGGACATAGACGCTGAGCCCTCCTTAAGCTACAATCATCTAACGCAACATTGGTGTATGAGCTTCTTTTCAATACGCCGGCAAAACACAATAACTTATAACAGCGCCATCAACTCTTGTTTTTCTCGTATGCGGCGTCTGACAACAGAGGACGCGTTCGACGAAAGCTAACGTCCACCAGACTAATCTTCCGGTCCAAATGCTTCCCAGACAAACCACATGCTACACCAGCTACATCATACCCCAACAGTTCCGACGATATCGCACTTATAGAGTTCGCGCAGTTTGCATGGACACCAGGACGACTTGACGACTTGCCTGGTCCCATTTAGCAACTTTCATCTATCGCATCTGTTTTGTGGCAAACACCGAATTGAAAATTCGCACTTTAGACGATCGTGACAATCAGTTATTCGAAGAGCCGTTGTATTCCATCATGTACGTGATACATACACCATTTACTTCACCTTCGGGGTTGCAAACTCTATGCAACTTTGCACACGGTTTCGTCTCACTTCCGACAGACCCGCCCTCCGTACTTCGAAAATCAGCTAGATAAGCAAAATAGGTGCCAAACGAGCAAAGCAGGATTTACTACTCAGGACTTAGATACTCCTTTGAATACTAGAGCGGCTTCTCCGGCTTTATTCCGATTCGCGAGATCGTGGAAACTGTTTTTGCATATATTGGACCCCGATAAGCCCTCCCACCGAATTTTATTATCAGTTTGACGCAAACAGGATTTTACGACCTTATAATCCAGACCAGACGACTCCTGAATCCGAGGTTTCTCTCCTTATAATCATATCCTACAGCAGAATAACTCTACCTACCCACCTCCCTTAGACAATTACAAGACTTGCATATGTCAACCTACTCTAATACTCGCGCTGATGACCATGTAATGACCAGGAAGAGAGTCGTTGACGAAGAATACATATCAAATTCCAGTAAGTATTTCAATCTCAGGCATCGGCGCTCCATTATCGGATTCTACTCGCTACGCATAAATTCTAGGGAAACAAAGATCTTACAAACATAACCACAATCTGCTCCTCCAGGTACTGGAAAAAGCATATTATGAAGTCAAAACAATCAGAACCACTGCTACAAATTTTGGATTGAGGAAATTGCATCCTGAAGAAAAGAAGAAAATCATTTATCGACTTGAGACATCGTTTGTTAGTCAACAGCAAGTAGAAGATATCAATCTATCTTCTCTGTCCGTCCTCGTCAGTCTCTCAAGCAGAGACTTAATCGAAGTAGCCATGCACAAGATTGCTAGTGACGATGATCTCAGTGATGAAGATAAACACTGGTGGAATGACTACTTTGTTCGCTGCAAGGACTTTCTCTCCCAGGAATTTAATCACATAAAAGAGACTATATTTAAGAAAGGCTTCCAGAAGGCCCTTGGAAGCGCAACTAATAGGCTCGGGAAAGAAAGAAGATCCTTGCTTGACTTGAGAAAACAAGTATTTGCCGCGAAAAGGGAGACTGAGGAGCTACCTCCAGACGACAATCTACAGAATGCACTCCCAGAGGATAACCAAGCAGGATGTCCGATGAATGAAGATGAAGAACAGGAAGTAACTATAAATATAGTCGCCCCATTCGAAGAGTCAGATCTGGATGAAGAGTTGCCACAGCCACAATCCAGAGACAATACGGATCCGAAGGAAAGAGAGCGGAACCATCGAAGGCACAGAGAACGTGGAGTATGCGGGGATTGCTCTTGCTGCAGTGCACAGCGTAATCGGCATTAAAGTTGTCAATATACAGGCTGTCGTCAGCAGCATGTAGGTCGGACGTAGTTAGGATCAGTAACTCACGAGGCTGCACAAGTTTCCTGGAATCTGATACTAGATTCCAAAAGCATTTCACAGAGTGAGGACATGGAACATTTTTACACTGGCCTGCCGTTGTGGCACTTTAGAAATGAATTAAATTATTATTAGAATGGTTCGAAGTTCGAACTGGCTTATGTACATCTTCTAGTCGTGAAAATAATTTGTAAGCATTTTTCCAAATTTGGTACTCTTTGTTCCAAATTTTCAAGAATCAAAATGCAAAAGGCAGGCTGTTTCAGCGTCCTCCTTTTATGTCCTCTGCAACGCTGTCCCGTCTGAAAGCTGCTGGAAAGGCCTGGTACCACAATCTTGCGAAGAAAAAATGCATCGTGCATTCTTTAGCTTTTCAACAAATAATTGTCGTAAATCTTCCAGCTGTGGCCAAAAGCCGGAATCGTCGCCGCTCTTCATTATTAAGGAAAGCGCCTTTGCCTGCCATTCATGCCTAGATATTGCCACTAAAGGCCAATACGCGAAGCTATAAGAGAGTGCGATGAGCTGCCACCATGTAGAATCGAATTCTTACACTGCTGCTCTGAGTAAACTAATCAACGCGTATTCATCACTTACTTCAAGATGTTTAGGATGAGTCAGGCTGGCAACCGTACGCACCTCTTCTTATTCGGACAATGACAACAACTAACATTGTGTATAGGGTCTAAGTATAGGCTAGTTAGGGGAAACGCGCACTCGTCCTTGGGCGCCGCTTCAACCAGAGTTATTGACGAAAACGGGGAGAAGGTACATATCTTAGAACATTACAAGAAAGAACTTCTACCACAATTCAGAACTTCAAAGGGAACAAAGGGACTTGGTGCCAGTGACAAGCGAGCTGATGTTCGGCTTCTAGAACCCAAGTGCGGTAAAGAAGCCTGCAACCCTAAACCGCGTATTCCTCCTGGGTCACGAATCGATCAATGGCGCAAGGACGTTGCTCGTGCAGTCCGCCGCGCTGTGACCACGTCTCGCTGTTCCACTTCTCTCGCGGCTAGTCCTGCTACCGCTTCCTGCAACGCAGTCTCTCAGTCCACTTCAATCCCTAAGGTTCAGGCCGTCACAGTCTCCAAACGACGCGCCAAGGATGAAAACGATAACGAATACGTCTACGAAGCAGATGAAGGCGGTTCTCACTACTCTACAGATGAGGAGTCTCGAGCTTTAGCAAAGGCTGAACAATCTGGACGTACCCGCCATGGTGCAGGTAATACACAATTGACTGGTGACTATGAAGGTGCTTATGGAGGCGACGATCCGAAAGAATACTGAAGGCCCATGTAAGGAGCGTTGTGGCACTTGTGCAGGACCGGCCTGATATCCGATCATAAATGTTTTGGTTTCTATGTTCATAAATGTGTGCAAATGTATGTAGGCCTATGTGGCCTATTTATATAGACGAGCGTAAAGTTTAAACTAAACAACATGATATTTATTACATAAGGAAATCCCACATATCTTATTATAATTCAATTAATTTGGCTCAATGTCGCGTTGGCACCTCAACTTCTATTACTATAATGGATTGTTATAGTCTCTGCAAAACTATTTTCCATCCTTGTTATGACAAACTCAACTCCGTATCGGTATCGCTATCGTTATAACTGAACCCATGAGAAGAGTGTTACCTGCAGGGACACGCAGCAAACTGACCATAACTACATTCAACATCCACGGCTGAACAGTTGCAGATGGAAGATACGGACGATAAAGCGCTGCAGGACTCTCAGGCACATGCTGTACCCTCTCAACTGCGTCTTCGCATCGCAATAATGTATGTACGTTGCATGTCCATCCGTCTCCAATGTTTACGGCGATATTTTGTCGTTTTTAGCGGTGGTGGAATTGGCGGACTCGCGTTAGCGACATTTCTTGCAACGTCCTCTAAGAGTGCTCGTAGCCCGAACATTGACGTACACATATACGAAGCTGCGCCTTCCTTGACTGAAATTGGAGCCGGTGTCGGTGTCTGGCTTCGTACATGGCGTATACTCTCCTCTGCCGGCCTTTCGGAAGACATGAAAAGCATTGCTTTACCTCCTGGGAGAGATATGAGCGAGAACCCGAGCAAGTTATCCACTTTATAGAAGCGAGATCAAAGCTTACTGTAAATGGCGTACAATTAGGGAAGGCATTTGAGTTCCGTCGAGGCGACCGAGCACCTGAAGGACTCTCATTTTATACCATGCAGGTTCCGTGTATGCGCTTTCACCTCGATTTTTTGAGAGATCATCATTCGTTATTCACTAACTCATATATTCTTTCTTGCTACAGTCGGTCTACTCACTCTCCATCGAGCTGAATTTCAGCGTGTATTAGCTGGCCACGCGATCCCTCCTGCACAACCTCACTTCGGAAAACGCTTGGTTTCGTACGAATATGCTATCGAAGGAGAGTACGTCACTTTCTTTTAAACAAGGCAGATAAATTTTGATGACGCTTTCAAGCCTCACTTCAGAGATAATTCTCAATTTCGCAGATGGCTCTTCTGCTCGTGCGGATCTCCTAGTCGGCGCGGATGGTATCCGAAGTCCCATACGGAGAGAGGTGGTCCGTCGGCTCGTTTCGCGTGGTGATCTCAAGCTGGAATCCGATGGATCTCTTCTAGCTACGTCGAATGGGATTAACGCAGATGAGGGTGACGCTGAAACGTCCAAGGAGAACGATGTCAAAGAACGCGACGATGAAGAATATCTGAGAGAATTAATATCCGATGCAACCGAGCCGGTATGGAGTGGAACACGAGTCTATCGCAGCCTCATTCCAATGACAGCTCTCGAATCTCGCTTCCCTGGACATCGTTCGGGACGAGGGCCAGTTGTCGTACGCATCTTCACACTGTTTCATGCTTTAGTGCCGACATTAGCATTAACTTACTTGGCAATACTTAGTATTTCGGGAAGAATAAGCATGTTCTCACTTATCCAATTTTGTCGACCGCAAATACCTCGCCGCAAGCCAATTCATCTGGTGAGGCGATTCCGACGTCAATGGTGAACCTCGTAGCTTTCGTCTCTGATCTGACGCGCGAGGGTACACGATTACCTGCAGGCGAACCTTGGGTCCGTCCAGCTCTACAAGAGGAAGTGTTTGACAAGTTCATAGGCTGGGAAGATGAAGTGTTGGCATTGCTTGAGGTACATCGCTATGTTTCTTTTACTACATTCGATCCGTCATGCCGTTTGGATGCATTCACTGCTGCTTATCCATTCCTTTTACCTCACATTATTGAAATTATCGACGAATACTGAATGAACTGCAGCTAGCAAAGAAGCCAAGTGTTTGGTCAATCCACACTGCAAGACCCTTACCTCGCTATTCTGACGCGCTTGGTCGGGTTGTACTTGTCGGAGATGCTGTAAGTGGACCATCACCTAATTAAGAAGACGATTTCATTTTGTTTATTAAATGACATTCAAAGGCACATGCAATGACACCACACCAGGGCTCTGGAGGTGGCCAGGCCATTGAGGTTCGTCTAGTCCTACCACCTCACAGTTCGTCGCCACATCATTCAAATTCTAACACCAATTCCAGGATGCGCATGTTCTCGCAGTGCTCCTTACGCATCCTCAAATAACACGCGAAACAGTTCCTTCCGCATTGCAAGCATATGATGCCGTCCGTGTTCCGATCTCACAGCGCGTTGCTCGAACCTCACGTTTGACTGGGATGATGTACCAGTTAAATCATTCTTGGAGCGAGGAAGCGAAGGATAATAAACAGGGGGATTCGGTTGAAAGGATGTTCTCTGAGGCAGAGGTTGAAAGGTTACATCAGCTTACAGAGGCTATAATTGATATTCACAAATGGGTTTGGGAGAAAGAGCCGGAGGAGAGCCAGCCAGCGCAGGCGTCGCGGCTGTTTGAAGAGTACCTCAAGAAGACTACGGAAGGAAGGCGCTAAGTCAACCTTGATAGCGAGTATCGGTTTTTCATTTTACCCTTTCAATGCTCACCACTCTGTTGGACTGTTTTATGCGCATTATGTACTTACTTTCTCACGGAGATCTCTTGAGCAATTACTTGTACCTGTTAAAATTCATATTGTTCGGTATCAAACCGAATTCCTTATCGATGCAATAGTCGGTGCGGTGATAAATAATAGTATCTTCGAAGTCGGAGCTGGGGTGGCCGATATGTATAGAAGAACCTTAAATAGACATAGAAGATATGAAACTACCGTAAAGTCCCGATTACCTGCCTAACTTCAAGCCTTCAAATTCGACCCGCTCTGAATCTCACCCACCACCACATCATTCTCTGCCTCCTCAAGGCTCTGCCGATCACCGAGCCTCGGATTTCTCAAAACGAGTGCACAAAGCAAGAACGGCACGCACAAGCACACGCCTGTGATACACAATAACCGCTGGGCGTCGTTATAGGCTTTGACCATTTGCGTGCGTTCAGGCGTCCCAAAGGGATGCGAAACGATGAACGTCAGAGGTGCACCATATGCCTCTGTTGCAAGTGTACTATTCCCAAGATAGAAATTCAACTTTCCAGGTAGGGTGTTCGTCCAGATAGCCTTAATTGACGGCGGATTTAATACGAATGGAGAACGAATCCGTGAAGAATGGACTGAGTACGTACGCCAGAGATAGCGGCACCAATAGCAGATCCAACGTTATATGCGGAAAGATAAAGTGCAGTAACCAGAGCAACATCTGTTTAATACCAAGCAGCAAATCATTGATTAATCATATCTACCGAAATAAAGCGAAGGCACTCACGTTCATGCTTCGTTGCAGCTTGTACAAGGGCTTGCACGGTATACGGCGTAAACCCACCCGCGATGCCAAGAACAATCTGCGAACCAATCATTCCAGATGTTTCGCCACTTCCACCCGTGCCTCGGAACCGCACAAGCATTCCCATTCCCAGTGTGAAGATGAGGACGCCGGTTACAGCGAACCATTTAATATACCGAATGTAGCGCACAACGATGCCGACTACGAGCCCGGTAATGACTGAGACGAAAGAGTAAAGAAAGGCAATCCGCGTCGAGCTGAGTACTGTTTGATCGAAGGAGACCTGAAGGACTGTAAATAGGTAGCTTTGGGGGCATTAATCAATGCTCAAGCAAACGAGAATCGCACACCTACTCTCCCTGGAGATACCAAACGGTATTGAGGAACACAGCACAAAGCAATGCTCCAATTCTGTGTGGAAAGAAAGGCACGATAATCAATTGTGTATTTTCAAGCAAGTAATTAAAGGACTAACATGGAGCGATCCGTTAGGAGATGGAACGGCATAACTGGGAACCTCGCAAACTTTGCCTCCCAGAATACAAACAACGGGATCGTAAGGAATCCAATAATAAACATGGCGATCATATCTGCATGACCCCAACGCGAGGACTCGCCTCCAGCAATAGTCATAGGCAACAAGATCAGCGATAAAAATGCGCAAATCAAGATCAGGCCAACTATATCCACACGCCAGAACAGATCTTCCAAAAGAGCTCCATATGATCCGTGGACTTGTTTGAGTGTCTGTAGCCCGATAAGCTTGCTCTGTCGCTTAGCACGATGTGCTGCGAGCATAAGGACGATGATGACTGGAAGAGCGAGTGCTGGCAATAGAATTGCGAACATCCCAACGCCCCAGCGCCAAGTACTACGTACAAGGATTGAGGATGCGAGATTCCCGCTCACCCAAGCGTTTATCTTAAAGAGTAGTTAGGAAAATTTTAGAAGACGAAAAGAGGAAAGACACACCAGGTATGGAGTAGCAGGGATATAAGACAGGAATAGACGATTGCGAAGCGAGGTTACGTCGGCAATAATAATCTCGACAAGCAGCTGGACTCCAGTCATGCCTAGCTGGTACAGAATCTGATCAATGCAACGGGCAGTATCAGACACTACTGAAGAGGGGAGCTGAGAGGACGAGTACTGACCGCCCCACCAGCAAACTCATGGACGTTGTCAGCAACTGCCTCGACGATTGTGCCTTTGAAATTGTCAATAATCACATCTCTTCAAGGAACGAGAAGTCACCTACCGATCACATAAAACAAGACTGAAACGCAAAGGAGCTCAACACGGCCAAACACGTCTCCGATACGTCCATACGCGGGTTGGGCAGCAGCAGCGATGATAGACCTGACAGTGCCTACTGTCGATAGCAAGGGCAGCGTCGAGTAGCTGTTCGTCGCAGTCGTCTGGAAAGTATAACGGACACTTCCATCTACAAAATGTGTTATTAGAGTACCAAATACGGGAAACCAATCTGATTTCTACTTACCGAGTCCGTAGATGTACGAAAGGAGAAAAATTCCAAGGAAGAGAGCTAATTTCAGAGGGTAGTTGAACGCGTTCGAGATGGCCTCAATGCGTCGTACACCGGGACTTTCGACTAGTTGGTGTTTTGAAGGCGTATCGCTCTCTGTCTCACGAGATATAGCGTCAGCCTTCTCTTGTGTTGACATCCTTATATCGCTTCTAGTGGGTGTCCTGCTCGTACAGAGTGTTGCTGCAGTTTCATGCGATAAGAGGCCAAAAAAATCAAACTTGCATGAGGCCTTTATAGACCATCTTATCTGATTGACCCAATCTGATAGCCCTCGTTAGAGATCTAATCGTCAGGACATGTGCTTCGGATCCGAGATAGACCGAAGCCAAGTAAGGGACCTATTGAGCTGTTTGTTTGAGTTTGAAGACGGTCAGACTCTGCAGCCTAACGGCAGTTCTTCATCATGAAGCGATCATTGTTGCGATGCTTTCTCGGTTTGTTATGATAGTTTCCTGGTTTGCAGCACCACCTTGTGATGATGAATGGCGAGTGGGCAGGGATAAAAGGTTTCTTCCGAATCTTCGTCGGATTCAAATCATTTCATTGAGCGATGATCACGTGAATTTGAATCTTAATTAATGATTTATTTATTCTATCGAACCTGAGCGGACCAGAAAGTAAGTGTGATTTATGCAATGAAGTCAGGCACTTCGTCTTTTGGTCGAATGAACTAATTGTCGAGAGATAGAGTAAATGGAAACCAGTATCTGTACATACAATTGGCGAACGACTCTTGAGAAATCATTGGAAAAGGAGCATATATTTAGGCAAAGAAAGTCATTACATACAGAGCATATGTACTATAAGAGACAACGATCAATTGAATATGCGTGTTGTTTGAGACGAAGAGGAGTGATTGAAGTAGTGATTTATACGCACATGTGCAAGTCCAGTGCAATAATGCACTTCTTCAACAGTCGAATTGCCGGCTATTTGTTGGGTGTAAACCTGGCTTCTCTTCAAATTGGACGGACTTGCATCGCTCTTGAGGAGAGCTGGGAGAGCCCAATGATGTTCTTACTCCTGGATTGACGACCATCTCATGGCCGACTGGCGAAGTAACGGCCGTCCCAACAAGAGTTGATGAGCGGCTAAAGACGACAGAGTTACGTGCGTGGCTGGGCCATTTGCGAATCCGATCAAAGGCATTTGTCAAGGCGCTAGATTGCTTTCCGATATCCTTAGTCACTGTATCGGGCCGTTCAGTTGGTAGAATCGACGCATCATGCATGAGGTGGATCTTGTAGAAGAATCGCTCGATCGGTTGATTGGGAATGCAGCGAAGGAGGAAGCCGATGGGGATGGACATGAATCCGAGCGCGAGGGAAATGCCCCAGAACATTCCGCTAATTCTGGTTACAGAGAATGCACGACCTCCAACGAACACAATGACAACGTGAAGTCCTATTTCTGTATCCCAATTATTTTATCAAAGGTACGAAACTGTGAAAAATGCAGAAGCACGAACCGAGAAGGACAATACTAATGAAGTACCAATTTCGGTGAATACCATCAAAAATATTCTTGTGGTTCCCAATGCGGCGACAATTGATGGAATTGAAAATCTGCGCGAAGACAAACGCGTTGAAGACAAGAGTACTCAATTTGGCGTCGTTTTCGATCTGCACGGCCTCGTTGTTCGGATCGGGCGAGAAACCAAAAATATGGTTGCCTGCAAAGAAGAATACAAGGATGACGGTCGTTTGATAGAGTGACTGCCCAAATATCTGTTTGTACATGTCAACCGTGAAAAGAGGTGCATTAAGTCGGTCCGGTTTGCGATCGAGTAAGGCAGGGGTTGCGGGATCCGTCGCGAGGGCTAGAGCGGCAAAGGAATTGACGATGAGATTGACCCAAAGCAACTGAACGGCAGTCAAAGCGGCAGATTCCTGAGTTTTTGCGACAGCGCTGACGAATGTTACGAGCACAGCTGTGACATTTGCACCAATCTGGAACTGCAAGAACTTGCGTAGCGCATCGTTTACGCAACGACCCCACATGATCGCCTTGACAATGTTCGTGAAGTTGTCGTCCATAATGATGATGTCCGAAGCTTCCTTCGCTACCTCAGTGCCTGTGAGTCCCATTGAGAACCCTATGTGCGCACTCTTGAGGGCGGGTCCGTCGTTCGTCCCGTCGCCTGTGACGGCAACTATCTCACCAAGCTCCTTCAACTTCTCGACTAAAATTCTTTTATCTTCTGGTGATGCTCGAGCGAGTACCTGAAGGTGTGGCACTACTTCGAGCAGCTCACGATTGTCCAACTCACGAAATACTGGACCCTCCATGACGGTGCCGTCGCGAGTAAGAATACCGCTTTGCGATGCAATAGATCGTGCCGTCAGAGCGTTGTCGCCAGTGCACATCTTGACTTGAACCCCTGCCTTGGTACACTGAGCAACGGCATCTGTGACACCCTCCCGCAATGGATCTTCAATACCGGTAATACCGATGAGAGTCATATCAGCCGCCAACGCTTCGTAAGGAACCTGAGCAAAGAGAAAACCTGTAAGTTTGAAGCTCATTGAAGACAATTTCCGCGTACCTCGTCGGCACTAGCAACACCGGCACAGCTAGGTGGCCAGGAGTCGAAATCACGATAGCAGAGTGCAATCGTCCGAAGAGCCTTATTTGCAAATGCAGTGATAGTCCATGAGATATTCTCCCTTGCATCGGCATTCATCTCGTTCGTCTCAATAAATTCATCGTCGCGGCCTTCTACGTCTTCTTCAGTAGGGATAACGATAACGTATCTCACGCATCTCTTCGTCAGTATTTCGCTCGCCCCCTTGACGTAGAGGCGCCAACGGCCATCGTGAAGTTGGACAACTGTACCCATAGCCTTCCGCTGAGAGCTAAATGGTATCATATGCACAACCTTCGCATTCTCCCGAGTTTTTTGGTAGTCGGGAAAATCGAGGTCCTTGGCGAATTGCAACAGTGCAGTTTCTGTTTTGCTGCCAACAAATACGCGCTCTCCCGACTCACGATCCAAGTCCTCAAATGCGGTCGAGTTGACGCAAATTGCAGCATTGAGACAGCACTTTAGCGCAGGGCTAAGCTTCGTCTTGAGTTCACTACGATCAAGGAGTAAGTTATCAACTTCATATTGGGCGCAGCCGTCTTGCTCTGCAACCGCCTCGGTGGCCCGTTCGTTAGTGACATTCTCAAGCGCTAATGTCGTAAAGAAGCCCTGCGCGAACTTTGCCCGGACCCCTATGACTCCGGCGACAACAGTCATCGAGTTTTGGGTGAGAGTGCCGGTCTTGTCGGTACATATAATGCTCGCATTGGCCATCGTTTCACAGCCGGCAAGAACGCGAACGAGAAGTTTTTCCGATGTCATTCGCTTCGTTGCAAGTGCCAGTGAAAGTGTCACCGCAAGTGGTAGACCTTCCGGGATCGCAACGACGAAAAGCGAGACCGAATAAACCAAGATATCGACAAATGTGAGACCATTCTCCTTGGCTGTCCGGGACGGCTGTCCTCTACCAACTTGCACGAGAAAACGGATGAGCAGAATGGTAAAAAGTAGCAGAGCAGAAATAGATGCTATTACGACGATCCAGTTAGCGAAAATTTTGAGCTTCTCTTGTAGTGGTGTGTCCTCCGTGTCTTGTCGCAAGGCTAAGGGACAGCATGAGCACATAAAAGATTGATGATGGAACAACGATAGACAAACCCATCATAATCCGGCCATTGCAGCTCATTTCGCCAACAGCAACAATCACATAGCTTCCGACACCTTCAAGAACCTTGCTTCCGCTAATAACAAAGCAATCGGTATGCGCGCGGAACTGATCACGTCCTTTGACCGAAAGACAAGCTTCGTAAGGCCCCTTTTTGATGGCGTCGCTTTCACCAGTAATACTAGACTCATCGCATCTGACGTTGTATCCGGAAAGGAAAAGACCGTCACAAGGGATGACCTCGCCAGGGTCAATAATCGCAACATCGCCGACAACCAAATCCTGTAAGATAACTGAGATTCGTTGCATGAAGATGCGAAAGGCAATGCACGTACCTTAACGTTTACCACTGCTTCATTACCGTCTCTGATGACTTTAATAGTCCGATCTTCCTTCTTCTCGTTGAGTTCCTTAAATTGCCTTTCCTTCTGCCAATCGTTGAAGGAGCTGAAAACGACGACGACTGCCACTGCTATCATGATGGCGACACCTTTAACCCAGTCGACCGGAGGCATCTCGCACGTCTGGCCTTGCCCGCAAGTGTATGTTTCGCGAGGAGCACCAAAGTCTTGGAATATGCCGAGGGCAAAGGCGACTATTGCCGCGACAGATAACAACGCAAGCACCTTTTGGTTGAGCGCAATCCACATAAGCCGCCAAATCGACTTGCTCTTACGGCTTGGAAGAACATTCTGGCCATAAACCCGTCGGCGCTCCTCAAATGCTCCAGGAGAATAGGTTAAACCTCGCCTCGCGTCAGTACCCAACCCCCTCAGAATTCCTTTCACACCGCCAAAAGCTTCTAACATCTCTAAGTTCTTAGATTCCATCATTCGCCCAAGTTTTAGTGGTGTGAATTCATTTAGGCCTATGTCCGCTTTCGCTTTGTCGACCTTATCGTCCTTCGGTTTCGACCGTTTCTCCTTGATTTCTTCGCGTGGGATCAGTTCAATATCTTGTGAATGCTGTACTCCATGAAAATCGCCCTCGGGAAAATGGCGGAGGCTGATACTCGGTGTGGAATTGGAAGTGTCATTTGACGTAATGTTGGCTGGCTTGTTTTCTGGCAACGTAGTGCCACCGACGATGCTAGAAAGTCCACCGGTGGTATCATTATCAGCGGGTAACATTGTATCCTGAGTAAAAGATCGCTAAAATGAGGCTAAAATAATGAGTGCCATATAATCGTTGCCAGCGAATGCAAAACACTGACTTTAGATAACAGTCACGTTTTTATTAGCGTTCGACGAGGGGGAACTTGGTACCACAGGTATAGGAAATGCCCCTATAAAAAGGAACGGATATCCTTTGTGAGACTCAGTGTAATTACTTGCCAAGAATGAGTGGCTGGGCAGAGGTGATGAACTGTGGTGAGGGAAGTATGAATCATGTTATCCGTAAACTGGGGTATTCTTGGTTTTCAACGCCGAGTGCTCTCTTGAAAGTGGATAATCGCCATATGCCCCTATATGATGAGTCAAAACAATAAATAAAATGTGGAGAAACGGCTCTAGCATCTGACTCTGCTCAGCCTTCTCCCTTTTGCGCAGTGTAACCCATTGTAATATCAACCCCGGATGGCCACAACCTGGATCTCTGGAAATTGTTGTCGCCTATAAGCTCGAGCATCCACTCGACCCTTTCGACATTATCTGTTGGTTGTTTGATCCTCCGTTTCACGGCAACATGCAAGCAATAGACAGAGGACAAGAATAATGAAATACACCCCAGAACTGTACGTTTCACGCTCGAGCGTTCTACCCTGCAAAATTTACGGGATAGATAGGAAGCTTTGGAGCGCCTAGCCGGCATGCCAAGCAACCAAAACAGTGGACATTAGTCGGCATGATCGAGTTGAGTCAAAGCAGCATTCCTCGAGTTTGTTCGTCACTTGGCTCCGAGACTTCCGTTCCCCGAGCTCAGGTACTCCTCCAACCAAGAAAGGTACCATCCCGGAATTGCATAATTCCAAGAGATCGGGAGCCTTGACTCGTTTCTTGAACTACCTTGGCTGTTGTGACAAGAATGAGCGACCAGCACGTTTGACAAACGCGTCCGGCAGAATCGTACCGTCCTATCAAGTCAAAGAATACGCTCATCGTCTGACTATGTCCATGACCGTATATTTTGTCTCTTAGGCAAGAAATGGTACAAATTGTCAATCCACGAGCAGTTGCACATTAGTACTAGTTGCATCTGGTGGTACAAGCAGAGTTGAACGAACAAAGTTTCGTGGGTGAATTGGACCAGGAAGTCACGTTATCACAGCTGCATTATGTAACAATTCCCACAATGACTGCGGAAACGCTCGTGATGTCGTTTCCTTTTAGAGCAATGTCAATCACATCCAAATGCGATAGATTGTTGTCACTTACTTTCTTGGTAACTAAGACTTTCCAGACGGCATCTGGCGGACCACGCAACTGAGATGATTGGTTGCTTCACTTTGACTATCAAACATGATCGCCTTGTTCTGGTCATTGCTGAGAGATGCGTCATCAGTTACTGCACTGGTCCTTCAGTGCAGAATGGCAACAAGATCTTCCGCTTTTCTCCGCTAATTTAAAAGTCTATCCCGAATCAAATTGAGTAGCATGTTCTCCTTGATAGACGCGCAAAGTATTCCTCCTGTACTCATTCTGCATCTTTCTTCCCTGATGAATTATTTTGAAAAAATCGTATTTGAGGCTACTGTACCACTCCTTCTTACACAACCACCCTCCACTCCTTGACCCTGTTCCTGTCACTAACCACGCTCCTTCATCGCCCATCCAGTCTCTTTCCATAAACGGAGATGTCTGTGGTGCAGTTGCTAAATGAAAAAGGTCATGAGATTATGGCTCTCCGTGTATGTGCTTTATGGTTTATCTCGTTTAATTTTCTGACATCAAACTCGGAAAGTATACGACAGGTAAGTCGTCAACATGTTAGCGTAAGGCATATTAACCTTATCGAGTCTGAATAGTCGCTGCTTTGGCCCTTTTGGTATGTTTAGTGGCAGATTTTCACAACACGTTGAATCCGACACTATTTTACAGGCATACGAGTGTCTGATAACTATTGAGGCAGAAGTAAGTTCCACGTGAATTACATGTATGATCCCTCTTTTTAGCTAAGTTGTAATTGGTAGACAGCCCTCATATGGCCATCTCGGCTGTCGTTGCCTAAAGTGCTATTTCTCGTGAATCGATACGTGTCAATAGCTACTGGAATAGTTACCATGTATAGTAGGTTTTTTGAAATGGGCATTTTCTACTCGTATCTTGACGCGCTTCAGTCCTTGTTCCAGACACGGATTACGGCGTATGTCACGGCAGAACTCAACTTTACATGGGTCTTATTCTACCTCTCTTTCAAGAAATGCAAAACACTCTTCATTGTTTCTGGTGGTATGTTCCTTTCTTTTGCGTGCTTAAAGACCCTTTTAATGACTGCTTGGCCTTCAGCTCTTGCGTGTTCCTGTTACGTTTTCGCAGAAGGTGTGTTACTCGAGTTGTGTCAAAGCCAACTCTATAGACAGTTGAGCGCCTCTAGCTACACTCTTTGTTCGAGCATATGCGGTATGGGGACGCAAGTTATCGCTACTAGTTTTCCTGTCGGTCGTCCTTGCAGTAAGCTCTTCTCTCCAGTTAATCCGCCCTGTCTATTCACCATACTATTCACCTATTTGCTATCACTCAGGTCAGCGCAGTTGGAGTGTATTATGCGACTGTGCAGTTTCTCCTTTCTACAGAGCGTATATGAACTTCCTTTGCGACAACGCTACTTGTTCTGATGGATTATATAGCCTCTCCTCTCCGTGTATTCCACTCTGGTTGTCTTCTGGTGACGTCGAACCGTATTGAATGGATTTCACTCATTATCCTCGTCTGTAATGAGACAAGTCAGTCCTTTATTATAATTGAATAGGAGTAGTCATCGACTAATTATTGCATGTTTTACTTATATTCCTCTGGAGCTAGTTGCTCTGAACCTGCTTCTAGCAAGAGCTTTCTTATATTGTAAGCTCGTCGAGTTTCTCTTCTATTAGTATTTGTCTGATTTCTTGTAGATCGTAACCAAACATTGGCCAGTGTTCTACTGAGAACAATGGTGACCGATGGTTCGTTCTTAATTTTACTGTGAGTATGTGTTTTCAGATATTCTGCACACAGGGACAATGTACTATGTGTGCATCTTGTGTAAGTCCGGCATGCATAGCACACTAAGTAATACAATGATTCGAATGATTCTAGTGACGACAATTGCAAACGTGCTTATATTACGTCTTGAGGATGTATGTCATATATGTTCTTTTTCTTAAGATGATTTTGACGTTTACACTTCTTCCAGACTACCCTTAATTGCATGCTGCTCGTGTAAATATGAGACTACTTTCTGATCGGAAATTATAAGACTAATTGACACCTGACAGCCCACAGGGTATTCTGCACAGTATCCTTTGCAACCGACTTCTACTTAGGATTCGTGACGTCGGGAATTCCTCTAGCTTGCCTATAACACCATTGAACTCTTCTTAAATATTTCGACACCTTCCTGTTGTTTAATCCTCTGTCGAAGTGATAGTTTGGGTACTTCGTTGATTGATTGTATATTTTTGAAGCTTTATTGTTGATGATCCAGGACTGGCAGAATGACAGTCCACGAGAAGAAATGCTCGCTGATACGACTGCAAAATCACAGATTGCGAGCCCCGGTATTTGGTGGAAGATCATGTCGCAGTTACCCATACGAGTTATATCCTCATCTTGCGTGAAAAATGCTTTATACAAAGATGCGTAAAAGACTTGCATTGACGGTCTGTCGCCAAGCATACTCCTTCACCCGATCAGGCCACATTTAGAATAATGAAGCAGTTAATTCTTTTCATTGTGGGGTATTTCGTAAGGGTCTTGCTTTTCTCGTCGAAGTTCTTTACCAAACGAAAGTGTAAGTTCTAAGTCAATATACTGTATAAATGCGAAAGAACAGCCAACATCCCATTGGCATAAAGGTTGGAAAAAGGCGGAATTACACCGGTGAATCAAGACAGGTGCAAATAATACTTTCCTCAGTACATCAGAAGGAACCAATTAACTGTAAACAGAATCAAGGTAAATAGATGCTAGTCTATTGCAAGACTCGACCAGCATTTCCCCTGCGTTGTGCGATACGTTTGTCCAGCTCTCTTTCAAGCGCCATGCAGTTTCGGGTATTCACTTTATAATATGCAATCCAGACATCGCCCGCGATCGGGATTAAGCCAATGCCTTCTGAGACTACGTGACGAAGGTACATTTTACTCATTTTCTTCCAACCAAGACTGCAGGAGAGAGATTAGCTCATTATCGCTTGTGAGTCGTGACACGTATGAAGAAAGGACACTCACTTCGCTTTATGAATTTGGACATTCACCATGAGGATCCCGACCGTGGCATCAACGATAGCGCCGATCTCTGGTGTGAAGCCTGGTTGTGTCCACCATCCTCAGAATTTAATGTTTCTGTAGTTATGGCTCGTCTACTCACCGAGAAGAGCAGATGAACCGACCTTTGCACCGCAGATGCACGAGCAGCTCCACTCGAGACCATGCGCTCGCTTCCGCACCTTCGCCAGCAAGTCCTCTTCATCTTTCGTGAGGCCTTTGGGGATCGGTCGCTAACATCATACGTATATCATTACTTAAAGTTCCTGTAGAGGAATCGCGTACCTCTTTTCTTTTTCCAGTTCGCTCGTCAATGTAGAACCTCGGGTCTTTGACTGCATACTTCTCCACTTTTTCTTCTATCTGCCTTCCAAATAGCTTCTGAGTTATCCTTACCCATGCGTTTTGCTTCCTTGGTTTAGATCCCTTACCCGTCGGCTTGCCTTTCCTGCCTTTGGGACTTCGGGCATCATTAGTCCTTGGCGTCGTGCTCTTCTTTGCCATCTGTACGTACTTGATGGATGGGACAAGCTCTTGGCAGGAGGGATTGGGAGCAAAGCGGAACGTAAGCCCATAGATAAGTAAGCAAATTTATTTCAGTCGTCATGTAGATGGGAAACGATGAGTACGGAGGCTCGGCGGGCTGCTCGGAAAACGTATCTCGCCACCTTTGCGTAGGCACCACAATTCTGGAGAATCGAGATATTGCCTTGAAATTGCGCTGTTATTTTTAGCGAGGCGAGATCCAATGAGATGTCTGCGTACAACACTCTCTGGTTCGTTATGATCGACATACCCAGCAAAGGTCATACAAAAGAATGAGATGAGAAGCTTTCACAGTACAGTACAGTACCCATGAAGCTTTAACCAAGAACCCGATGAGAGCTTGTTAATTTGCTAGCCGCAAGTCAAGACAGAGTACTTTACAGGCTCTGCCTCGTCGAAGACCGGGAGTTGAAAACAAAAACTTAATCTGGGTAAATTTGCGGCGAAACGTAAGCAAAGTAAGATAATCGTCTTGAACATGAATTGCACTCAGAATGCTAACCATGAGAGAAACTCAAGCGAGTTAATTTGTTAATAGTAACTTGAGTTCGTGGATGATCTCTGAGCCATATACTCATCGTTTGATTCCTGCGTTTGTAGGTCTTGATAAGGTGGTACGAGCATCGAGAATCGAAAAAAGGTATAGGTCGTTGGCAAATTCCGATGCCAAATAGAGCCATACAGCGTGGCGAAAATGTGGCGGCTGAGAATCAGTGAGATGGATGTCTGTCTCCTATCTCAGCGTTAGTGCCACACAATTTTGAACAATGCAACTTTGCACCACAAGTCATCGGGCTACCTCTCCCTCAGACCTTGACTCTTTGTCGAATAGGCAACTAGGCCTCTTGTCCGCTCCCGCTAGCCGAAGGCAGTCGTTCGGAGCAAGAACGACGCTAGCATTGAGCACTTGTCAGCCGACGACCAAAGGACATGTGTCGATGGAATCCAGACATCAAGAATACTCGTCGCGGGTGCAGGCATGGTCATCTCAGACACGAAGTTCTGGAGAATGAAGTCGTCCCAAGCGAGCCTCCGGTCATCTGGTGCAACGTGTGCTGGACCGTGTGTGCTTTCTCTTCAAGTCAGAAAGTCTACAGAGGTACGTCCTACGCCACCTTTCCTCGTTTCAACATTCCTTCAGTGATGATAAACTTCTCGTTTACTTTTTGTTCTGCTTTGCGGATGCAGGCTTACGGGGTCTGCTCATTGACTTGTTCTACAGTCCTGTTCAAGAAACTGGCGAACAAGTCCAACCATCCTCAGACAATGCCTATCCTGAACCGCCCTCAATACAGAGATACCAAACATTCCGTGCATTTAATGAAGCTAGATATCCGGACGGCTACCCAGAGACGCCGGGTCCCGTGGAAGCCCAGAGGAAACCTTCGGTATCTAGTCATCCGCCAAACACTCCAGCAAAGACATCGTATACGAGCCACTCTTCGGCTCAAGGCAAGACCTCCTTCCATTCTTCAGAAGCCCACGCCATGCCGAATGTCCAGTCGAATACTTTATATTCAAGCTATCCTCTACCTACTCAAGCGAAATCGCCACAACTGGACTATTCTACAAATATGCAGGTAAAGACATCGAGTCCATACACTGGCTATTCCGGCGTCAACACATCAGAAACTCCGTATACAGGGTACTTTTCTACTGCTATCTCTGATACTCAGGCTGGGGCAGCATACCCAGGCCATCAAATCAGTGCCACAGTCCCGCAGGATCCGTCTTATTCTTACAGTACCCGGAATAATGTGCAACAGACGGGCTACTTACCCGATACCCGACCACTCCTTGATACTCCTGCGCCAACGCAATACTCAAGTTATTCTCGTCCTCCTGCAACTACGCCGTACTCTACGGTTCCTTCCAGCGCTCAGACTCAGTACCACATTCCATATACAACTTCTCCTCTAGACACTCAAACTCAGAATCCCTACATAGCTTCTCCTCCTGATGCTCAGGCTCGGACTCCTTACATAGCTTCTCCCCCTGCCACTCAGGCCCGGACGCCATATACAGCTTATCCTTCCGACGTCCAATCTCGGACTCCATATGCGGCTTATCTTCCTGGAAATCAGGCCCTAACTCCTCCTGAAACTCAAACAAGGCCTGCCTATCCTAATATAGCCTCTAATATCAATATGCAAACTAGCGCTGCATATGCTAATTATCTTCAAGATAGAAGAAATCAGATCCCCCGCTCTGACCGTCATGCGAATATTCCCTCCAGGCCTTCTCCCCAGGGAGCATCTTCTCCCAGTGTGCGGGGGAACGCCTCGCGTTCGAAGAATTCGTCTGGCTCTCGATCGCAAGTCCCTCCTGCTAGTCGTTCTGACTCTCGAAGTAAAGCAGCAGTGCATGGTTATTCTCCTGACGTCCAAGCTCTTCTCAGTAATCAGGCCTCCGGACGATATACGAATTATTCTCCGTATAGCATAACTCGCAAGGTATCATGATATCCTTGGGACGGTGATTAATTGGATTGTATCCCTAATATATATTTAGCGTATGTAATATTCTTGATTCATGTAATTATTTGACTGTTCGTTCTTAAGTATCTCTTTCTTTCGTTTTCCATTACGGTTTTCTGTTCCATTTGTTGTTGTCTCTCATATGAAATGAACAATGAGATTACGGATTCAAATAGCCTGGAGACAACGTGTGTCTCTTTCTCTCCGAATGTACAGAATAGCTACTTCGCAAGGCTGATAATGAATGGTTTTGCAACACTTGAAACGCACTCAATACTGCCTTTGACCTCTTCAGGGTTTTACCTCCAGCTCGCTTTACTGCAGAGCTCTTATTGCAGCTGAACTTATTCTTTAAAGTGTTAATGTCTGCTTTTTTACATTATGTAGAAGATCACTATTAGCAGTACTGTATTATCTATTGTCCGATTAAACAAGTTAAACACAGACAGATGAGCTGATTGTGAAAGTAAACATTAATCCTTTACTCCTGAAAAATTGTGTACTTTCCTCTTGTACTTTTGAGAAGGTCATATGTACTTTTCATCCTAGCAATATCAACATTCTCACTGTTTTTCTCTGCTTTCTCCCACCTGCTTTTTAGTCCAGCCATAAAGATTGTTTTCAAACTAGAGTTGAGGGAAAGGGCTCTTGAGAAAGCTGTGTGAAAATCTACAGATTGCTGTTTGCTAATGTCCTCTAACTCTGTGTTAGATGTTTGCCATTGGCTATCTGTTAGACCATATTCTGTTGCCTTGCTAATGAAAAACTGTATTCCACTCTTGACACCTTCCATCTTTTGTATTGTGTCCTGGTCTGGTTCTTGCTTGGAGTAAGCTGTGTGTGATTCATGCTTTTTTCGAAAAGATTCAAAGGACATTGTAATATTATAGTCCTGAAATCTGCAATAGTTGAGAGTAATTGACTGATTCTGTGATGAGTGTGCAGATGTTGTCAGCTTTATAACCTGAGACATGGTGCAATGCAAAGTAGCTTGCCTTTTACACACAGCTGACAAATTAGAATATGGTATGCAAACATATTTGTCCATATTCAAATATGTCTACTGTGACAATGATTTAGCACGCTGTGCCCAAACGACTAATGCAATGTTGTCTGTTGTCACACCAGATGATAAAAATAGTGTTCAAATTATGTCATATGTGATAAGTTTGCCTAAATTGCTAGCTTGCAAGACAGCCTGTCACATCTGGATTGATTCCCTGCCACCCCAGTTTGCTTCAATCCCTGTCGGAATGGCAGTCCACATCTAGTCGCCCACCTACACCATCACACTTTGTTGCTATTTTCTCAGATCTTTCTAAGAGTCATGAACAAGTGGATGAGCAATTTATTCAAAAGCTAGTTCCTGAGACGTGTCACTGCCTTAAACACTCAAACTGATTATACTGAATGTATCCAAGCTGTCAACACACGCCTACCAGTGCCCGAAAGGGAAAGGCTTTCAAGTAAGTGCAAGCATAGTGAATAGCAATGGAACTTCTATTCACCCGTAGATAGTTATTGTTCATACTACCTGCTATGTAAGAACCACTATCATAAACAACAAACATCAATTCCGGGGAAACGTTAGAACGAAAACGCTAAAACACTGTGATTCAGAGTCGAAGAAGGCTGGAATGGCATGGCGTGGTATATTGAATTTCCCGGCGTGGCTCCTAAGCGGATAAGTCGCAGCGAGTCTGAACAATATAGCATAAGTGGATATACCTCGAACGGAGCGAGTAATGCCAGCTCAAGTTGAAAGATAAACGATAACTGCTTCCGAATCATTCACACTTACCACCACCCTCCCACCGCTAACTTGCAAGCTTTCCTTCTGCTGAGTTCCGACAGGCGTACAAGTCGAGTCGAAGGTACCGCTTTCTCCAATGGTTACGTCGTTACCCGACAAAGACGTCGCACTAGGAGCAGTTAGGCGTTTCGTCTGTACTGAGGGTGAGTTCCGGCTGAGTCCAGTCAGCGTAATGCTTGCGGTACTACGCGATCCAGAGCCAGAATAATAAGCCGAGTTATAAAGGAGGATGCGAGAGGGGAGACTAGATGTGCCGGGGAAGACTGCATAAACGCCGATAGCAGAAGTTCCGGTGTCAAGCATAACGAGACGAGTCGAAGAAGAAGCGCCAAGGAACTCAGAAACGAAGTATGCACCATAGTAAGGTGCAGCAACACTCGAGCTACCCCAGAAGCAATAGGCCTGAACAACAGAAACTCAGAAAAAGTACAGTTGCACCACGAAGTATGCTTACGCAATTTCCGATAGTACCTTGATGGAAGTACAAACGATCGACCCCGGCGAGAGCACCCTGAAGAACGTAATCCATCACCCAAAGACCCGCACCGAATGTGGGGCTAATCCCGCCCCCGCCACATGTAGCTGAAAGAGAATTAGAGAGTGGAGAGGCAATGAGTTAGGCTTGCCTCGAAGTTCTAATACACGAAGCCCATACGAACCAGAGTTGGTCTCGCCGAGGAAATACTTTTTCCCTTGTGCATGAGCGGCGCGGGCTTCTGCAGTATATTTGCTTGTGTACGACACAATATCTCTATATGCAGCATACTTAAATACACTTTATACAAAAGCCGACTATCTGCTTACGAATGGCTCATTAAGCTAGGAAGATCTGTCGATGCACCACCGCAAGCTGACTGCGGATAAGAGTGGCCCGAGAATGTCTTTACGAATTCAATCGCACTTCCCAGCTTAGGAATTAATCCTGCTGTCGACCAAGACGGATAGCTCAGGTAGACAGCGCCCTGAAAAAAGTCCCCGACCTGATACATCATGTCAAACGTTAGCTGAGTAAAACAATACAAATATCAACATGACTTGTTCACCGACAATGACAAACTTGTGAACCAAGTCTTTTGGCTAGCCCCATCTGTTGTCGGAGACCAAGAAGCTCCATTAGCAATAGGTGAGCTGCTTGAATATACTGTTGGAAAAGGAAGTATCAGTGAATGTATTTCAAGCGAAAAGGTCAACGCACAGTCAGGCTCATTTCCTAATTCAACAGCCAACAAGCCTTCCACACGCCGAATAGCTTCCTCTGCAGCTGTACGAGTATTGACAATGTTATTGAGTTGTCGATTGAGGCCGATAGTCACATCTCCCGGTAGCTCATTGGCAAGAGTGAAAAATGAAGATCCAAACGTGAGGGACAATGGTGCATCAGCCGGTGATGCAACTGTATAATTGACAGCTTCAGTAAGAGATGCATCGTATGTAGCGCGATCTCTGGTGGTAAAGCGAAGTTCAGAAATGATTACAATAATAAATTGAAGCCACAGTTTATACATACTGTGTCGTTCCACCGATTCTGACCGCGGGAGGTGCACCTCTCAGCTCCTGGATGTTTGCTAGGCATGTTGTAGTACCACTCAATTCAGTGTATCCTGGGAATGCAAAAAATTCGATAGAGACACTAAGAAGCGATGGATCCACAGTAACAGCCTGCGTCGGAGCTGATGGCGGAACAGCGATCGTTGTTAAGGTTTGAGCAGTTGAATTATGCACGATGCATGCCAAAGCAATGGCAATAAAGAACGCTTTCATTGTTGTTGCTACCTGTCCTTTAAGTTGGGCAGTTATTGTGTATAATGGTCGTCGTAGTAATCGTGGTAGAACAGTCGACGATGGAAACGAGTCCCAAATAATTGTTACGTATACAATTTATATAGCATCTGGATGGTCGATTTCTCTTCATCGGAAGAATGAAGGCATGAAGCCGTAAAAATGACATCCCGCCGTATACTGACAGCCCGTCGAGTTCTTCCAGCTGCTATCAAAGCCGTCATGAGACACCGAAGGCGGCTAGGGTATCCGGAAGCAAGAAAGCAGGCTTGTGTTATGATCACGAGGTAGAACGCTACACAGACTTGTACACATGAGGATTTCCGGGTGCAAGTCTTCCGGATTCCGAGTCAAGGGGATTAAGCCACGTAGGAGAGTGTGCCTGGTGTGGACCTGCTCCAGTAGAGGAATATGGATCGACTTCCGATCTTCTCTATCTTTCATCTTCTGCGTTTCTCTTCGATTATAATTAAGTCAACGTTAAAGACTTGATGACATTTTGCGCCGGGCCGCCTAATGGATGAGACATCAGGTGACACGTAGTGTTGAAAATATTTAGCAATGCAATTACGTACCGGACAAGGCTGCATACTGAAAAGCTGGGTACTAAAACACTCTATTTCTCTTTATAGGCTGTAAAGTGCAGATAACAGAAAACGCTTTGCAAAAGTTTCCAACACAACAGAGTTGATACTTGATCCAAGGTTGCTTACAGCTGGGTAGGAAAACTGACTCGAGTTGAGAGTAGTAAAGACCTGAGTTCTACAGTCCCATGTAAATGTGCTTTGTAGTGCGGTTTAGATTGAAAATTAACTGTCAATAAAGTTGTGTGATAGTGGTTGACCGTTGAAAATAAATGTAAGTGCATTCATGAATCACTTTTGTCGTCGTAACCTTGCACTGATCGACCTTGCTATATTAATATAAGCGTATTTTTAATTAGAGCTTGGTAAGCAAACAGAGAAGGTAGTCCAATCCAAAGCGTAGAGGAGCAAAGGGCATTGGTACATATTCGTATACAGGAAATAGATAGGTCAGAAGAGGCGAATATATCAGTACAGGTCTCAGGATCCCGCCTCATTAGAAGACCACCAAACATTATGACCCTGGGATTGTCGGCTGACACGATTAATCTCATCTGCATTCTCGCAAGTTGTGCAATAGCGGTCGGCATTGTCATCTGTGTTCTCGTAATCTAATCCTTCCTCGTCGAACCATCGGGACTCATCGCCTTCGTTGTATGCTGAATAAACCGAAAGTGAGACTGACCCAGTTGTAGTAGTGTTTGCCTCTGAGTGAGGATCGAGGGCCTTCACTCGCACACCGTGGGTGGTCACCGCCAGATCCGTGTCGAAATCATCCACGACATGAGTGAACCAAGTGGAATACCTCGAAACCTGTGATGTGAACTGTGTCATATCGTCATCCATGGTTGAATCATCATGTGTGGAGCGGCTATTCGTGCCTATATTAGATAGGAACTTCAGCGGAAGCGGAGGATGACATTCTCGATTTGGGGTTTTGTGTCGTTTGTCCTCGTAGCCGTGCAAATTAAGTATAAGTCTAGATGCCATGGTCACGCTTATCCTGTAGAATCAAATCTATTTTTACAAAATGAGCCAATTCAATGATATAACCACATACACATGGGGTAAAAGGGCATTGTTCCCTGTGCTTTGCGCGAAGAGCGTAGAACGTACGGCCGTCTCCTTTAGAATGTTGGGTTATTGGTTCTAAGAAAGGGATAACGGACATGACGTTAACGTACTGAAAAGAACCCTACATTAGATAAATTCACCACTGTCATGACACTATCAAGCATAACGGGCAACATGAGTGAGTATTTATAGTATTGGCTAGGAAATGACAGCTTACGCAGCATAAATGCTTCCTAAGTTCACGTAGAAATAATCCAAAACCTGCTGTCAAGATTGCTCCTTGCCCTAGTCAAAGACATTTACTGACCATCACGCATCAATAGGCTGGGAAGACCGGCATAGGTTCTGTGTTCTCGCATGATTTTAACCGTTCTTGCTAATGTTAAGCTGAAGACCACGGCGTCAAATACAGTTGACAGGATGACAGTAACTTTGAATGCTGTATAGTTTCGATTATCTATGAGAACCGACATTTATACAGCCAAGTATAACTTACGAATGTCACTAATAAACACATGGTCCGTTTAGTTTGAGAAACAAAATATACAAAACGACACACATACGACGTTTCAAATCCAGGTAGACAAGTTATAAATGCACTTTTAGCTGAGTTACCCAGCCCAAAATTATTGAGGATCCCGAAGAATTTAGTTATTGTCCACTGGATCGCAGACGATTTATTAACCCATTAAATGATGTTTAAAAAAGAGCCTACCGCGGAAGTGACGATAGTCGACGAACCCAAAACTGCAAGAAGACACAATATCTTCATGCTTCGACCATACAAGGCATATGTTCTCAATGTCAACAATACTAGGATAAATGCGGTTTAGATTGACTGGACCATACACACGCCACAATACGAAAGTCACTCTTACTGGAGATAATTACTTGTGTGATTAGACTTAGGAAACTCCCGACCCGGATGAATCTCTTGCAGCTGACATCCGAAATGCGTCAGTCAATTCCAATCATCCGAATTAATGGTCTCACAACTAATCAATCCAAAGATGAGTTGAGTGCTCGTAATACGTTGCATAAGACATATGACATACAATAACGCTTGTCGGTGGGAAGAAGTTGAGATATATCACAAAGATATACCCGAAGAATGTGATGTACCGGTTCAGCAGGAAGAGGACGCTGCTGATTGTCAGTTGGCGATACCAGATGCGTTTCGCCTCCATGCGGAATGTTAATAAATGATCATAATAAAGCACGACTGGAATGGAATTAGAGACGGATATTATTCAATCAAGGGATCAATACCGATTGATGCAATAGCATAATACTGGAGAACATAACTGTCGTAAAGAGAATGACAGGGAATGAGCACTTAAAGTTAAGGCCTAGACAACAACTTCTCCTACATTTGCTCTATAGTCTCAAAAACTAAGCTGCGAGGAAAGAGCGACATGAAAAGAAGACTGAAGGAGGTTTTGGAACCAGGAAGCTGTTCTAGAGAGGTCTGTGACGGCCATATATACTGCGCAGTGCAACCTTTTGCGAACACCGCGCACATGATTAATTGTTGAGGACAAAGATATCAGTCATTCAATAAGGATCATTTCGAAGCATATGGGCGTCGCAGAGTCAATTCTACCGAACTTGAGGTGAATTGACTTCGCAGAGGGCGCCAATCAAAACCCTCACGGTTGGTGCCTGTCATTTGAAGTTGAAATAGCTACATTGACACTTACGGAAAATAATGCTACACGGAAGTTCCGCGGCGAAGGCCATGTCTCGACACAGCACAGGACCTTGGAAGTGAACAACACGCACATCCCCGACAGATACTGAATGGGACGAATTGATAGACCACTTCGATTGTCATTCCATCAATATGCCTGCTTATTAAATATAAATAGGCAGATATAGTTAGAGTGGCAACTTGAAGGGGAGCCAATCGTCATTTCTACTGCAGTTGAGGTAACATGTTAGTGATAATCGCGGAGACTCGGGAACATTGCAAGTCGTGAAACCCGACTCACGTTGTCGGACAAGCTTAGTGATGAACAATGTGATTGACAGATGATCATTGATAAATATTGATTGTTGCAGGGATGCAGAGACTCTGAGAGAGGCTTCGAGCGCGAGCGACGAGTCTCACGAATTGTGACGCTTTCATCACGTGATTTCCCACGTTGATATAATGTGGCAACGGTAACGCCGGAAATGAACTCGGCAAATACTTACCAGTGTAGATTCTGACACTGATACAACTCTGAATCAACATATTATCAAGTTTCAATGTGACAGACCTATTTCTGCCACAGTTATACTAGAAATGCAACTCATAACGTTTCGTTGATATCGCGCACGCCGCGCGGCCACACCAGAGAAGATTTCTACGCGCACGAGCATTGAATTGGTCTGATTGACAAGCTTAAGCTGGCGTGGCCACTGGTTTAGTCCAGCAATGTTGATGTCATTGCAGAAAGTAACCCTTACAGCGCCCTTCGGAATAAATATCCTTTCTCATTACGGAAATCTCGGTTTTATTCCAACACCTTATAGAGCGGTACCCCCCTCACTACTTCCTCGGCATGCAACTCAGACCTCGCAAAGATGAGTTTGTATTCGATGAGATTGACCAGATGTACGTGATTATTCTTATCGCGTGTGCACACTCCTCGCTTAAACAAGTATTGTTTATCTGTATAGGTATGTGCTTCAATATTACGTTCTTGCGTCTGCTGGTAAGGAGTTACTAAGGATGAGAGAATCTTGGATTGTTAACTAAATTTTAGTTCTTTTGTACTATGATTATCTATTGTCGTTGCGTTCCGAGGTCGAGTTCATATGGCTACGAAGGATGACTATGAGTAGCTTTCTTTTCCTATTGAACCGTTATATAGCATTCTTCGGGTATATCTTCATCATGTGTCTCAATTTCTTTCCGCCGACAAACATCGCGGTATGAAGTCTCGCAATGTCTAATGGAGCTATCTTAACATTAACTTGCGAATCTTTTCTAGTTGTAAGACTTTATGGCTCATTGATCAGGCTGTCGTTATTGATGTGCATACACAGCTGCAAACACTTCGTACGCGCAGGTAGCTGCATCAGTTCACTCACGCAACTTGTTATTACAGGTATGCCTATTACCTCCCTTGACACACAGGAGAGCATTGCAGCTGAACACTGCTCCTCCAAGTATTATTCTCGTTACGAATCTATGCCTTATATGGTCGTAACTGGAAAGTAGCTTCTCCCGTTATGCTCTTGGGTCTTGTGAGCGTTATTATGTCCGCAGTAAGTTTTTCTGCAATTGAGATTTGTGGAATTCACAAAACAGATAACTAGTGGACAATCGGAGACTTCTTCGGTATTCTAACTAACTTCGGATTGGGAAGCTCTTCCAAGTCACCATTTATTATCTGTCTTCCTGGATTTGAAACATCGTACGTTTGTCATTACCCTAACAACTTGTGGATACTGTTCTGACACAAGTCAAGTGCTATCCGTGGGTGACGATGGATCAATGATATTATAGATTCATGATTGAGTAACGGTTTATTGCAGCATTCGAAGTCACGATAGCATTGTCGACTGCGTTTGATGTAATCGTCGTCATCCTGACTATGGCGAAGACGATCCGTGCCGCCCAGGAGCATAGGAAAGCAGGCATCCGTGATAGTATTTACAGCTTGCTTATACGCGATGGTTAGTTTCTCTGAAGAAGTACTCGAGTTAAATATACTGAGAAATCGATTTGTCGGGTTTTGGTTAAAAGGAACCATATATGCTACGTACGTGGGGTTCCTATCAAATTACTATTGTAGGTCGATCAAATATTTGAACGGAGCTCCAGAGTCATGACAATTGCAAACGCGATCAATATTGTGTTCTTCACTGTACGTGCAGAAAGTAGCTCGTCGTAGATTTTCAGATCTTATATTTCTAAATACTAAGGATATAAATATACACGGCTCGTTATTTTCACAGAGCTTGGGAAATAACACAACACTTTCTCACGTGTACGTGATTCTTTAATTGTACATTACGATTCAGCCTAGACCTTATCTGTTTCCAGGATATCCGTAATTATGACTTCCAGACTCATACTGAACTTGCACAAGGTCAATGACAAGCGGAGGAAAGCCGCAGTGGAAATACGTTTGGCAACCCTATCGGACTCTAATTCCCATGGTGTGAGAGTGCGCGATATGCTTGAACGGGGTGACAATGTACGTTCTACAACATATGTCTCGAGCATCTCGACATGGCTCGCTCGTGCTGTGGACGATTTCGAGGGTGATGTCATGACGGACACAGAAGGTATGCATGCAAGTTGTGACCGACAAAATTGTTAAGTTACTTACCATTTAATATCAATTGTTTTGGTACAGAAGATTAGAAACGAATCTGGGAATAGATTATTACTGATTTTATTAAATATTATAGTAGGTATTGTTAATCACGAATTGCATCATGGGCGTTTCCAAGAGAAAAACGCATCATAAATACGTGCAGATCATCAAGTAGTGATAAATCAAATGTCTAAGAAAAAAGTTGTGACAACAAAAAAAGAGGTCTTGCTAAAATATACCAAGGATTAAAACAGAGAAAGCAGAAGTCGGAGAGCATCAACACAATTGCGTGATTTGCATCGTTGAAGACATAAATCATCTAAATCCGTATAATACATGATTCCCAGATCATTAAAAATCAAAATGTTGTCCATTGACGTCTTTCCGTCCAGTTCGTTTGAATTCGTTCCTACTTAAGTTCATGCACGAGTCTCGCCATTCTCCGAGACTGGCTCTGGGCCTTTCATGGGTTTACGATTCCCTACCGGACCGACGCCTCGGAGGAACAATAACGCAATAACCGCACCAGCGGCACCAAACCCAAACGTCATCCATTGTGCAGCTTTATAAGCTTCTAACTCTGCGTCAACAATTGGCTCCTGAACGTTATCTCGTAACACAGTGTTATGCACAATGGTAGTTGTCGCAAGTCCCAGAGCAGTCCCGAGTTGTGTTAGAGTCTGGAAAAGTCCACCTGCGAGACTTTGTTCGTGCGGTAGACTAATTTTGGCGACGAAGATTGTACCACATGCAAACACGAAATCTGCGCCGAATACGCTGAGAATGGCTGCAGGGAATCCAAACGCCCAATATGGAGCGTTAGGATCTATCAACGCGAACAGCAAGCCCGCTGTGCTTGTTAAAAGTGTCCCGGCAACGGTGAGGACCACAAGTGGAATGCGGCCTACAACAGCGGCAACGAAGACGTTACATGCGATGCCGACGACAAACATCGGGAGAAGCCGTATGGAAGTGAGCACAGGATCGAGATGCTGGTAGTCTTGATAGAATAATTGAGCCCAGAACTGCCAAGCGAGGAATGACGCCCATTCGAGGAAGGCGATTATCTGAGTTGCGGCGAACTTCCCATTTGCGCGTGTCCACATAGAGAGTTTCATTAGGGGTGGACATCGCTTTCCGGTTTGGTCTCGTTCAAGATAACCTTCCCAAGCGATGAAAGCGGCAAGAAGCAGAACACCGATAATAAGAAGGGCGATGATGTAGGGTGTCCTCCAACGTTGCGGTGCTTGCTCACCCTCACCAAGGACAAATGTGATGAGTACAAGAGCGGAAGTCACCAGGGCAGCACCTAACCAATCCACGCGTCTGTCCGTCTCCGTGGAAGGAACGTCCTTATCAATATAGAAAACGCCACCTATGAACACGAGTGCCGCAAGTCCCGCGGACAAGTAAAACGGCGCACGCCATGTCGCGGGAGCCCATTGGGTGAGTATACCGCCGATCTGCAGGCCTACAGCACCGCCCACAGGTGCGCCTGCAGAAAATGTCGCAAATGCATAGGTTCGGGCGCGAGAGGGTGGGAACGCGTGTGCGAGAATGCCGAGTGATGCGGGCACGACAGCTGCGGGCCCTACACCTTGTAAACCCCGTAAGATGTAAAGCGTGTTGATGTTATTTGCAAAACCGCAGCCTAGTGAGAAAATTCCAAGCCAAAGACAACCGATCAGGAACGCTTTTTTGCGGCCGTAGAGGTCGGCGAGTCGCCCGAAAAAGATCAGCAGACATCCCTATTAGATCAGCGTATCAGATTAGATAAACCGTCAAGAATCGGATGAGTGGAGCTCAAACATACCGATGATAGAGAATATGCGGAAACAACCCATTGCAACTTGTCTTCATCTACGCCGAAGTCCCGGCCTATACTAGGCAAGGTGATAGACGCAGAAGATGAACATGAAATCTAGGAGATATTGATTACGAAGATTCTCATGTAGAAGATAAGAACCACGAACTTACATTCAAAATCATTCCGACAGTGAGAGTTCCGACGAGCATGATACTCTTAGCCAGTGAGCGACATCGCGCCCTCTCCATCTCCTCACGCTGCAGACCGCCACCTGGCTCATCCTCGTCAATGTCTGACTTGCGATAGCCATTGTCAAAGCCCTCTGCACCGCCTTTCTTTTCCCCGTCGGATTTGTCGATCGAAAGACGCGCACTAGAGCGCATCGCCGGAATCGCCGTTTGTGAACTTGCTGCCGACACAGGGCTTCCTTGAGAAGAGGAGGGGTAGGGGTCGATAGAGATGTCGAAAGAGATGTCGAATGGGTCCGATCGTCGAAAGACCGACTCGAAGTCTTCTGGATCCACATCGTGCTGCCTATCATGCATAACGATATAAAATGTCAAAAGTCTCGGATTTGATTGCTCGCTTGCGAGAAGGCAGGAGACTAGTCAGCTTTAATCCGCTCCGAGACCAGTGGCGGTCGGGGAGACGACCAGAGTCCAACTATATGTGAGCGAAAGCGACTGGACTAACGCCTCAAGCACGGGGGAGTGGAATGATGCAGAAGGAGGAGAAAAAGACAAAAGAGCGAGAGAGGCGGAACCATCTGAGCGATATACTTGAATACTATTAAGTAGCGACTACTAATCAACCTTGAGCCCTGCATGCGGCAGTGAATTTTTAGAAGTTGAATCACGTGCTCCCCGCTTCGGCTGCCGTCGCGAACACGGCATTCGGATGACTGACAGTGTTTCCGACACTCGGAACTCAGCCTCTGCCTTTCTGTCTCTGCCTTTCGCCGGAACTTAATTTGAACTCAAAGTCGTTTAGTTTTTCATAAACAATTGGGGTCATGTTAAATAACCTTGAACGTTGTCAAACAAAGTGAGTCTGCAAAGTGACTCAGCTTTCTACATTATACGAGGTAAAATGAGTGGACGTGATAAATGTTACCTGCCTTCAGGGATCACTTTCGTAGACGCCATCATTCTTGCGAAACTCGCATAAACCTCTTTGGCGTCCGTCTGAACTCTAGGAGCCCCAATGGACACAGGATGATCATCATCACTTGCGGGCGCAGGGCATCGCATGGAAGACACTGCTCCCAAGAAGCTCAAGTATGAAGGTGCACTTTTAACAGTTTCACGATGCAGAAGATCCGATTCGACCAACACGGAGGCGGATGGCCATCCTAGCCAATCGTTGCAACGCTTGTCATTCTGATCATACATAGGCCTCGGTCTTCGGCCATATTCGACACAATACCAAAATCGCCGATACACAAGTTTAAAATTGGATGGGGGGATCAAGATACAATCGTGCATCTGAGCCAGCTTAATTGAGGAATCCTATCGACTTGTCTCCGACGGGTATAACTGTCTACTGGCAAGATTGGAGTTTCTTCCTCATATCTCCCAGGTTATGGCTTCAAGAATGCTACGCTCTACATTGCAAGCAGGAAGCGCTTCAGAAGTGATTCTCTATAAGAACTGCTTAACGAGTACCCTTTGACAGAGGTAGTCTGTATCATCACCCTTAACTATCAAGGGCGTCCGATCGATGATACGCCAAACAACGGAGCCAATATTGGTCTCGATCGAGTTCCGTTTAAGTATATTACTTCATGATAATTAAAGGTGATATCCAATCAATGTTAATCAATGCTGTCCAACATTAACGTCAATGCAATTCAACGGGTATGTATACGTCACTCGATCAGGGCAGCGGAGCTGAATCGGTACCTCAAGTCCTTTTGTGACGTTGCACTTGACATCACCTTTACCATAATGTATTTTTATTTTTACTGTCGGACTCAATCCGACAAGTGATTGACTAAATATATTTATATCAGTCAAGTCATCTTTTATCATCTATTATGCTATAAAGAGTAGTAGTCTAATAACTGTAACAGGTTCTCATATAAAAGCATAGATGTAGTAGCATTACACTTCACACTCATTGTACTTTACTTACTATCTGATAACCTCAGGTAATACATGCTTTATAGGCCTTGTCTCCCTGGTATTATTAAAGATGGCAATATTGTCTCTTAGTGATCACACTAGTTCCTACAACAACAAAGCTAAAATAGTCCAACCCATCAGGGGTACATTGCAAAATTGGTTTTTAAACAGATACAAAAACAGAAGTTTGTAGTAATCCATCTTTTACAGAGTACTAGATGCTTCACAACATATTGTTCTAAACAAACACAATTTGCACATCATATTATCAAATTTGTCTGGCCATCTACAGGTATTCAGGATATTGAGGCAACTAAGGCTGTAGTGATTCCTTCCTCTATTCATTGTTGATTAAATTAAACTCAAGAATTTGACAGATAATAAGTACACAACTTGCCTCTGTAGTTAGTACTGGGTCTATATGGAAAACTTGCACAGAGTTACTGTCAATCAATCAGAGTCAAAAGACTCTAATTACTGGTCAAAATTCAAGGGGCTGAGACACAACTGTGATCACTTAACAACTGAGTCTAAGGATCAGAATGTGAAGAAGGAAGTCTCTAAAATGGTTCAAGCACACATTACAGACATTAATGCCAACATTGTGGAATACACAGCACATATGATTGTAGCATACATTAACTACATAGTGATAGAGACATTCTGTAAGCAGTTGAGGAGGGCTGAAAGTCAGATAAACAATCTCAAAAGTCTTGAATACTGTTCTGAAGAGCTTTTAGAAGATGAGAACAGAATTGGCACATTAAAAACTCTAATGTTAGAAGAGATTAATGAGTCTGGTACAAGAGTTCATAAGGCACTTGCTTTAATATTGAAAGGAGATAGTAATGAATGTACTCATAGAATTGAAAGTCATGATTGTTATTTCTGGATAAACAGAGACAGAATTGACAAACAAATGAAAAGCAAAATAGTGTTCAAAGTTTGAACTTTAAGTTAGGGTAAAGATATCTTTAATAACAAAACTTGGCCTAGTAAATTAAAGTACAACATAGAGGACCTCTTAAGACAGTCTTACAGTCTAGAGAGTGAAATTAAAGCTAATTGTCTAATAGTATCTTAGAACCTTTACTTTTATTATAGAATACTATAGTTTAAGGTCTTACAAGTAATAGTGTTCACTTAAAACAGACATGTAACTGTTGTCAGGTGTCTTTTCCACCTCAAGTCAGAATTATGTAAACTTAGTCTAAGTAATAAAACAGAAAAGCAGAAGAAAAAGTAGTAGAATAAGAGATTAAAGTACAGAGAGGGAAAATAAAGGAAGAACTAAAAGAACTGTAAAGGGAGATAAGACAAGAATTTAAGTAACATACTATACAAGGCTAGTATCTCTAAAACAACTATATAGACACTCTATATGAGCCCTTTCAAACAGTTGTTTGTAATATTACTATAGAAGTATTAGATCTACTAGTAATACATTAAAATATAAGGAAGACATTCTGTAATCATAAGGAGAAAGTTTACTTACTTACTAGTATTAATACTACTTTTACTGTATACATTCTCTTATCCTTAATATGTACAACTATATATCCACTTATCTAACTTATAACTTACTATATAAGACTAGTACTATTACCTTATTTACTATTCTTGTTTTACAGCCAGAGTTAATAAATTTCCTAATCTGAGTAGAAAAAGTCTATTTGAAAAATCAGAACTAACTGAGCTCAGGTCAGTAAGAATGCTAGACTAGTATTGTTTGAATAACAAACTACAGTAGTGTCTTTTCATCTAAATAGTAGTAGTTGTAACATATATCTGTCCTAGTATATTTAATTTACTGTCATCTGTAATTAACTTATAGAAGTACATGTTTATTATCCTTGTCTTCTAGCATATTGAGAACAATGTTAATATGTAGATTTGTATTAAGAAAGTTAATACTAGATGGTTTCTCAGGTAATTGTGGTTCATATTCTATTAGTCAGATATATATTCATACAAAAGGTCTGTCTTGTCTTATTGTACACTAGATGGAAACAGTCAATTTTAGCTTTGTTACTAAGGAAATTAGTGTAATCAGACAATACTACAAAACTAGTTGTGAGTAAATGTATACAAACACAGTCTCTAAGGGGACCAAGTAATTATTATTACATACTTTTAACAAGTACAATGTGTACACTATACAATCAAATATGTTGGATAAACAATAAGTATTAGTATATATTATAGTATTCAAGTCAAGCTACTCCCTTTAGTGTTAATCAAATCAGACTCAATATATTACTATAGAATAAGTACACAGACTATCACTAGTACTAGTCTTTATTAAGTCACTATAGATTGTTCACACAAAGTTGCTACCACAATATTAAAGACTACTAGTCAACAACTTAAGAGAGGGCACTACAGTCACAAAGGCTTGACAAACAAGTTGAAGGATTATGTTAGGACACAAACATTTATTAGTATATATAGTGTGGACCAGGTGTCAAGCCAAGCTTAACATTGTACCCTTTTAGTGAAGAGGTTCTATGTATAGTCCACTATATATAGTAATCCCTCACATAATGTCAAGCTTAGAGCAGTCAGGGGTTTGATCCTGATGTAGGGTTGTCTGTGAGCAAAAGTATTAGACTGAGAATAAGCTTCCTAAAAAGGGGGGGAGTGAATTTCTCAGTTGCTTGGAATACTAGAGCCAGGACTCTATATTAGGATATCTCTTTCTACCTCTAAAGACTGTCAAGGTTAAGCTAGAAATAGTAACCCTTAGGGTCAAACTCTATATACTGGTCATGTGAGGACACATGACTCTAGAGAGGAGAGTAATGTTAGGACACAAACATTTATCAGTATATATAGTGTGGACCAGGTGTCAAGCCAAGCTTGACATTGCACCCTTTTGGTGAAGAGGTTCTATGTATAGTCTACTATATATGGTAATCCCTTACAGATTAGGAACAGGATTCAAAGATTAATATCTCTGAGAGGGTTCAAGCACTCATAGCAGACATTAATGCTAGTATTATAGAACATATAGCACACATGATTAAAGCAGACATTAACTGTACTTTAATAGAAAACTTTTGTAATAAGCTGAGAAAGGCAGATAGTTGTATGAGTAATCTTACCATTCTTGAACTTTATACTAATGAGTTCACAGAGAATAAAGACAGAAAGTACAAGTTCCAGAGATTAATATTAGACAAGATTAATGAATCTAGTACAAGAGTCAATAATACACTTACTTTAGTATTAAGAGGAGACAATAAAGAATGTGCTTATAGAATTGAGGACCAAAAACAATTTTTCAACAACAACAACATTAACTAGCAGATGAAAAGTAATATAGAGTCTAAAGTTCAAAGTACTAATTAGGGTAAAAATGTATTTGATAGGAAAAGCTGGTCTTAAGAATTAAAGCACAATATGAAGGAGCTTTTGACTTAGTCTTACACTCTAAGTACTAAGATTAAAGACAAGCCTTCTACCCTAGTTTAGAGTCTTTACTTTGACTATAGAATACTGTGGATTACTGTAAGGTCTTATAAGTAATAATGTCTATTCAAGACAAACATGCCTCTGTTGTCAAGTAACTCCTAAAGCTCAAGTCAAAGCTTAACAAAATAAAGAATAGTAGTAAGCCAGAAAAGCAGAAGGAAAAGGTCCTTACAATGCTAAAAAAGCAAGAGATAACTAAGGTGGAAAGAAGAATCAAAGAAGACTTAGAGCATCTTTCAGAAGATACAGAACAAATATTCAAGCAACTAATTTTACAAGAAGATCAGTTCCTAAAGGCATTTATACAACCTATGTTAGAGCCTTTTTAAGCAGTCATTCTATCTGTAAGGAGGTACAGACTACAAAGAGGTGACCTGTAATCATAGGACAAGCTACTACTTTGTTTGTAGTAATAATAATACCTTTAACTCATACAGTCCATTTTCCCTTTCATATACATCTATTTGACCATTTGTTTAAATTGTTATTTATTGTACCTTATTTCTTGTAAACAGAATACAATATAAATTTATTTAATACACTTAAATCTTGTATGTATACTCTGGTAGAATTAAATTTTGGCATAGTGGGTAAGTATTACCTGATGGCCTAAGAAAAGGGTTTAAAGGTTTGAGTTGTGTTAAAATAGAGGGATACAAATCACTTACTACTAGTACATATAGGGTAATGAAGATTTTTAATATTAACCTATACTTCTTTCTCAGAGTGTTTATTTACTTTCCTACATAATATTTCTGAGAAATACACATTTTACAGCCCTTATCTTGTGAGTATTTTTGAAGGAGACACCAGTGTGGATACCTGTAGTAGAAAAGCTAATATTGTATAGTGTGTCAAGTGATTGTAGTTTAATATTGTAAAAATCAGTCATTGAATCATACCTTGAGGATGGATTTGCCTCACATTGCTACATACTTGATGGTAGCAGCCTATTTCACCTTTGTTACTATAGAAACTAGTGTGATAATTCAGACATCATTGCAGAACTGGACTTGGAAGTTTGTAGCAATCAATATTGTTAAGAGGGCTAGATAATCATTACTACATGGTTCTGGCAAACATAATGTGTAAATTATGCCATCAGGCTTCTCTGATAATATGTACAACTAGTATCTCATATTTGTGACAACCAAAGCAATCCTCTCCCTTCTTCAGTGTTAGTCAAATTGAGTTCAGCAATTCAGTTATATAAGAACTACACAACCATCTCTCCAGTCAAGAGTGGAAAATAATAGAAAGTTCAGATACTCCTCCTACTACCAGTCATTCAATGTTGAAGAGCTCTAACCTACAGTTATCAACCAAGGAAGGGTCTGTACACTACAGTAGTCAAGGCTTAACAAGTAAGTCAAAGGATCAGAGTGTGGAAAGTGATCTCTCTAAGAGGATTCAAGAACTCATACATGACATTAATGCTAGCATCATAGAATACACAGTAAACATGATTGAAGCACACATTAACTACACATTGATATCCAACTTTTGCAAGCAGTTAAAAAGTGCTGGTCAATACATAGATAATCTTAGCAATTTTAACAATTTCCCTGAAAAGTTTTCTGAGAATAGGGAAAGACTCAGAAAATTCAAGAAGTTGATGGAAGAAGAGATTGATGAATCCTGTGCAAAAGTCACTCATGCATTTACTCTAATAAGGAGAGGGGACAACAATGAATGTACTTGTAGAATTAGAAGTCATTATCATTTTTTGAACCAAATTAATGAACAGATGCAACATGATATAGAGGCTAAAGTTAGAGGTGCTGAATGGGATGTAAATATCTTTGACAAACAATTTTGGCCAGGCAAGTTAAAGAGCAAACTAGGTGCCCTGGCAACAAAATCCTGTTTTCTAGAGGCTAAATTCAAAGCCAATGAACTGGACTTGTCTTGGAATCTTCAATTCAAGTATAGAAACCCGTGGCTCAAGATCTCAGAAGTAATGACATATGTTCAAAATAGATACACTGGCATAGTCCAGTGTCTCTTAAAGCTCCAGTCAAAGTTGAATGAAATTAAAAGTAACAGCAAGTCAGAAAAGCAGAAGAAAGGGGACCTGGAAAAGCTAAAGCAAGAGTGTACTAAAGAGAAGAGGAGAATAAAAGAAGACTTGGAATCTCTGCCAAAAAATATAGAATGAAAATTCAAGAAACACACTACATAACATGGTTCTGTAAGTATAATAGGAACTACTACTTATTGTGTAATAATAACATCTCTATATATTTTAGTACAAGTTAGTTGTTGTGTAGACTGGGAATCTAGTGTTCCTTTTTGAGGACCTTAATACCTTTTTCATTTACTACACCTACTTGACTATTTGCTTAGTTTATTGATTTACTATAGATAGGCACTCTTATTATTATCATTTCTTATCTTATAACAAATATTTTATTATTTCTTTTATCTTTGTTATACTTTCTCAAATTGGACAACCTAAACTTGCCAGGTGCTCGATTAAATATTAGTCTAAGATGATAAATTCTACTGTATTAGCTAGATATCTGAGTTGATGCCTCACACTTATACAGTATAACACTCCTGAACCCAAATTAAAATCATCTTGCAATTACAGAAACACTAGTATACACAAGACTGTCAAGACAGTAGTAGCAAGGATGAATCATTTGTCCAACAATATTTAAAGACAATGGCTTACTTTTTGCTGTCTTCTAATCTAATCACCTTACAGTTACTCAAACATTAATCACGTCTGTCATTAAGCCCTATTAAAATGAAAAACCATCCACAACATACATACACGACTTTCTACAGTTAGAGCACTCGATAGTCCATCAAACATAGAATGTCAGAGGACCTTGATGAGTCGATAACATTGACCTTCGAACTAAATAGGCTGAGATAGCCCGCCGACAAGGTGCAATGCGATTGACTTGTCAAGGGTAACCCCGGACATACCAGTTAGTCAGACTTCGGACTTCCCAGGTCAAGCAAGGAAGAGATGCACAACAATCGCTGAATGCAATATGGAACAGTATGACAGAATATCGATTCCCCTTTGCTCGATCGGTGGCAATGAACACGACAACTACCAACAGAGTTGAGGAGGCATTTTAACGCCTGAATCACTAGATCGTCTAAACGATGAACAACTACATCCCGTTAGGAAGATAGTCACACCGATATCGCAACCTACGAGGTAGAACATTGCTAGCTAGAAAGAATAATTACTCGGTTAGATCATAAGAGTCCTCTTCTTACCAACGTGATATAAAGAGCTTCTGAAAATCTTAATAAGTTTTCCATCTTGAACTTAAAACTCTGATCCTTGAGAAATGTGACTGACAATAAGATAGACACACTAAAGGAGAAGCAGCCACTCGAAAGCTCTCCATTGTGGAATGGGTTATAGTTGTCCCGCCAACTAAAAAACATTACCATTTACAGAAGCGTGTAGACATCTTGATAGTTCGTTCGCTTGGACCTTCTATTGATAAATAATAATCATAATCAATGACTTACTTGTACTCGTTTCACTTGACAAAAGTTTGCCTCGTTTTCGAGTACTTCAACTCGGCTCTTGTGAGGAAGGACGAACACCGGGATTGATGATCGAATAAGTTTTAATTCTATTGTTAACTCTAAAACTTAATCCATTAGCGAATATTTGAAACATAGATTTAGGGCGATTACAGGGTGATAGCTGTTCCGTTAAACAAAGTAAAGCAAGGATGAGTCATGCAACATCAACAAGCTTGTACTTTACTGACTTACCACCATCCGTAATGTCCGGAGAGGATTACGTAAAGTCATATGATGTGCACATCTTTGAGCGGTTATACTCAATTGTGGAGAGCACCTAACGGACAGGCTAAACATCCGAGGTAATGCTGATCGAACCATGGGCCCTTATTTGAACGGCGGGCAAGTATCAATGGTAGGTACAGTCGAAAATGTTGAAACGAAGAGAATGATGATCGGAAGCAAGACAAACAAAGAATGTTGCGTTTCCTTCGGTGATCTCGGGGTATAAACTTCTTCTGTGCATGATTAATTGTGCGTCCCAGAATACTTACCATGAGTAAGATCAACGCTGCGGGTACGGGAGCGAAAACAGTGAAATGAGAATGACAACAGAAGAATGATAGAGAATTGTTTCCTCTCTTCTAGGTCACCGGCAGGAAAAACAATGCTCTTGCGGTGCCGCTATCAGGTGCAGGAGGAACACCGGTGGGTTCAACTATAATCTGCAGAAGGAATTGTGAGATACAGAAGGCGATGGTCACTCCAGTTAGCTTGGATGGGGCAGACGGATCGATCAAGCCGATGAATAGCCCATGTTTGATTGACTATAGCCGCACTTTTAGCAATGTTGCAAAGTTTCGCGGACGGTCGTGGAAAGCAAGAACAAACCGGCGAGAAGGCCTCTATCAGGCTGAGCTCCATGGAAGCTCGGTAAGAAAACTTGCCCTACATTTTCCAGTGTCGCTATCAAATGGGGAGGGCACCCCGGAGCAATACATGGCAAGGCAACTTGCGGCAAAGGAGTTTAACAAGACGTGTGATATCGAACGACCGGAGAAGGCCCAACACTTGAAGCGAAAGCGATTCACACTTCCGTAAATCCACTGAGTCTGGTTGCTTGTCTTGTCCATTGTAAATCATCAAACTGTGTCTTCCGATGTCCTTCTCTGCCGACATCCGAGAACACCGCGAAATAGAGGGTGCAAAGGCTCGTAATAGGCCCGAATACCTGACTTAATCGTGAGCGCTCTCAGCTCTCACATACGATAGTGAATTGTTGGAGTCGGACTGGGCGGCACACCGAGGTCCGATTCCGCATCCGAGTGTCCGATTGGCAGGGCTGACACTATGGGAGGGCAGGGGAGGTCCCCGATAATAGCGATCCCGCAGGCGAGAGGGCCGATGCCGGGGAGATGGTCGTGGTGGGTGGAGCAGAGCGGAGAAGATATCATTTGTGCTGTACAGAACGTGACGGGGTGTGACGTGTCGCGCGTGGAAGTCGCGTGGGGGGATGATCGACGCGCATTTGAAAGCTGCCACCCGTGACGCGGTTCTCTCCTCTCCCGGCGATCGAGACGGGATGGCGGCGCACAGGGTGTGCTCGTCTATGAGCAGTGCTCCAACGGGAGAAGAGACCCAGAGCGTCGACTGTGCCGCTCGCGTACGCGGATTGGCGAGGACAATATTTGAGGGATGGACGCGTGGGAGAAGAGTGGGGTTGCTGTGGTGCCAGGACGTCATCTCAGCATCACGGCAGCCCCGCATCGAGCCGTCGTTCCTTCTATCTATGGCCATTAGACTTTTGCCAGATCGACGGTGCATTTTCTGAGAACACGGCGCGGAACAGTGCATGTCCAGTTCTCCAACAATAAAATATATCTCGCCCATTTATTATTAAGACCGCCGTCCGGCATCCTCCACCACTACCACAACCATATTTCCTCTTCTCGCTTCCGTCGATTGATATCTTCTTCTGTCCCCGTGCGCGTCTCGTGCTCGCATTTCGTCTCTCTCTTGAAATCCACCACCAACATGATCACAGACGACCTCCCCTGGCCAGAGCTCGGCAATGTCTCGCGCGGCGCGACGCGCGGAAACCAGGGCTCAAAGGGCGTCCTCGGCCCTCCAGATCCTCAAGGCAGAGCAATCCTCCAATTGCGCGTTCAGCCAGGTGTGCTTGCAGTAAAGCTAAATCCAACTGCTGCAGCCTGGTATCGCATGCTCGACGCAGAGGTCCAGCGCGCTCTCAAGGAGACAAAAACCTACTGGCGCAAGGCGCGAAGACGCCAGGATTATGATGCGCGCGCAGACCAGGACCATATGGAACTCCACGAGTGGCTTCAGCAGCTCAAGGACAAGGCAATGGCCCACCTCGAGCTACTCCTCCAGAAGGGAGAAATCACTGGCCCGCCGTACGTCATGCCCGACCATATCGAGTTCACATTTATGCGCGGTTTCGTCGAGCGACAGCGTGCTGGAATTCCACATAACCCGCGTCTACGTGGACTCCCCCACGATGAGCAGCACCACATCCCGGAAGAGGACCTTGTGGACGACGATGTCGACGCCCGCGGCTCGCCTGAAAGCGTGAGTGTCGCCAGCGCACTCAAAAGTCCCGTCACGCCCTTCGCAGGTACGTTTGTGCACTCCTCTCTCCCGCACAACTATATCCCAACTTGACGTCATGTCAGCCGGTCGTCCTACCTCGTCCACCTCTCCGCCCTGGTCCAAGCTCCCCTCAGACCCCTCGTCATCTTCCCAGCCGCTCGATATCGTCCGGAAGATCGAGGCCTCGCGTATGTGTGCATTCACCGTTGCCTACTTTCTCCCTTACACATCAATTCCCACAGAGAATGCTCTCCGGCAATCCCGTTCGCGGCTAAGGGTTGCCAGAACATCCACTCAAGACGCCTATTCACGCTACAGGCAAGCTGTCGACCAACAACAAATCCTTGAAGCCGAGGTCATCCGCGCTGAAGAGCGCCTGGACGAACTGAGTAAGTTGTCTGACTTTTACGCGTTTTCCCCTCACGTTTTACTGATAGCGAACTTACATAACTACTCATCTCTACATTGTATCATGCACCTACCACGTAGCCCGTGCCCTCGTACAGCAGTCAGCAACACCCACTCAAGGGCCATCCGTCAGCAGTACGTATTAAACAATTATTAAATGGTACCCTGTTCTCTCCTCTTTCGATACCCTTCTGACACCTTCATTTTCCCCCTTACCCACTGCCATTCCTTCCCCATCCATCCGACGATGAATTGGCATGGGCGGTTAGGTGCACCCGCCGCTGGTCCGTCCTCTGACCTTCAAGTCCAGACTCAGCTACATTCACAAGGACAGCCTACCTCGGCCGCTTCAACACCAATTGCAACCTCCGCCCCCAACGGTGCATTCGACCTCGCGTCGTTACACCCCCTCAACCCTTCCTCCCATCCGCGCTCCCACCAGCAAGCTCCCCACCCGCAAGCTCACCATCATCCGCAACAGCAACAACTTACACCATACTCGCAACATCAGGTATATCCATGGGCAGCGTCCCCTTACCCTGGTGGACCGCCTCAACGTCCCGCGTCGAGCGTCTCGGCTTCCAGTGCGCCCGGTGGCTTGAGCGTTGAGCTAGCCCATGCCCAACGTTATGGACCGGAGATGTCTCTCAGTAGCGCTGGTGGAAGTAGGAACACGAACGAGGACTGGACGACAATAGGTTCTGAAAGTGAAGTGAGTCGTCCTGTCCTTCGCTGCAGCACTTCATCTGGTCCTGTGGTCCATGGTGTTTGTTACGCCCGTCTGACAAGCCACGGATTTTCTGGGCAGCAGGCAACATTGATGCACGCACACGGCGTCTCCCGCGTCGCTAGCCCGCAACGCAAACATCCCCGCGAGTGGGAAGGGTCAACTCAACAACAGCAACAACAGCAACAACAGCAGCAATCGGCACAGTCGGCACAGTCGGCACCGCAGATGTCCATCCGAGGTACGAGTCAACCATGCTTCCCATTCTAACAGAACAGAATCCCTGATGGAAATTTCAACAAAATAATGGTGTGCTTCCTCTTTTGAATGGGGCGCGCCTTCCTAGACAGCGGCGACGTAAGTCCCCTTCTCCATACATGGATCAAGACCGAGTATTGAAAATGAATCTCTCATTTTTTTGTAACTTGCTTCCGTCGTTCTGAATGAATATCGGTTTATTTATTTCGACATGCTATCTACCGCACGTTTTCTTGTTCATAGGATTCGGCGCCACACCCTCCCCGGAAACGTATGAACCAGACAGACTCTTCGGGTGCATCAACCCTCCCAATGGCGTTGTCTCTCGCGAGTCCGTTGCCTAGCCCGCACCCTCCACACCAGCCTCACCAGTCCCATCAATCGCAACAGCAGCAGCAGCAGCATGCTTACCACGCGGCGGGAGGGTGGCCAAACTTCGCACCTGGTCCTGGGCCTGATAATTGATCGGCATTCAGTAATTCAATGTGGAAGGCCGCCCTAGAACAGTCTGTCTGCGCCTGGATGGTTAATCGACTTTCCTTCCTCCACTACGTTCTGTGTTCTTTCTTCTTTCTTCTAGCGAAAAAAAATGGCGTGTTCATTCTTCCCTGATGATGATGATTATTCGGCAGAGGGAAAGATGTGCCTTCCTATATTATTTGATTCTACTCCTTTTCCCATTTGTCTCATTGTTTCGTTTGATTTGATCGACTTGATTCCTGATTTCTCGGTTTTGGTTTTGCTCCCCCGGGCTTGTGGTTTGGACATTGGGTATTGGTTGATTGGTTGGTATTATTTTCACAGAGGTTTACTCACACCGATACGATACGAACACTTGGCACATTCGGCATACCCGGTCTCACAAGGCTCATTTCGTTTGTCTGCAAAATATTCCATTTCTATCTCATACATGTATTGGCAAACCAAATTGCAATTGTAACGAGTACATTTCTTTCCGCAGATTGCTCTCGTTCCTATATGCACGCACGTATATATCCTATATCCCATGTTCCACATCCCCGTCCTCATTCTTCCTCATCTCCAGTTCATTTGTACATTTTTGTAGCTTATAGAACGTCCTTCCCGATTTTTTTGGTTATCTTCCTCTCATTTTTCAGCGCCTATTTCCCTGTTTCATTGGCACATGTGTAAAACGATGCTCATGCCTCCATTTACCATATATTCACGTTCACTTCCGTTCATTTTTTTATCTGTCACTCACTTTGTCTTGTTGTGTTGCCGGCCCGCGTCTTTTACTCTGCCGCTTCTCGTTGTCCTATAATTGGGTACGCCGTCATTAGATATCCTTCTTCGTTTTCGGACTCAAGTGAAATAACTATTCCGTTATTCAGGTGTGGGTGGAGGGTTGTGTCCCTGGATACTTTACCCCTGGTTTATCCAGTTTGAACTTCCTTTGCTCTCTCCTATTCTCTCTGCGCTGGTACACTTCTTGCCTTCCTCGTAGTATATTCATTTCACGATTAGCTTGTTTTATAATGCTTTCTAGGTTGCTTTGCCGTTCTGCTTTGATTCACCGTTCCACATTACCCTTACTTTATAAATCCGTACCTGCATCCTACTTCTTGCTTCTTCTATCTTACATTCATGATCTCGCCCGGTTCTGGTTTTCTTGGTTGTCGAACACATACACGCAAATCGGCATGTCCTTCCTCCATCCATCTCATCCCATCACTGTGGTTGTCTCCCATTATACCTTTACCGCCTTTTACATGGTCATATTTTCCCTTTGTTATTCTGGCATTTATCACGCTTCATTGTGATTGCATACGCATACACGCATTCATCGGACTTCATCGGTAGCTTTATGTCTGGCATTCTCATACACAACACGAAACACGATTTTTCATGCTTGTTTTCTGGTCTTTTCTAATCTTAGGCAAGTAAATTATCTGTGTGTATAGGCTGTACATAATTGGAGATATATTGTTCATTGATTAATTGACTGCCGTGTGCGCAAGTTATTTTACGTGCAATGCATGATAAATAAATGCATATGAAATATTATGAATCCGTGAAGATATATATTTTGATTCAATGATTGATTGAAATGCACAGTCAGATCATCAATTCCAATGCGCGAAAAGTGAAAGCGCAAGCTATTGTACGTGCAATCCCCAAAGGATAAGTATACACAATCCTAATATGTAGTACTACTGCGGACCGCAACCATTGCAGAATAAGTAGAACGTGCGTACCATTTTCCGCCTCTGTATTGTACTAGTACCTCATAGTTCCCGTGAGGAGAGCAATAGCTCAGGATCGTCAGCCTTCTTGAGATCTTACATGAGCGCTGTACAAAAGAAAAAATGTACTCAATGGGGCGCCCGATAGGAAGCTGTAGGAAGCCCTTAGACACATATGGGTGATGAGCGATAGGGTAGTACACGATTTATTGAGAAGCTGACGGGAGAAGGGCGGGAGAAGGGCGCGGAGCGGCGGAGGTGAGTGTATACTAAATTTGAACGTGTGTGTATGCACCTTGACCACGGCACGAACGCGGGCAAAGTTGAACGACAGGATATGAAAGAGAAAGAGTAAAGAGAAGCTGGGTCCCACTCCTTCTGCTCTTCAGCTTCCCAGTCTTCTTTCCACAAGTGCTCCACAAAACGGCTGCCTGCCTGCGCGTTTTCAGCCGTTCCTTCCTAATTTAAGTCACCGAAGAAGAAAGGGAACGATAACCAAATCCATAAATTTTTGGTAAGGAAAAAGACAAAAAGGAAGAGAAAAAAGGGACGTCGAAGAAGGAAGGGAAGAGTTCGTGACGACCTACTTCTGCAGTCTTGGCGGAGTTGAGTACTTATTTAGAAACATAAGCATTCATATACAATTGGCGGAACGGTGTACGTATACCATAGTGTTCCTTACACTTCTCCAAGCCAGGCTGCCGACTGGCACGAAGGGTGGGGGACTACCCAGAATGACGGAAAGCTGCTCGGATGACTCGGAGTGAATGGAAAAACGGACAGAACAGTTATGTGCGTGTGGACAGACAGGCTCGGAGATGAGCGTGTATCCAGAAATACGGCTCCGAGACAGGAATTCAGTCCGTCTGTACACGTACGTCAACACATAACTAATGAACTAGTGTGATATTCCGGAAAAAAGGAAGAAGAAAACAAGAAGTCGCAATATTACAGGTTGATGGGAAATACCTTGGAAATTATTATTATTTCGGTTTTGCTTCCGGCTTATGCGGCTTATGCGGTGAGTTACGAAGGTCCACAAGCATGCGGAAGTGTATCATAATTGTGTGCGTGTGTGGGCGCTTATTGACGTGGCCCGATTCTGGGCGGCGACAATGTTGATGGCCTTGTTGGGTTTGATGTGCACATGTTGTGTTACCACCCCATGCACCTTGACATCTTCTTTCTAATATATTATTCATTCTACGCATCTCGACTCGGAAGCAAGGCTAGGCTTTCATATTAACGTATCTAGATCGTTATTTGTCACTTCATAGGAGCCGTTTGCGATTAACGTTCCCGATCTTCAGAGTGCTCCACAAACTATCGTAAAGCATTGGAGCACGGCTGATCAGAGTACGCGTGTAGGGTCCTTATGTGTGTGTTCGAAGGAGGGTGGGTTTGTAAGCGGATTAATGAGTGACGAAGGAGAAGAGGCTTCGTAGCTGTTGTGGGTGGAGTCGTGTGTGCCTGGGCATTGTCAGGTAATGTCATAACGTGCGAGCCATGCGTCTTGGGTGGCAGGCGGATTACATGTTTGTCACTGGAGTTAAGAAGAATAGATGAGACTGTATGTATTGTGCCTTTGTGACCTACAATCGTGGCATGAATTGCACGTAAGAATTTGATGGAGGGATTTAACTAAGTTTCATCGGAATATAGACCATCAGAATAATAAAAGCCATTTTGTCCACTTATTTAAGTTTGATTGTATAACAGGAGGAGGAGCAGTTATTGGTGGTCATCATGGCCCCTCCCTTGCAGGCACAAGATATTTTATCGGGACAGAGATAATCATGAGTTTGATAGCTTGCTGTCGACAGGACAGAGGCTGTGCATATTGTCTCCGTGGATTGATGCACGGGACTTTTCCCGACTATCGAGCCGTTCCTCAGGCCTTGTCCATGATGGGTGCACAGTGACAGGAATAGACTAGACCAATAATGATCGGGAAGTACCCCTTTCTTGAATTTGGTGGAAATATGAATCAATTCAGAGCACAAACCGCGGATTTTCACGCAGCTACTCCAACCAGAAAGAGGTATAGGCAATCTTTGCCATCTCTTCGTGTGTCCATGCCCGTCAGGAAGTTACGTTAGGTATTGTCTTGTTGGAGCCGTCAGCTACCGAGGAAGCAGGTTTCGTAAGTACTGGAGCAAGAAGGCGACATCTGCATAGTCGGCGAATGCGGCACGTATGCTTTGCACGTGTCTGGTAACTCGCACGGGTTCTCATGGTCGGGATGACGGCACAGCTGCAAAGCAGGTTGGGGATGGAAATTGTATATGCATAACGAGGGTTATGTGCTTTGTTGATGCTCCACCGCCCATTTGTGAGAGTACCGCGGCGATACGAATATTGAAGAGGTCCTTTGTGCGCAGTTTTCTCGCGATTGTATTGGAAACGAGTTGCTCTTCAAATGTCCAGCAGCAGTGTTATATCGGCCATATCTACGAGCGGGACCGTAGCGATAACTCCGCCCGAGTTTTGAATCCAATTTGTTTTGGAAATAGTAAAGTCTGGAGCAGCCCAGAGTGCATAGCAAAAGTGTAGAGCGCAGCGAAACGATAGCCGCTGAGTAATTTGCAATTTGTCCTTTACCGAAAGTTTTAATCACGTGCATTTCTAGCGGAAGCAACAACTTTACCCTCAGTTACTTCCTTTTTAACGACTACCAAAACGCAAAGACCGGGGTGCATTACCAGACCACATCCATAAGCCGTTCTGAAAAGAACCGGAGATTTTGACACTGCGGACGTCAGAAAAATGTGCCCTTTTTCCAGCGTGAAATGTCTGTGCATTGTCCCTGTAGACCATAGCTGGATTTGGTTCTCCCGTTGGGGCCGATTGTTAAGCGACACTTTTCTACGCGCCGACAAGCTGTCTCGATGGTCGGGAGAGGTGTGAACAAAAAAGTCACGGGCAGCTTTCATACGCGTCGATCACCCCCACGCGATACCCACGTGAGGTCCGTCTTGTTCTGACAGTTCTGTATAGCACAAATGAATTGATCATTATAACGACATTTTCTCCGCTCTGCTCCACCACCATGGCCATTGTCCCGGCACTCTCGTCTGGCGGATCGCTGCAAACGGGGACACTCCCTTACTAACACTAACCTTAGTACCTATCGGACACTCAGATGCGGAATCGGACCTCGGCTTACCATCCAACCCGACTCCAACAATTCACTGTTGTGTGAGACGTCTTGAGAGCGCTGACTGGCGAGCCTATAACGAGCCTTTCTATCCTTTCTTTCGCGGTGTTCTCGGGCGTGAATGTACAGCTTTAGATAATGACGGCAAAGAAAGACACCGGAAGACACTACTTACTGATTTGCGGTGGACAAGATAAGCAACAAGTACTAGTGGTGTACGGAAGAATGATCTGCTTTCACTTGAAGTGTTGGTTTTCTCTGGTCGTTCGATATCATGCAATTGCGATAACGTCTTGCCACAGGTCGTTTGGCAATGCTTCGGAGTGCCCTCTCAATTTGCTAATGATACTGGGAACTGTAGGGCGCGTTTTCTTACCGAGCTTCTTTACAGCTGCGCCTGACAAACTTTAATTCTGGATCGTATTGTTTCCCATGATCGTACAAGTTTGATTTTGTGCTAGAAGTGCAAGACATAGTCTATCAGTGTAGTCTGTCCATCAGAGTGACCAAATCCGCGACTATCTAGATCGTGTCGAGCAACCCGACTTGAGATGTCTCTTGCTACAACTCACGAGCGCTTCTCAACATCAACCCTTTACCCACCGGTGTTCCTTTTACAGTTGATGGTGGTACCGCAAGTAGATTGATTCTCCTCCCGGTTGATCTAGAAGAGAAGGGCAGATTCTCATGTCTTCTGTTACTACTTACATTTGCTCCCAGTTCGCTCCCGTATCTGCGGCGTTGATTACACTCATTGGTATTTCTGGGACTCGCAATCAATCGTGCACAGAAGTAGCTCATGTCCCGAGATCACCGAGGGAACGCATTATGCTTTGTCTTACTGTCCGATCATTATTTTGTTCGTTTCCACATTGCAATTGTACCCGCTATCGGTATTGGTTCAATGCTTAGCCAAGGGTCGCGAGTTGACTGGCTTTTCCGCGGTCGTTGAGTTCTCTCGTTAGGATCTCTCCGCAATTAAGTACGACCGCTCAAAGACGCGCGCACCATGCGTGTTCTTACAAAGACCTCACCGGACACGATGCCAGTAAGTTCTACCTTGGGCGTATGGCTTATGGCTTATCCTTACTCTACTTTGCCTAAAGGAATTTCCACCACTCTAACATAGCCCCAGATCTCTATTTCAAGTGCCCGCTATCAGATAGGTTTTTAGATCTCAATGACTGGCTGATTTGATCAATTCCCGTGTGTTCGACCTTCCCTCAAGCAAACGGCGAGAACCGAATTGATTCTTTGAGAATGAACTAAACCTAGTCAGCGTGAAACGAGTACAGGTAATTCCTCGGTGATTACTCAATGGAAGGCCTGAACTAACGAACTATCAAAGCGTTTACAGACTTCTGTAAATGGTATTGTCTTACCAATGGGAGAATAAGGGTGAGCCACTCCACGGACACTTTCGTGTGGTAGGCTTCTGCCTTGTTGTCTCACTTATCAAGGTTGGGAGTTTTAGGTTTTGCAATACTTATAAGATATCTAGAGGAGCTTTACACCATGCCGATGAGTACTGCAAGCAGCAAAGCTGCCGAGAAATGTTTCGGCGATGTCGTACATCATGTATTGTAGTATCGGAGCAACTATCTTCCTCCAGAGGTTTTGTCACAGCCGTGTCACTGAATTTGGGGACATGACTCTTGACAACTCATTTCCGTGTTTCTCGTTATTTTACACGACCCTGAGGTATCCGAGCAGCATTGTAGCATTTTGCCACGATTCGAGCCGTGGGGCCAGGATCGTTTTTCTTTTTTGTCCGATGCTGACATCCGCAGCAAATGCTGTTCTTGTTCAAGATTGCTTTCATTCACAAGAAGGTATTCAGTTGGTATTAAAGGTGGGTTCATGCCACTGTTTGTTCATATCGAGCCACTTGGCACACTATCTTCCGGATGATCAAGTGGTTCTTCTGATACTGTTGTGCCTCCTGAATTCCTCTTCGTGCACTTTACAGTTGATCGAGCAAAGAGGAGTGGGCACTCTGTTTTATACAGTGCCGGCTTTTATCTTTTATCTCAATCGGTGTTCAGCACCAGAAGGCAACCGAGCCAACGTTTTGTGCGCCGCTGAGCAGCGTTTTGCATCTCCTGCTTGCTTGAAAGTCATAGTGGTATGGTCGGGTACCTTGATGAGGCCAATCACAATGCACTATGTCGATCGGGCTACCTTGCCCCTTTTTTCGTTCGAAGGTTACTGTTATTGCCTCATCAAGGTCCTCAACCACTCTGTGTTGATTATCAAAGCAGTGATTGCGTTCTGTGCACTTACTGCCAATTTTTTGCTTAATGAGTTATCGATCTTGCAATGTAGCCTAGTTTTCGAGACTTTGAAGTAACGGGAGGTGACGCTTTAGTCGGAAGTAGATATGCTTGTTACTCGACTTCAAGTTTGAAGTTAAAGGACTTGTCCCAATTCTGTTGGAGACCTGATAGAGGCGGCTCGTCCCAGAGCAAGTAAAAAATGGTAAATTATGCCTAGGATCAAAATACACTTGACGCAGATTGATAAACGATTGGCTGATCATCATCCAGTCTGTGCCACCTGTGTTTTGTCTATGGTGAATGATATATATGCCCTTTCAGTCTGAGATGCAGAGTGACATGTCATAATGTATTTTCCATTCAGTATTCGAAAATATTATAGAATTAAGGTCGCTGATAAAGCCAAAGGTACACGTTGCATAGGCTTCTTTCTGCACCTCTACCCAGTCCACACGAATATAGACTAATCAGTATAAATGACTTGTTGCACTACTTTTCAAGCAAGTAATATAATCCTTGAGTAATTAGTTAAGACAAGATTCTTACTACAAACTCATTCGAGGAAAAGTGAGCATGAGCTATAATGTACAACAGTTTTGTCAATGTGTTCAAACAATTACTTCAAGTCATTCGTTCCATACTGTAATGACCTCTCATATCACATATTCAGGCTCCCCCTCATCAACCTGATCAACAACAGGCCGGTAGGCCTCTAGTAATGAGTTTTCATAATAGCCTGCAAACTTCCGATCTTCTTGTACAACGGGTTCATCAAATCTTCGTTTTATTTTACTTTGTACACGTTGTAATTTGCCTTCCCCTTGACTGATATCACTTTCCAGCGATGTCAATTTCCGTTTCATTCGTTTTTCTGATTCGTTACTTGTTTTAAGCAAGTTCAATTTTGCTTTGAGCCCCTTGAAGCGACTTACAGAATCATTGTGTGCACCTTGAATGTCCTTTAGTGATTGAACGACATAAGCCCAGGGCGCTCTACAGTTGAAGTAGAGGTCGTAGGACGAAATTCTAGAACATGAGCTAAGGCCTTTAATGACATCTTGATCTCTTCGTACAAGGTGCTCCACAAGGCTCTTCACATTACTGGGCCAACATTCTGAGTCACCGAGAATATTTTCTTTCCACTTAGCAATGTGAACCTGAGATAGAATCTCTTCTCTCTGTTGCTCGTCAAATCTTTGTTCGATCCAAGCGTTATATGTATGAAGGACGCGTTTGTATTCTGCAGAATCCACACCGGTCCCTTCTTTGACTTTGGAAAACGCATTTTCTACTCGTACGCCGGCATCTTGAATCTCCTCCTTCAACAGCGCTTTTAACTTGCTGATCCTATCATCGTTCTGTGAAAATTCGCGAGGATAACGATTTATAATGGTAAAATTGGCAACATAGCGATCGGCAGTCTTTAGCTCATTACAATAATTTATTAACACTTCTATGACAATGGCCAGTTCAAGAAAGCGCACAGCATGCCTTTTCATACAAGCATCAACGTCCACTATTAGTGCTAGGACTTTCTCAATGACTTCACTCCTCGGATCCTTGTTCTTTGTCTCACTCTGTGATCCATGACCACTAGAATGGTTGCTGGTCTTGGATGTTGGCGTGTTCTTGGGTCTGCTTAACCTTGATAGTCTGAAAGTGTGCTTGTGATTTGTTTCCATACTGACTCTCTAAATACTTAGAGGGGGAAGATCTGTATGCTTGTTGTATGTTGAAGTTCAGCAATTATAAATGGGGGGTACTGAAGGGTTCCACTTTGTACTGACTCGGAATTTATCTAGCTTATTAAATAAAATTGATGGGAAATTTTACTTTGCTCAATTCAACTCATTTGGTGTCATTCCCCGAGGTCTACATTCGAGAAAGTGATGAACACAACAAACTTCCTTTTTCAATGACTTTTGCAACAAGCTGCATCTACACAACTCTACTTGCTGTACTATGGGCATTAACCACTTGTATGGTCTCAATGTACTCTACAGAGAAAGAATGTCTTGGAAGTTAGACACTTTCCTGGAATGACTGAATGCCAGTTGACTAACACTAATATACAGTCGATAACAAGGTCCATAGTCTTTCTGTACACCTGTTTCATAACGTACTACAGTTTTCAACTCTTTTAGTTTTAACTCCGTACAGTACAAACAAACAAACTAGATCCAGTGATTATGCCTTGTTTTTTACATTAATTGTCTTCAGAAAGGAATTCTCGTGCCCGCGTCAATAGCTTTTGTAGTAGGAATTACTTGAGTAAGAAAGTTCGAGAAATTTCAAGCGTAATGATGACTAAGCAGACCAAAACACATAATTTTCAAGCTTTTCTTCAACACACTCTTCTTTAAGCTCTTACTTCACAGTCGCCGTTGCTGTTGTCTATCGTCCCCTCCTCTTCGCGACCTTTTGCTCTCTTGTTTCTTTGGCCAAGGTCTGACACTTCGTCTTTCCTCTCTCCAATTCTCAAGGAAAAAAATGGTGCGCTTTCGTGGACTAGCTGCTTTGCTGAAGGCACGCTGATCTCTGGGACTTGTTAACATTTCGGTGCAGGCGTCCCAAGCGACTTTCAAGTCTATCAAGTCTGTCATTCCGCTCCTTGATCGTATCCTAGTGCAGAGGTTCAAGCCTGACACTGTACGTTCGTTTTCCACCGTGCTTTACGTCTGCATTACACGTCATCTGACTTTTTTTCTCGTTTCTCATGCTCGACTCGATGTGCCGTCTACACGGACGCGCTTTACAGAAAACCGCGACTGGCATCTTCCTTCCGTCGAGTGCAACAAACAGTCCTTTACCAGAGGCGACGGTAATTGCCGTTGGTCCGGGCGCACCAAATAAGGAGGGGAAAGTCGTACCGACTAGCGTCCAGGCGGGTGACCGTGTCCTCCTTCCGGGTTGGGGAGGAAACTCGTTCAAAGTTGGTGAGGAGGTGAGTAATATGTTCAGTGTTCTAAGCCCGAGGTAGCACGACTTAACACATAATTTCTGTAGGAATATCACCTGTTCCGCGACTCGGAAATCCTTGCGAAGATTAAGGAATGAGACAGTCAACTAACACGTCTGGTGACGGCAGAGGTGAAGCATGGTGATTTGAAGGCGTAGAGTGTGATTGTAGACAAGGGTACTGCTATATGGTGACTGATGGTGAACCTGCGTTTATGTGGTGGAAAAACAGAGGGCTACTCTCCGCGTTCGTCTATCCCTCGTTCCTCTTTCCTTTGGTATTGGTGTTTTATGGCATATCTCAACTTCTTAATCGTATCTACATCACCGCATTCACACAGTTTTAGGTTATGCTTTTAACTGCACCGCATTAGATATATGAATTGAATGAATCCCAACTCTTCAATTTGGCATTGATCGTCTCGCTTTCATTAGGCATACAACTCTACTATTATCTTCCATTCATCACAAGGGTTCTCAAGCACTGGATCAGACCAGTCGTCCTACGGCAACTCAGACGGAATGGTTGATATAACAAGACCGCTACTCGGCCTATGCCTGGCACATTCAGCAGCAGTCCTCGAAAGGATATTGTCAATTCCCGTCGATTGCAATCGAATCGATAGGTTCCCATTAGAGGAAGTTTGAGTGGGGTTGATATATTGCATTTTCTATTAAACTCCCATTGCTTTCACAGGTTTTCACAGATCACTCATCGTTTGCAAGGCCCCAAATCCGCCAAGTTCCTCTTGACATGTGGAGGCAGATACTGCCATGATCGGTATCTTCATACAAAATCAAATATTAATCGCTGTTGTAATTTATTGACCAAAATTACAGATGAAATAATACGCACGCAATTTTCCTTGCAAGCTGCATGCGCTCTTCAATTCCTCGTGAATAGAGTGCAAATACCCAAAGAAGCCAGCCGAAGCTCTGCCAGTCGGTCAAGTGGGGAGCAACGTTGTCGAGTAGATAAAGGAACGCATTCGCCAGGGAAACGGGAACGCTGTTGTATTTCTCCCTGAGCTCGTAAGGGTATTCGTCCTTTTCGAATAGGGATTCGAACCCGGAGAAGAGGGGTGCTCGACCGAGATGTCTGAGAGCGAGGAAGGAACTTGCCGGGGATCTTTTACAGTTGTTCGTGTGTAGGTGAAATGCTGGCACAATGAAAAAGGAAACAGCTTACTGGATGCTGTATTGTATAAGATCTGTGACAGTATCCAGAAACGCTGATAAATCGCGCCATTGTAATTCCTTGGCTTCGCCCCCCGAAGTCCGTGAGTGGATCCAAATCGACTTGTACAATAATCCTGTCTTTTGTCCTGCACAGTTTATGTCGACCTCCAGTAAGCAAATAAGTGCTCTTTGGGCCGACGCGAGGAGATGGTCGAGCTCTCTATCGGGCTCTTCTTGCAACCGGATTGTCTGTAGGGCAACGGCCTTCGGAGCACCGATGGTGACGAGCAGTTGTCGAAGATACGTGTCGTGAATGGAAAGCTCGATAATAGCATCATATGCTTGATACTGGTTTGTCGTTATGTTAGAGCTGACATATCAACCATGGTGAAGGATCGAATTACAGGGTTCAAAATGAATGGGTCACGGACCTTGTGTATTTGATAAGTTTCCGTACTTCCTTTCGACAGCGTCTGTCCTCAGCAGAATTCGGAAACGGGATGTACCCCACCAGATTCGAAGAGAACCAATCGCAATGCATACATGTGCTCCTCTTCTTCATGAGCCGCCGTTTACATGCTTCTGGTCCACAACCAATTCGAGCCATGCATTTATTTAAAGCATTCTCAAGCCGTCTCCCAAGATACGTATAAAGCTTCCCTAGTGTTCGGCCAGCCCCATCAAGGGAGTCTGCAGTGGCTGTGGAAGATATAGAATCGACTGATTGTGCGGCCCTTGTTGAGAGATATACTTCACGAAGTAGAGTCTCAGCCTTCGTGGGTATACCAGAATTTGAGGGCATTGAGTGGGGCATAGTAGACATTGTGTATGTGCAACGGGCAACAGGTCGACGCCTTTCTTATACTCAACACCAGACCTTCAAGAACTAAGGCCAATTACATTCTTCGCTCAAATTCTCGACCCAATTGGAGATTTACATAGCTTCCCCTCCAGTCCTGCGTGGATCCCTTCCGGGTACTTATGAATCATCCACACCAACGGGTTTCCGCTGTGGAGCATCATACGCGGAACGCCCAGGGAAATATACACTCAGGAAAAAGAAGGTCAGCAGACTACTAGTACTGACTAGACAGGACTTGCATAAGTTCTGATGACTCGAGGACTTCAGTGCCTCAATGCTACAGGAGGCATACTGCTAAGGCTACTGGCCTTCTACAACCGTTTGCCTGTATTGCCTATTGGGGCATCCACATCCTTTTTCATTAAGTAATGATGCACCCTTTTGTACTGAAGTTTAACCGCTTAGCATCATTAACATTTCCAGGTCTGCACCCATAATATTTGATCTACACTTACTATTAGAAGTAAAGCCACAAATGAGTTCATACTGAAGTTATTCTATGCAGAAAACTCCAATAAATTTGATTCTGTTTTCACAAATGTTCTGTTGAATTCAAATTATCCTGAAGTTGCCTGAACATCTATTAATCAAAAATAAGTTCCGATATTGAAATTCATTCAAAATGAGTCACAGATGAATCTCAGGCAGCTATGGTAGATATTTGCATAACAATGTTATGAATATATGCAATATGCAAAAATGCAAAGACTTTTTTCCTAGACCAAATCTGAGACTCTCAACCAAAATGCATTGTCATAGTGCATAAATTGTATAATGCATCCCTAGATTATGCAATAAGGTGTTTTCTACTGTACAAGTGTAAGTAAAGGTGAACGCAATATACCATATGCTCAGATCTGAAGTTTATTTCTCAACGTGGTATAAAAGAAGTTGTAAACATCATCTGTAAACATCATCTATGCAAACGCTCATAATTGCAAATCACTAAATTTACATTCCAAGATCCTAGATTGCTCGGATAGACGACGACGACACTGTACTATGTAAGAGCGTGATATACAATTGGATGATAGGAAATTGCGAATCGTGATCATGCACATACAAAGCAGGAGATACCGCGACATATGTGGATTGTGTAAATAGAGTAACGTAATTGAGTGTATGCTAGAAAGAAGTGAGAAAAACAGTAGCATGAATAGATATGTAAATAGAGAGTCAAGGCGAATCGACCGAGCTGCAGTGGACAAGAACATCCTCATCACCCTAGTATCATTTCGTCTCCCGTCAATTCCATATCGGCCTGAGATCCTTCTCCTTGCGAACGAGATGTCGAACTAGCAGGCGGGTTAACGCGATCTCCTACGTTCATCGCCTGAATACGCTCTGGAAGCATCCGTTCCCGCTCCACTTCGCTTCCGTGATGATGAAAGTCAATGTTGACGCTGACATCCCCAGTTCCGGAAGCAGCCAATGCTGCGCCCTGGGAAGCTGGCCCCATAAGTGCATCAGTCTGCATCTCCCCAATACCAACAGCGTGGAGGAAGCTGCGAATTGTTGCTTGCTGTTCTGCGGTGTATGCATTGAAGTTGATACCGGTGGGGAGGGTCAACTCGCCGACAGATCCGTCCGCAGTCGCGAGAGAATTGTTTGCAACGTCGGGCAGTGCCGTCCCTTGACGTCGCAGGCTTTCTTGAACGAGTGCGGCTGATGCAAAATCAATAAGCATTGTTGCCGTTGAAGCATCTGAAAGGCCTGCAGTACCCATGTATGAGCCTGCAGGTAATGACGCTGGACCGCTTGGCCGGGCCCCACGCCCAGCTGTTTCCGTTGATGACTACACAAAAAGGTCGTCAAATTTTACCCTTCAGAGTAACTGTCGAATGCTTACCGTTGATGCATTCCTAGCAGCCGCCACGGCGGAAGCAGCGCTCGGAGCTGGCTGCATGGCAGCAAGTGCCGCAGCCGCAGCCGTAGACATTCGCTGTCGCTCCCTGTCACGAGCCTGCCTCCGTTCAATTCTATCTAATGTTGCACGACTGGCCCCTGTTCCGGTGGTATTATTTTCTACATCCGCGTGCTCTTCGGTACTTTGATTTTGTTGAGATGGGTTTGTCGTGGCAGTAGCTCCTGTAGTGCCGCCGCCAGCACCACTAGAGGTGCCATTGCCACCCGTGCCTTCATTACCGTCTTCTCCTTCGCGTGCGCTGCACCAGAAACGATGACCTTCGCTCCACGCACGGGACTGGCACTCCTTCCCACAGTATTTCGCCTTTCTGCACCTTCGGCATTTTGCAAATTCTCGCGGGAAGGATTCCCATTTTCCACAAAGCACTAGAAATTACTAATTTAGTTTATTCAACCAACGTGTAGGGTCAAAAACGCACTGTTAGCACATTGTCTAATACCACCACGACTCTCGTCCTTGCGGCATGCATTGCGCATAATCACACCTGCCCAATACTGAATCTCGGGCGGTAAGAACGGTGGAGGCGAGGGAAGAGCACTCTCTGTCGGACTGGGCCTGAATGTGAACCGTTCGACTAACGAAAATACGTTTGTCATCCGGGGTGGAGTACCCGAATTCTGACCAGTCTGAGAAACATTGTCACGAGAACCCGAAGTCGCGGGTGTAGATGTCTTTTCCTTCTCCTTTCCTCGTCCGGTTAATGTTCTGAAAAACCCAAGGTCCTTCTTGGTATCTGCAGTTGAAACTATTGCAGGATTAGCAGTTGCACTTGCGCCGGTACCAGTCTTCCGCCAACCTGATGCCTCTGAAGTGCTAGTCATGCTGCTGTTCTGCATACTATGACCCTGAGCCATCGCTGTAGCCGGATGGAAGCTCAGACGTGGTTTGTAAAATGCTTGCCGGACGTGAGGATACTTGCTCAGATACGCCAGTAGCTGCAAAGACAATAGCACATCTTCCTCACGATACGGACCCTGCTCCTCTGCGTGGTGATGGTGATGATGATGATGCCGGTGAGATGACCTGGGAGGCATTGTGGTAGGTGCTGGTGTTGCTGCATTGGCTGTATTGGCTCCAGTTAACTGAGCAGCCCTCAAGGCAGCCTGAGTAATGGCGGCCCCTCGAGATGGTCCAGCACCAGTCGCGGCGACGGGCATCGCGATCGGAGCAGGGACATGTGCATGAGGATGTGTATGTGCATGAGCGTGCATGGGAAGATTTGCAAGTACGGCACGCGGCGTTAATTCTTCACGGCCGTGGACGTGTGGATGATGTTCTCGTTGTAGATTGATGTTCCTTGTGTTCAACGTGAGAGTGTTTGTACGTGTGCGCGGTGTTGCATCTATAGCTCCTGGTGCACCTGGTGGAGCGCCCATAGCAAGATCATCGTTCACATTTTGGTCGAGTGCAACGATTCCTTCTGCTACGCCATCATCACCAACGTTAGTATTGATGATAATGTGTGCATCCATGTCAACATCAAGCGCATCAGATGCACCAGCAACACCCGCTCCCACTACACCTGTGGCTGCTGGTGAAGGCGAATCTTGTACAATGCCGACCGTTCGGCGTGTATGAGGATGTGTCGGAAGGCGGGGAGGCATATTTTCGTCAGTGTCGTGGTCGTGTGACGTCGATTCCATGTCCACATCACCGTCTGCGTCGGGGTCGCCATCATCCTCCGTCTCGGTGTCTGGTCTGGATGTTGAAGCTGAAGGGGTTGCGGATTCTGCTGCTTCGCGAGCCCGAACTGTCCGAGAGCGGGACATCGACGGACCCGCTGGCGTAGGCTCACGTGCATTTGACTGCGCAGTGTCCCATACTCGGCGTGCGACGACCGTCCCGGACCTGTCACGGCCTGGAACGATGACAGTGCTCGTCGGTGTGCCCGATCCTGATGGAGTTGCATTAGCAGACGTATCAGTAGAAACAGATGTCTCTGCGTCCGATGTGGCAACATTTTGTTCCTCCTAAAGATCCCATAAATCAGTCAGCAACAACAAATTTGATGGATGACTCACCTCAGTATTCGCAAGCGATCGTTCGATAGCGAGCAGCCTAGCAAGCTCTTGAGCTTGTTCGCGCTGTCTCTGCTCTAGCTGTTGTTGGCGACGTTGCTGCCGCTGTTCACGGGTCTCACGTGGTATCCCGCTTGCACTGGCACTCGGGCCGACCGCGAACCCCTTTGAAGCCAGCCATGCCTCTAAGATACACCCGACAACTTCAAGAGTGCCCGCTTGAACGACACGACTCCGAATAGGTTCCGAGCCACGCACACCAATGTTGACCACACACTGGAACGCCAGCGAGAAGCGGTAAGAGGCATGCCGATCAAAAGATTTCGGATTCAAAGCTGGGACCTGCGCTGGACGCGGAAGACCCGGAGGAGACAGCCCGAAGATTGCAGATGGATTCTCCGGGGGCGGGGGTGAAAGGCAGAAGTCGCGGAGGAGGCGGACGAGTCTTTCCAGGCCACCGTCGCACGTGAGTATCTCCCGGATACGAGGTGATGTCGACGTGAGATACGTGAGGTGCGTGAGCGAGTTCAATAATGGTAAAGGCGAGTTGGTGTCGAGCGCTGTGCATGTCGTTCACGGGTCAGACATTTGTGGTACCGGCACCGACAGCCAAAGAGACAACGATTACTCACCTCGTCTGTCGTAGAGCTGAGAGGAGATACAGACACAGGCTCTGTTCTGAGCTGGAAAAGCAAAGTTGGACTCGCGCATGGCGAGCGTCGGGCGGTGGACGATGAGGAGGAGATGGACGTCGCTGTGGACGATGACGAGCAGAGCAGAGCAGAGTGTTGGTCGCTGTCGAAGACGACAACAGGTGGTTTAGGGAACGATGACTAAGAATCACGATGACTAAGCATCCTTGTTTCAAATCAGGCCACCAGCTTCTTTTGCTTTGCTTTAAATTGCTTCGCCAACATTCAATCACTCTTGGAATGACTACACAAATTCGGGAGTCGGATAAGATGGGAGTGGATTCAAGCCAAGATGGGTATGCTTCCTTCCAACTTCGTTTCTTTCCGTCAGAGGGGCGTTTCATGGCGTCATCCATGTACATGATAACTCCTCCAGCTCCCATTGTACGTATGTGTGCATATTAGAACCTTAAGGAACGCTGTCTCGAAAGCTCCAGTAAGGCGGGCGAATCTTGTATAAAGTCGTCCAACCCGAGACATTACTCTTGGAGTGCACATCCTTGCTTGCCTGAGCCCTGCTTCACCCTTTGTGCTCTCACAACAACGTACTTTCATCTAACTATAACACGAGTTCTTGATCCGCCGTCAGTGTAACTGCAACAAAATGGTTGGCCGTCATTCATACGTTCCACATCGTCGAGCTCTTTATGCACTCCTTTGGATGATATCCGTCGCAGAGCTCGGTTTCACTGCCTACCGCATCCACTATACGCGCAAGAACTTCGGTACTCACGGTCAGCTCGCTCACTCCCATTCATGTTAAAGTCAGTCCATGCTAACATTACCGTCATCTAGAATCTATCATCGTCGAGTTACTCGTTGTCTCAATTCTCACCATCATCTGGGCACCTCTAACACTCATCTTCCATCGTTCCGCTCCGAATAGCACCGGTAGCACGTCCACATCCCGCTCTGGTGGATTGGGCTTCCTCCATGGCGAAACGACAGGCAACTTCATCATCTGGGTATTGTGGTTGGTCGGTGCAGCGATCGCAACACATAACTGGCCTACACGCGCAATCGCCGGACCAGGCAAACAGGGCCGTATTCTGATTACGATCGTTGCCCTCGCATGGGTCGCATTTAGTCTTTTGACACTTGCAAAGATAGGTGCGATGATGGAGTATAGTGCAAGGAACGCAATTGGGGGAGGAGCTGGGTTTTCAAATGGGTATGGTAGGGAGAAGGCTGGACCTGGCAATGTAGGTGCCAACGCTGGCAGAGCCACTCCAGCAACTACTGTCTAAGTAAGCACAGTTTGACTGACATAAACACTTTCTATCTCCTCGTCGACCTTGTTCTGTCTCCAAACACGGAATCTCATCGTCTTTAATTTGTCATAATAACTAGGCGCTACTCAAATAGGATAAACAAGCTGAAAGTGTACTACCTAATAAAAATGCAGATTTATTGCCTCAACAGTATTGCAGTTTAAATAACATAACTCAACAGCAACCTTAACCCTCACGGGTCTGCAGTTTCGTTGTTCGAATTCAAGTCATTTACCCATTAGAGTATATAAATAAGGTATTCCCGATTTCCTTAACTTTAAAAGAGATGTCCTTTTCACTGTACATAAATGATTCAAGATATTAATATTTACTGTTGTATTGATGAAAGATAATACTGTTAGAAAAAGAATTAATACAAACTACAGTTGAATTTTCCTATTGTGTTATGTTAGGAAAAAGGTATGCTCAGTATATAATACAATTTATATATTATAACAATACATTCTGGCTAAGACCTTAAGTTTAGTCTGAGCAAAAGTTACTTAGATTGTACTGTTAATGTGTATATTATATTTTTATTATAGAATCTAATAATGTCTTTTTATAATAATATCTTGTCTTGTAACAAATATCTAGTTTACAAACTACAAAAGTTTTATATTTACTGTTTAGTAGTAGAGAAATACATAAACTATTAATAAAGTTTAGTAAATATCTTATTTCAACTGATATAAATTATAAAATAATTAGAGGTAACACATACACTTGGTACTGGTTAGGATGGATAATAGTAATTGGAATCAACATAGTTTTCCCTGCTACTGATTTGTACTAATACACATATTAAAGTAATTGGTTTTGACAGAAAATACAGTACAGTTTGCATTCATGTGAGAGCAGTCATACATAAATGCAATAATGTATTAACAGCATCATTTCCAAATTGGGACTAAACCTTCACAATACACGCAACATGAAACACACTGCTGATATATGTATAAGTGAATAGCATGAATGTTTCTAGCTAGTCTATGCACATTTGATACAATACAATACAATACAGGAAAATACAATACATATTTGCAAGGACGGCATTAGCACAGAAAATGGAGTGACAAGGGTACGAGTATGATTACCAGGTGTAAACGATCAAAGGAGATTGGACAAAGAAAGAAAATCATGGAAATTTGCAGAGTGCAAGCACTGGAAAGCTGAAGCAGGATAGATAACTTTGTTAAATGCAATATAAAAGGACAATTCAAGAGTGTGAGGACAAGGATCAGTGTGAAAGAATAAGTAACAACATCATGAAGAAGGAAGTGCAGTGAGACACAACGCAATTGAGTAGAAACGGACGAAAAAAGCCTGAGCAAAATACAAAGAGAAATCGGTTCTATCACCTTCACCCCATTTTTGCCAGATTCTTTCAACGGCGCAAGGACCGCTTATAAAGGAAATCCGCAGCGCGGAGTCCTCATCTACCCACGCCTCCTTTTCTTCGCCCCTCTGCTACACTTTTCTGCACGTCCTTCAGCGACGTCAGAAGCTCGCTTCTTCCGTGTGCTCGCTTCGCACCCAACCTCCGTTTTGAGTTCATCGATTTTCTCGGGATCAGAATAAGGTGATCCGGGGAAAGCAGGCGGTGGGCGCGTATAGAGCGGGTACGGAGGTGGCGGGGCTGCGCCGGGTGTTCTTCCAATAGGAGTAGACTTCTCTGTTTTCACTTCCGACTCGTTTGCAATTGCATGGTCTGTAGGACTTCTTGCCATCTGAGTTGCAGGCGGCTGCTCGACAGGATGTATCAGCTCATGCAGCTGTAAACTCGATCGGGACGTCCCACGGGCATGCACTAAGGATACCTTCTCTGCAGTTCCTGCCGCAAAGGACCCTTGCCCTTTGCGGGTCGAATCAACGGAGGCTGGACCATGCTTGTCGGCGCCGATAGCTACACCTGTGTCGTCGTCGTGCGGATGCTCGCTGTGTAGAGCAGAGACGTGCAGACTTGGAGTGTCAGGAGACGGTTGTTGCCTCACCCCTGCTCCTTTTTCAACATGCGTTTTCTCGGTACTCTGCCTTGAGGTCGCAGGCGAAATAATTGCTCCTGCATCCCGGACATGAGAATCAGTAGACTGTGTCGCTGAAATATAACCAGAGTCGTCATGTTGGCGAAGAGAGTCTTGCCTGCGAGTGCAATATTCCCGCGGATTAGTGTGTGCCCGAGGACGAGGATACCCGTCCAGGTAGTCACCCTCATTCACAGATGAATAGGATGCATAACGAGGCAGATGTTCATCTAACTTTTCTCCGACTGGTTCGGAACAAAGCGAAGGAGCATGATGAGCCCGAGCAGGTGACATAGAGCGTACTTCGCCACCATCATATCTGGTCAACCTGCCCGCGTCCCTGTCGCGGTATACCAGACCGGCATGATCCGTCTGATGCCCGGAATCGCGTAAGTTCTCCCCCTCATACGCTGTCGCAGTATAGTACTGGTCACGTTCTGGTCCATAATAAGATAAGTCCCTGCGCTCAGGATTAGATGGCAGATCATGCAAGGACGTGTGTAAAGGCGGACTATGCGCCGCCTCGCTCGTATACGGAGGCGTTGGGGGAATGTTGTGGCAGCTCCCTTGCTTCCACCCAGATGAAGACAATGGAACTGTTACATGTGTCGAGGAAAGTGGAGGGAGATTGCCAAAGCTCGAATCCGTCTCGGGTACACTCCCGTCTCCGTGTCTTGTTGTAGAATATGCTGGGTAGGAATATTCTCGGCCTGCGAGCAAATCAATAGATCGAGAAGAATTCTGCAAATACGCTGAATGATTATGTGACTGCAACCAAGATGTGGGCTGAGCATTAGAATGGGCATTCGAATTTGAGTGAGATGACGCAGGCGGATAAGGATACTCGTATTGCACTGGAGGGCGAGGGCGTGGTATCGTAGATGCCGATTGTCTCGCCGCAGATATCGGATCGGCGACTGGCACGCTAGACGGGGGGATGCTCAATCTTCGTGCGGCTCGCGCAGCAGCCTCAGCTCCGCGCACCATGTTCGTTGTCTCATCCGCACTCCTTTGCATATTTGGTGGCTTGACTTCGCTCGGGACGCTTTGCCCAGGTTGCATGTGACTAGGTGGCTCAATCGAGAATGCGCGCTGGGTCTGCATTTGGTTATGCATTTGTAATTGTGTCTGCGCTTGTGCACGCGCTGCTTCGGCCTGAGCAAGCACGTCATTGAGTGGGAGAGGAGGTGGCGCGCGACGTGCGTGGTTACGATAATGCCGCCGCATATTGCTTGAGACGTTGAACTGACGGTTGCATCCCGGAAACGGACAGACGTATGCTAAATTAGTGAAAATAAATGGGCAATGAGTAACGATGTTTGAAACAGGAAAGAAATATGGCAGACAGAGCATTAAAAGGCGGATGGGGAATAAATATATTGAAAAGAAGAAGAAAAGGAGATGATATTGCATAGGTGGTATTACGGAACTAGTCTCGAGATCAGGAAAGATTGTATCCGAGATCGCGAGATTGTCGGCCGCGTTAAGCGGCATTCAGTCTCTTCCCTATCCAGGGATACCACTAGCGCAGTGCAGAACTGCGTCGCATCAAAAAGCAAGAAATTCCGTCCAGATCAACTCACGTTTTGCACCAGTGTGCGTGTTGAGATGGATCCTTAAGCTGCTTGGGCGATTAAAGCGTTTGCCACACATTGAACATGCGTGTTTTCGTTTCTCGCCGTCGCCGCCCAGATCGTCGTTTTCGGCCTCCTCGTTTTCATTTTCAGTAGCATGTGATTGGGGGGAAGTGTGCCTGAAGCTAGTGTCAATGCCATTGTTTGAGCTGTCAGCAACACGGAAGGTGGAGCTGTACACATCTCTCAGGGCTGCGCCTCTGTGGTTGTCCGCTTGGCGATCAAAGATGCGCCCTTGACTGGGGGCGAATGAGGCTGCAAGTGGTCGAGAGTGTGGATACAAATCCATTGGAGGTGGTTGAGGCTGTGGATATGGATGGGGAGCAAAGTCACCATAATGACTATACAATGGTTGTGTCGGTGGCGGGAGATTGTGAAGGATAGTGGATGGCGGAGGTGGGGGGAGAGATGTGGCTTGATGATGAAAGAGATGGTCAGGGAGGAGGTCCTTTAGGCTAGGGAGAGCCATGTCGAGAGATGGTAGAGGGAAGAGGAAGGGAAGGAGATGGTGGTGAGAGGGGGAAGAGCTGACCGGATGACTTACGGGCGGTGATGAGAGTGTTTGTTTGTCGTGTTTGGCCGAGAAGAGAGTCGGAAGGAAGAGGGTGTTCGATTCAGGCACATCAATTCAAAGGATCGCCGCCGCAAATCGCACACGCTAAAAACTCTGAATATCCTTTCCGGAACACGATCGTCAGACCATACCCTTCCCTTATTTGGCATACTTATGGTTTGACATAATGACATCTGACCCTGGCCACGTCGGTTTCTGACGGACTCGAGCCCGTCGGAGGCCATGGACAATGTTATTCTTTCTATGCGGTGTTTCATACCGTGACTGCCGGGACCTTGTAATACGAAATTAAAATAATATTGGCACTCGTGTTCGGTGAGAGAGACGCCGATCTGTACGTGCGAGAAAGCCGGATGCTCTGGGGGCGATTCTACCGGTGATCCACGATGACGACGATCTTTGATCCTGAACTGCTGTGCAACGAACACCGCACTGCGGTCTTTGTCGGCGCTCATTCAGAGTTTTTATTTATTTGCTCCATCTGCAAGTCAGCCCGGCATTGTCTGGCTTGCGTTTTCACTTGCTCAGATGCGCTCGTAGCATCACCGCAAAGGTGAGTAGAACCGCACGGCCAAGGAGACTTGGCGGAAGAACTGGAGTAATTCCCGTATTTCGTATTTTTATTGCCATCAGGTACACCCCTGCTCCTGTAATTCTTCCACTTCATCATCCCTGCTTGCACATGCACATTTCCATCGTTCCGCTGATCCCGTCTCAGGACCCTAAACTCTCAGCTTCTCCACCCTGTGCCTTGTCCCATCCACGCTCATCGCAAATACATACTCTGTTTTCTCACATTTCTTTTATTATTTTCTTAGGTAGAGGGTGAAAGGCGCCACGACGCCGACGCCACGGCAACAAGAATAATGGAGAACGCGGATCCTACATGTATCTTTGACCGCTTCACGCGCTTTTCGCGTGAGTTTCAAGATGACGAGAGTAGGTTCCGTGCGAGATTGTGCACCGTTAAAGAGCTCGAAGGCGTTCTTCCAAAAGCTCCTTCGAAGTAAAGGGCAAGGAAGTCGTTACTCACTCTCGTCACCGCTGCCCGGTACAACGCCAACGAACACATCAGATATAAATCGCACAAAGTGACTTAATCTGGATCGTTGCAACGCAATATGCCTTGTCCACGCGGTACGAGCTCGGCATCTGTCTACGTGGTAGATACTAGGACTCTCTGTTTGTTCATCTCTTCATCTCTCCATCATTTATATTCAACTTTGTGATGACGTTCTATTTCTGATGCTCTCGGATTCCAGGTCTCATCCGTTCTTTTCGGGTCGTCGATCATGCTCTCGTCACCCTGGATTAACAATACTCGTAATGTAACGAACACACTCGCTAAGCGAAAAGACGCATGTCCAGATCGTCTCGAAGTTAATTGAACTTGCTGGGTATACCGAATAAAACGGTAGTGCTTGCCCTGATCTTCCTCTGCATGGCACAACTCTCTAAACTAGGCGCTTACGGCGAAAGCATGTACGTGTCGTTACCTTCTATCTTTTCTTCAGGTCAGGTCCCATTGTGAAGTACGTTATCCAACCAGCTACTTTTTATCCGGAAAATATTCCTATCTAACGTTATCGAGTTTGTAGTCTATACTTGCACACGGCTAATCCAGAGGTTTTAGGCCGCCTTTCGTCGAGAACAACAGGCCATCGTCCTGGATTGCGGTGCACGCAGTGAAACTCTCCTCTTTCCTACACGCTTTGAACTGTCTGTAGTACGAGTTCGTGTGTTAGTGTGTCCTCACGTCCTTCATAATCTTAATAGATTACAAATAGTGTGGGTGAATAAATGTAGTTAGAATAAAGATTCTTCGTGTCTTTACTTGCTTTGATGGACTGTGCGACTAGATGCACTTATTTCTAGAATCTGTATTGCAAACTCCTCTTGCTAAACATTATATCACCTGTTTAAAGGCAGATTGGTTAAAATCCTTTTAGTCAGGGCAAGCTACTGCTCTATAAAGCTGTTGTAATGCAGATATTAGCTTTCTTTATTACAGCTATAATGATATAATATGTACAATTTATACACAATTTCTGCTATCTATTAGCTATATAAATTGTATAATCTATTTATAACAACATTTATTAGTGAATCCTCTTTATAATACAAAGACAGTATTTTGTAGTTATATATATATGCATTGAATTATAATGCAGAAACACGTATTCTGTTTAGATGGAAATGATTACAATTACTATTGAACGTATGGTATGCACCCTTAGAGCCTTTATTACTTTTTATAATAGAATTTCGTTGTGTTCATTATATCATAGGATAATGAAGCGTTATAACAAGTTGACTAATTACAGAATGCATGTAACATTTGTCCTGTAGTGAAAATGAATCAAATTACTCGTTGTTTGCCTACTTCCTGATGAGTTGTAGGATAATGAACGAGTGATCAGCAAGGTTACGTGTGCAGAAGATGCCTCGCACATGTGTCTCGATTCGAAGTGGTTCTCTGTTAACCAATCTCTGTACAGCTCTAAATCATATGAGTACGCAAACACGAGCTCAGACTCGGAGGAACGAATCACCTGTAGGATTAATCGTCTTCGGAGCCCCTTTCGACGACCTGAGCGAATTGTAGATCCCGCCACGAATGCACGTTTGTTATGTCCGAGGCATTAATATGCTAAGCGCTCAAGACGTCTTTGACAGGATATTTAAGGCGTCTTCGGTAATCATCTTAATGGATCATCTGATATTGTATCGATATCGGCAGTGGCTTGTCTGGATGAGAGTGGAGACTCGTTGTACGAGTTGGTGAAAACGAAGGATTGATTAACCCCTCTATGCTCATGGAGGCAATACCACAGAATTTGATCAGCGGGTACTAAACAATGGTGAATAGTCTTGCGCATGCCGGAGCGCCCCTCTGTATAAGATAGTAATCAGAAATGTAATCCAAGACCGAAAGATAAAGATAAGACCTCTTCGACGTCATTCTCCAAAGCGCTTGGAAGAGCAAGAGCGAAACGCGTTGGAGACGGAACAAAAGAGCGTGGTTTTGGTATGGTCTATACGCCAGAACGTGTGTCCGTATCGCAGCCATCGGAAACTAAAGAAAGAACGGGGATAGCGCGATGCCATGCAGAGAGAGTGGTTCCCGTTCCATGCGTACTTTTCATCCTTTCGAGTTAATGGCTCCAAAACCATCGTTCGCGAAGGTGGGTACTAAAACGAGGGTTAGAAAGATAAAGCCTGTCAAAAGCGAAATCGTTCGATGCCGGTGAACAACAATACAGATATTAATCCTTTTGAGCTATAGAGCGGCCCTAAAGGACTTCATATATCCAGGGTGCAGGACATGTGGCATAAAAGTTCATCGGCATGAAAATGATGCGGACAGGAACGCAGGAACGAACAGAAAAGAACTCAGGGATACGAGAGGCAGCATGGAATGCACAGCACGAATAATTTGACTAACAACCTTCGCGAAGATCATTTTCGTGCCCTACTTCTTTCCGTCGTCTTTCTGAGGCTGCTCGCCGCCGCCAAGCGCCTCCACCTCATCATCTTGAGTGTTACCCTAATTCCACATTCCGTCATTATCGCGTCCAATCATATAATATCGGGTCCGCAAAACGTGCGTATCTCTGAAGATTCTCGGGCTTCCCTGTGATTGACCCTATGCCGGACTCCCTCTCGCTCCACCCTGAGCGTCAAGCAAGATTCGAGGGCGTCGGCATGCACAAAAGACAAGGAAAGACGATTCAAAAGTGTCTCAAAAGCGGGGCGGGACGACGTAATGAGGGCATAAAATATTTCACATCGGTCGTTTAATGTAGGATGTACAGTAAGCATGTGGATCCTCTTTGTGCCAATTCTTGCGAGAGAAATACAGAATTATCCCTTGTGCGAGTATACGCTTCTCCTCTCTTACGACGTACTTACGCAGTCGGAAGAGAGAAAGATGTGCGAGAGCCACTGGAAGGTGGTGCTCCAACAAGATAATCAGCTTCGCGCAGGATTCGGATACGTGTAAAGCCTTCGGGGATCATTTCACCAGTGGGATTGCTTTGTTCTTGCTCCCAACTCTCTCGTGTGTTGTCGGGAAGGAGTGGGGCCAGTTACGGCAAATTCGATAAATGTCTCATCAGCAAGTTGCACAACGCGGCAAATTTCACTGCTTGAATAGGACAGCAACAAGATAAGAGTGAGGAGGCGTCCGTGTTTGGCAAGAGCTTCAAATCGGGGGTTGTGGAGCGACAAATTTTCTCCACAGATTTAGTATGTCGTTCCCACAGATTCCCGTTGAATCCCGAAGCGCTGCACCCACCACAACGACAGACAAGTAACTAGTATCTGCCATTCGTTCAGCCTAGCCAGTCACTGAGTCAGCCAGTCAGCCAGTCAGCCCGCCAAAAATGTCAACCTCATGTATCGCTGGAGTATATAAGACAAGGGCCTTGTGCCGTTGTTTTGTCCCTCATCACTTCAACACTTTCCTCTACACTAACCTATTCGTACTCACTCGCCAACGACAAACAACAATACCTCTCCTAACAAGATGACTTCCTCTCATAACCCAGCCGTCTTCACCGCCGATGCCGTCCTCTTTGACATGGCAAGTCCACTTGCCATTGTTACTCGCATAGTCTTATACTAATCCCTGCATTTTACCTTTTTTTCAGGATGGCACTTTGACCGATTCGATTGCCGCCGTTGAGGCAGCCTGGGGCAAAGTCGCGACAGATCTTGGACTAGACCCAGCATACGTTATTGCCGCGACGCACGGCAAGCGTGCAATCGACAACCTCGCGCACTTCCGTCCAGAAATCAAGGAACATGAGATGGATGCCGAGGTCGCAAAGTTCGAACGGACGATCCTTGACTTTGCGGATGCGTATACCAAGTCTAAGGAGGCTTCCCGTCGTGAAAGCCCTGCTTCCTCAGGGACTGGATCGAGTTCAAACTCAGGAACGAGCACGCCTGCTCTGTCAGCCTCCAGCTCCTCGTCCCAATCTCATGGCTCTTCGGCATACTCGTCTCGCACTGGGTCGCTTAGCACCCCGAACCGCCCTTCATTTGGACGTGATGCTGCGCGTCGTCCATCCTTCGCGACGCGTCTGAACAACTTGCTCGCTATGTCGACACTCACAGAAGGCGAGGACACCTCTGTCTTTGAGGACGAGCAACGACAGGCCCTTGCAAAGGAAACGGCGCAAAAGGACACTATTCACGATGTCGAAGTTGCTTGGGAAATCGAAGCCGATGGTGTCGACCGCTCTATTCACATCCTTCCAGGTGTTCGTGAGATGATCGGCTCTCTCCCCGATGGCCGGTATGCTGTTGCTACCTCGGGTGCGAAGACATACGCGTATGGCGCTATGACTCGTGTCGGAATCACCCCTCCTCCTGTGACCATCACTGCCGATGACAAGCGTCTCAAAGCAGGCAAGCCCGCACCTGACCCGTTCTTACTTGCCGCGAAATGTCTTGGCTTCCCCGCGAACAAATGTGTCGTCTTTGAGGACTCGCCGTCTGGTATCCGCGCAGGTGTTGCAAGTGGTGCAACCGTTATCGCTGTTTGCACGAGCCATGAGCGCTCGAAGATCGAGAACTGTGGTGCGCACTTCATCGTCGAGGACATGAGGAGCGTGCGATGCACTCCAGTTCACGAGAACGGTTCGACGAAACTTCGTTTCCAGGTTGGTGTTTCGTCTTGATTGAGAACGAGCATGGTACGTTATGTAGTAGCTCTGAGCGAGTGGAAGTGATTAGTTTCCTTTCTGTCCATATATCCTGTACTCTCACTAAATCATGTACTTCAACCGCTTCGTGGTTGTTCTTTCTTTTGTTGTCCGCCTTGCATGTACTGTACACATAGATCTTGTAGAAGCCCTAGATGCATCCTCGTATGCACACAAAAAAATTTGCGGATAATTTGTTATACCCCATTTGACTCGGTGTGCTCTATAATACTGCAGCTACGACTATCGTCCACTTGTAGATGAGAAACGTACGTCCCAATCTGGCTCCTTGTGTATCACAGAATTTTGGAGCATCAGCCCGAATTCGGGTTCCGGTCGAGAAAAGTTCACTATATTTGGCCAGAAATTTTCAGACGCAGATCGTTGCCACCCTCAGTCATTTTTCGCCTTTCGCGATTCTTGCTCATATCTAATTTATTCTAGCTTCATCCAGACTATTGAAGGGGAAAAAAACCGATGGCTATGTTGAGTCAAATTTCAGGGGACTGTAAGGACGAGCACGCAAAGAAAGGCACAGTGCGTTAATACCAGCCTTAGCTAGTTAGCTTTCTTCGTTTGTCCAGCAAACGTGCATGGGTTCTCAGGCATGTATATTCTCGTTCCAGCTTTAAATCATTATTGAGGGCGGACATTTAACTTGTAATACCAGATTGGCTGCTACAAGGATTTAAGCTTGTGTCTCTTTTGCAATAGTTGGGCTGATTAATTCCATTTCTAGACACTACTGCAAAGTATTTGGTGGGGCACATTCATCACATCCCCTGCAGTCGAACTCCCTAACCGGCTATTTCGCACTGAGTGCTCCATGAAGAGTGCCTATCAGCAAAGAAAGAGATCTAAAAGATCCGATAGATGTGCTTGAGTCTTAGTACGAACGTATATGTGGCGCGTGGCACATTGTAGGGCTTGCCTTTAAACACAGAGGTGTGGCCAACTTTCATGTAACACTTAATACTCAGAGACTGCTAATTCCCGTATAGTCCTCTAGTTTGTAAAGAGATGCCAATAGTCCGCGTAGCGAGGAAGCAGGATCGTCTGATAGTGGCTTCATTTCCACAGTCAGCGTGGCAATTTATTTGCATTGCTAGTAAGTAGATTGGTTCACATGCCAATATCACGATCAAACATTTCAATCTCCTTGGAATGATTAGATGCTTCACATACAAAGTATATGGACAAAGTTATGGTGTCTGTAGAGACTAGATCACATCCTTTGCAAATAAGTCCTAAGCAAAATGCACTAGGTAATAATCATTAATTATGCAAGGAATAGGTATCTAGAAACGGATAAGACTAGTATTTTTTAAGAATAGTATCCCTTTCCTTTCCCAGGTTACTACTGTTAATCCGGGATTTTTGCTGCATTCAGTGAGTGTTTCAGTAGTACATAAATATCAAATGCATTCACGGGACCTAGTTTACAAAAGTCTTGCTTTCGGCAGCTCTTAGCATGGTTCTTCTGTTGCCTCTTTCAAGGATTGCACATTTGTAAAGTGCTTCATTGTGGACAAAAACACGTTCAAGGTTTACAGATAGTCGTCCCTGGTTAGATCAACATTGTCAATGTGGCAATCTGCATACTATTGCCCAGAGCAAAATGCGTCACCCTCATTACTATAAATAAGGAGCATACATTGTCAAATCCTCTGCTACTTATTTTTACACGTACCATTCTGAAATTATTTGGAGTATCAGTACAAGTTCAATATGTTTCACAATAGTAAGAACTCGAAAGATTCGAATAGGAACTCACAAGGAGAAAGCCCGTTGAAAGAGTATAGGAGAAAGGCGCCTTTTAGGCTTGGTGTAAAGAAATACAGAATAGAATGCGAGAACATTATAGATCCATATTCAGGGGATATTAAAAATAAAATACAGTGGCTGACAGACAGGCCCAGTTTTGCTAATAATCTGCTCGAACATTTACAAGAAGGCGTCACTACACTTGAAGAAATCGAGAAGATTATTTGTGATGATGAAAGTGCTTTTAGGGAACTCCGAGAAGCAGCTAAGCAAGCCAGCAATGGTAAAGACAATGAAAGTGCTGATGATCTTGTAAACGATCCGGCCGCTCAGAATTGGAAGAGAGTTATAGATACAATAAAGAAAGCATACAATAGTCCAGACCTTGAAGAAGCTGAGCAGTATGGATTTGGGAACACACATGGCAGAATTAGCCAAAAAGGTCCAGAGGCAGGGTGGCTCAAGCACTTCTATCTGTATACTTTGAAGTTATTAGAAGCTATGCAGTTCGAAGCTGTGAAAGAAATACTTGCCTCACTCAAGAAGGCTTGTGATTTGCAGCAGTCAAATAGTACCATATGCTATACTTTGTCCAAGAAAGCTAGGCAACTCTATCAAGAAATACATAATCTAGAAAAGAGAAAGAACATTGAGAAGGACAAGTGTTCAAAGGCAGATATAAGAGTCTTTTCTGAACTTGAATCTGAGTTAGTACACATTGATGAAAAGGCTGATAAGATCAAGCAGAACATGAACTCAAGTCACAAAGAACTTGAGAATGCTCTTACAGTTCCTAAAAGGCTATGGAATAAAAAATATCCTGAGCAAGATAAAAAGGAACAGTCAAAGCAGACTTCAAAAAGTAGAAAATCTGTAACTAGAAGCTTTTGGAAAAAACAAAGGTCTTATGACTCTTAAATTTCAATAACAAATAATGCCTGACAGTATAAATATTCTTGAAAGGATACTTTTATAAAAGATAAATATATTCATAAATACATTTTTTCTATACTATAACATTTAATCATAAATTAAACTTGTTATTTGTACTTATGTACAAGAATCATATATTATATTACAACTCATACAAACTGCTCAATTACCTATTTTGTCTATATATAATTTTAAGCTTATTATGTTTCTACTCAGTAATCTAGAAAAAACAATGTAGACTATAATGTAAAGCAACTGGAAACTGTTAGCTAGTCTATTCTTTTATAGTAAACTAGTTTCAAAATAGGTGAAACTATCTAATTTGTACTGTATAATATAAAAATAAAAATAGTAAAGTAAAAAAGTATATATTTATCTAATCTATAATCAGTCATTTTAATCAACAAATTATTACAGTTCTGTACTTGTACAGTCATCATATTAGTATTCATAATTAAGTAGTACATATTATTCTGTTATTTATAAGGAAAACTATATTGTTTAAATTACTAATATAGTAAAGTGAATTTAATACAGACAAAGTATTGTACATTACTCTCTGTCTTATATAATTAGTATACCTCCTGGATTTCTCTATCTTCTTTGATAGTATGATTAATCCTAAAGGCCTTTAGTATACTTAACATTATTTAGCCTTACAAACAGTTTTAATATGTTATAATGTTTAAAAGACTTAAGAGAAGAGTTTAAAAGTAGTTCATTCACATATAAAATTGCCTTTAAAAGAACACAGGAAATATACACCTGTCAGAATAGGTATTGTAAAATATTTTAATAAATGCAAAATTATTATAGATCCATATTTAGTAGTAATTAATAACTACAGATTGTTATTCCTGAAAAACTGAAACTAATCTACTCTGTAAGAAGTTGTGTAAGCTATCTAAGAAAGAGTTGTACAAGAAGAGTAAACATAATATAACAGATATAAATGTACTTTATAGTATAGAATCTGAGTTAAAACAAATTCACAGAGAGGTCTGTAAGCTTAAGGAAGGAATAAACTCAAGACACAAGAAGCTTAAAGGAGCTCTCAGAACACTAAGGAGGCTATAGAAGGAAATCTACCCTAACCAGGCTCAAGAGTAAAAACTCAAGAAGAAAGTAAAGGATACATTGTCTAGCATTAGAAAGCTGTATACAAAAGACAGCTCTCATGGCTTACAAACCTTAGTGTGTAATAAGGCCAAACTACAACAATGTATATTGTAATTAATAGTCTCTAAGAAACATATATTGTTGTAGAACTATGTATTTTGTCCCAAATTTATTGTGTTTAAAAAAATGTTTTTAATACTTTCTAGTAATAGACATTGTAAAATTATAATAGATATGTGGGCCATGTATTAGAATTGAAAGTCTGAAAGCCAATTGAGTAGTATTAACATTATAAGACAGTGTACACCTAATATAAATAGGAACATACTAATATTTGAGGACTCTACTCCTAGTGATTATAGATTGTAAGTCAAGAGAGAGGTGAGAGTAAGGTGAACTACAACCAAATGTTGTGGAACAACTTGAATTATAGTTGTTGTGAGCAAAGCCAATATCTTTCCAAGCTGTTTAGCCAACAATTACACAAACTTGTCAAATAATTAAAGAGCTTGAACTCACCTCTTTTTCTAAAAAAAGCCAAGTAGAGCTTTGTGTGTATATGTATTGTTAAGCCTTGCCAAGGTTCAGGTAGATCCATTCTGTAAAATAATAGAATCCTGGGTTTAAACTCTTGTGGAGGTAACAAAAGGCTACTATATGAGACCAGAATAACTTTCGGTTGGCAGCAATAATGCTAGTTGCTGTCCTCTGTATCTGAAGTTGCAAACCGTGCTAATTTGTTTAACAGTAAATGCGAATATAGGCTTCAGCTTTGAAGTTATCTTGTGCCCTCCTCCAGCACTAATTTAACCTTCAGGGTGTCTAATTCAGCACTAGTCAGATATAACGCATTGTCACTGTATGTTAATATACTCTGGCTTGACCATAAGGTAAATGCACCGTTACTAATCATCCATACTGCATGGTTTATTACTGATACATAGCCATTTGAACTTGACTAAACTATATTATCTTTCGAGTTACTGATGGCACCAATCAATTCGTAACTTTGACGACGACTTTCCCAACATGCTGCTGAGAAGCCAGGTACTGCAATGCTTGTGGATAATCCTCAAACGCAAACACGCGGTCAACAACGGGTTTAATCTTCGTAGCGTCGAACAAGCGGTTCATGTTCTCGAATCTTCGGAAACGAGATGAAGAATGCCGGGTTACCAGAGATGAATTAAAAGACGTACTGCTTCCGCGGACCAATGAGAACACCACGCAAACGGACAGCTTTGCCAAGTAGCGCTCCGAGCAGTCCCGAAGACGGACCTCCTTGTTCCTAAGAAAGTTCGGTAGTGAGCATATGCCAATGTAAGAATAGTGATGTATTGTTGACTATGTATACTTACATGGGCGAGGAAGCCGACAGAATGGATCGATCCTGAGTACCGAAGCGCGTTGATGGATTGCAGAATTGTTCCAGCTCCAGCAACCTACGTTAATTAAGAGTCAAATGATTAATTCCGTAAAATAGGTCTGTCAACACACTTCGACAATATGGTCAACGCCGCGTCCATTCGTCTTTTTAATAAAACCGTTAGTAATATATTAGTGTGAGGAGATAGAATAAATAACACTGAAAACGTACAAGCTTAAGGACTTCTTCATCCCACTTCGGTGTTTGTTTGTAGTTGATGACATGCGTAGCACCAAGTTTCTTCAAGACTTCGGCCTTCTGCGCCGACGAAGTTGTTGCAATAACATTTGCACCATTAGCACGTGCAATCTGTAGTGCAAACCTATAGGATCACAAGAAACATATGTCAGAGGTTTGTCGGTTTTTGATAAGGTATTGACATACACCGAAACTCCGCCCGACCCCTGGACAAGGACGGTATCGCCACCTTTCAAAGGTATGTCTCCAAAGAGAGAATTATAAGCAGTAAGGGCAGCACAACTTAGGAATCGTAAGTATTAGATGGGTAATGACTATTATACAAGACTTACGGAAGCGTGGAAGCCTCTTCATACGATAGATAATCCGGTATTTTCACGAGACTCTAGTTAACACAATAAACCTTGTGTGCATCAGCTCATCACCTGATAGTCGGAAATGTACTCACATAAGCCGGAAAAGTGCGGCATTCGGTGAGTACACCGTCAATGAGACCGCCGAGGCCTGTAGCCCGCTGCTCCTCACTTTCGATGTCTCCGTGGATATGCTCCAACGCAAAATTCGCAGAGACACGGTCTCCTGGCTTGAAATTCTTGACATTGCTACCAACGCTCAAGACCTCACCGGCACAATCAGAACCTGGGACAATGTTTTCTCCAGCTCTATCAGCAGATATTAGGAATTGTAGTATCGTGATAACGAAATAACTGACATACCCCATAGGGTACGTGCCATTTGTGATGATTAGATCACGGTACTACATGAGGAGGACGAGTGGTCTCTAGTCTTTGTATAAGAGTAAGATCAGAACAAACCTGTAACGAGACAGCGTGTATCTTCACAAGAACCTCTCCATCTTTGATCGTCGGCACCGATGACTGTGTCAGCCTCAGTGCCTCTATTCCAGTTTGCTGTTCCCAGGCTACTGTCAATACAGGCAACTGAATTTGCAGATAAAATCTTTCTATACCTTGGTCAAGCGGAACTCGCGCGTAACAGCAGGAATTGCAACAGGCGACATTGTCCTTCGAAGTTGTAACCCGGGTTCACAGAGTCGGCATGATTATATACATGGTGTATGCTAGCATGTCGTCATACTGTACCATCATAGTCTTACCGAGCACCGAAAGGATCCGTCAGCAGCAGAACGGAACCTTAGGAGACAGTGGGAAAGTAATCGTACCGATACTAGAGTATTCCAGGTTCGCCGAATTCACCGTTTGCACACAATTCCACATGATCAACTCAGTAAATACATTCGACAGGCCGAATGCAGAATCTTACGAGTACAGGTGATAGTCAACACCTGTACCACACGGTATGTGTGTGAGTATGACTCAGTGGCTTGCATGCAAAGAGTTTGGCCTGATTTGTAATGCCTCGCATGTGATAATGTGCAAAGTATAGTTAGCCGCTTTGCTTTTTGCACCTCTTTAGTTATTTTGTTTAAATAAAAAACATATATTCTCTTTTAAGTGTTCAACTATATACAACCACAAGTCCTTCGGTTATTGAGTTTGTGTATTACTTTTTTAAATTCTAGTACTTCTATTACTAGTTTAAATACATTCACTATTTTAATTAGTTATAAATGAAATAATTTTGTCCTTTAATACAATCCCATTACAATCAATATGCTTTAATGTGTGTTGTAATGGTACATATCTAATAATGTATGCCCCTATCTTAGAACTAAATTCTTCCACTCTACTAAAATAAAATATGATAATGAATAAACTTCATAATAGATTAATAAATAACATATATTCAAGTATTATTGTCTTAACAACACAAATACAATACATTGTAGTAAATTACAATTTGCATTTTATAGCTAATAGACTTATAGTATATAAAACTGGATATATACTTTAGTTATCAGAAGTAATTGCTATTACTCTAGAATAAACTATCTACTCTCTAATGTATATTAATATACTATAATACACTGAAACTCATATTCCTTTACATGTATATTGTAAGACTATCTAATGAACTTATTGTGCGTATTGCCAGAATCTTCAACCGCCTTCAACTCAACTTCCAGTGTGTGTTTCAACTTCTTGTGTCTGATATATGTATAAACTAATGGCCCCGATTCTCCAAGTCGAAGCATCAGTCGAACATGCTATCGTGTATTCAACACTATACTCAGCACATAAAGCATCCAAAATGACACAACACATTAAATCATGCAAAACGATGACAACAACAGGCAAAATTTTTTTAAAGTCAAGACGTGGAGCCGTTCGATTAGTGTTAGCGTCAGAAGAAAATTGAAGGGCGTAATTCGGTTGGAAAGTGAAAGAAAGCATTTCGGCACCGCACAAGGTGAATTGTCACATGCGAAGGAAGAAAGTGAAGAAGCGTATGTGAGAGTCATAAGTCCAAAAACACGTCGAAATTCAACGAAAATTCACAGGTCCAGAAGGGCCGATGCAACGCGTGAAACCAGAAGAGAAGCCGGCCTTATGCCAAGGGTTGACGTGCTTCCCGATTTTCCGCAGATCCACCCATATTTTGCAGGATTCTCTCATCTAGACGACGAGTGCGCCGACGAGGATGCCGATCATGCTGACTGCTGCACTAACGAGACCGGCAGTGCCGAATAGGACTTTCTCGCCTGCTGCGCTGCTGGAGTTTGCAGGGGAAGTTGCAGCGGAACCTACAGACGAGGCAGCGGAGCCGAGGGATGAGCTAAGGCCTGAAGCTTGGCTAGTTAATGACGAGATGACTGAAGAAGCACCAGAGCTCAGGGAGCTTGCAACGCTGGACAAGGTTGAAGCCGCTCCACCGGATGACGATCCACTCGCAGAAACTATTAATAGATGTAAATCATATAATAAGTGACAAGAACTGGTATAGGAGACGTACCTGCTGCGCATTGTTGCTGCTGGAGTTGCTGTGCTGTAGCGAGGTCAGAAGATGGGCAGTTGCTCTGGAGGCACGAGAGAGCCTGTGTTTGGAAGTTCTGGGATGTGCACACGCATGTCAGGTCCGTGCTTAGAAATGAATTACACCGTTAGCGGAGCTGGAAGCATGAGAATAGAGAAATGTAAATACGTACAAGCCATTGCAACCCGCACTGGTGGCCGCCTGAGTAACGCACTGGAGGATGCAGGGGTCGATGCCTGTGGTGCTAGTCGGGGCCGCGGACGAGGCTGTGGAAGATTGGGCAGCGATGAGTGTCGCAGGGAGGGCTGTTACTGCGAGAACGAGGGTCGAAAGGACACGCATGGTTGAATGGTCGTGGCGAATGGACAAGTGGGACGACTAGTGGTTGAAAGAAAGCATCCATGCGGTATATATACTATTACAGTGCCGATGAAACTTCTCTGACGTCTGCTGCCGATCATCTCACTCTTTTCGTCCTTAATTTATTCCCCACACTCTCAATTCAGTATAATAATAAAAATGACCGGTGCGCTCCAATGCCGGCCGCAGCACATAAACCTTGCTAAAGTAATTCCTCGGAGAAAACATGAATGTTATGGGGTAAGGTGAGATCACTACCACGTCGTTGGGAACAAGCGCCACCGGTAAACAAATATGTACAAGTAATTTCTTAAACATTAACATTCAGAGCAATTATTAATTATTAAGTGTCGACAACAGGCGACTTTCCTTCCCGTTTAATCAGTTTATCCAATTTTGCCGTGCGTGCTTTCATCATCATTACCACAGCGTCATCGACTCCTTTGGAGGTGGTAATGATTTCAACAAAGATCAAAAGAGTTCTTTTTTTTCTTCTTCCAACCGTTGCGCAGAAATGCAACTCGGACAATTATTCGGTTCGCTCCGTTGAGCTGTATTGACAACTGCCTTGTCAATTCATTTGCTAGGTCGGCCTGCCTGGCATTCAGTCCCTTTCCCCTGAATTCTGACCCACTCTTCGGAAGTGCCTTTATTCGTCTCTGTTAGCGGCAATCTGACTGAGTGCATCACTTGTCTCATCTAAAGAAAGAAGATGTTCCGCTTCTGAACGTTCCTATCAGTTTCAATACGCTTGTTTTGTATAATATACTTCTACTTTTGTGCGGACCGCATAAGACGCGCTATGGTCTGCTGTCCTTATTACCGAATGCAGTATTGAAAAGTCTCTGTTAAGCTGCACTCACATGGTACGACTTGTGTGTAAACATTCTCTGCTCATGAATTAAACTGATGGTATATGTGTTATATTGAACAAATCTCTAATAGTAGGAGAAACACAGAACAAATCACATCTCTACCAATACCAATCGAGCCATTATATAATAAAATAGATACAGAAAATATAAAATATGCTTAAAGAAGCACTAATCCCCAAAGGTGAAACAGAGGCAGAGAATGCAGTTGCAAAGCAAGGTTGTAAAGAACTATGTAGAGAACTGAGGGAATCGAGGGAACTGCGGGAACTTCATTCACCAGAAACGATTGCTCCGCGGGTCCATCTTTTTGGCTGTTCGTAGCATGACTATGTTTGATGATAAACTTGAGAACTGAAAAAAACAAAATAAAAAGTCAGAAATTGGGCGCGGTTTGAAAAGAGAGAGAGCAGAAATGAATGAAGACGCTTACCCCATTCCCTACAAACACCTCTGCCCGTTCAGCAATTGCCATATCAATCGCCATCGCAACGTATTTCTGCTCGTTATCAACTTGAACATCCAAACTACTTTTCAAGTCCGTCCATCCATCCTTTTCTAAAGCCATGCGTAGTCGATCGACCCACCAGCCCCAACCATTCGTCAATACGTACACACGATGCAAGTCTGGTCGGTCTTTCCGGACATGGTGTAACTTGGTCACAATGTCGTCGATTTCGGGCCAACAATGCTGCATGTAATATTTTTCGCGTCCGTCTAAGCTATCGAGCGCGCCGAATTCGGGAGGTGAGAACCGATCGGGTAGTTCAGGGAATTGGTTGAAGCCGAGGTAGGTTGCACCCCAGAGAGCGAGTCGAGGGCAGTGACGAATGTAGTCTCCCCGTCTGAGATGAACCGCGACGAGACCGTGGATGGTATCTGGAGGAACAGCAGCGGGTGTTGAGGATAAAAGCGCGAGGTTACGAGCAACTCCGGATGTTACTAGTGGTGACCAGGCGAAATCCTGGATAATTGGTGATTCGGAAAGGGAAGGCCATAGTGATAGAATACGCTCCGAACCGAAAAGGAACCAACTGAATACGGGAGGATCGTTCCCGACTTCGACGCATCCGTCGGGTGTAGTTTTGAGTCGTTCGACCCACCAGCTGAGAAGGTCACCACCCTCTTCCAAATTGGGTGCTTCCGCAGAGCTGATTCGGACTCGCTTGGATGGAGGGCAGACTGTTTCCCAGTATTCTGCACTGACTGCGCGCGGAGCATGCATTGGTCCACCAGCACTTGGGCCGGATATAAACGCGTTCAGTGGGATGCGGGACGGGCGAAGTGCGAAGTCGTAGATGGTATATGGAAATAAGGATTTTGACCATGTATAGTCTTCGAACACGAATGAACGATTGGATAGGTAGGCGAGATGCGACATCAGGATGCTAACATGTCCTTCGAATGAGCAAGCGCACATGCTTTGAGAGCTATGCACTCACAATTCCTGCATGATATTATTCAAACCATGCCCCCACAGGTGCTCAGGAAATCGCAGATACATCCCATCTTTCCCCTCAGGGAATGGCAGAGATACATTGTGCTGAGGGAGACGTCGTTCAAACTCACGAATAGACGCATAGCTTGGTGGTATACCAGACCACAGAATACCGAGAACAAGGAACGCGAGAACAGTCAGAAGGAAAGCAAAGATGCGTCTGAGTGTGAGAAGGTGCAGGCAAGCGAAGCAAACGACACGGAGCGAGCGAAATCTGAATGATTGAGGTCGCCAAGGCGTTGGTGAGGCACGGCGGGTCGGGAGACCATCTTCGGACGGCACGAGCTCATAGTGTTCACCAGAGCGTCGCTGGGAGTTAAAGAAGCGGCGAGCAACGCCCTCCCAGGTGCCCATGGATGTGGCAAAGTGGGGAAGAGGACAATCGATGGCACAGTGAGCTCGTCGTTTGGTCCGTTTCACTGCCTTGCACCGCTGGACGCAGCGCGAATCACAACTGTGTACGTAATATTTTGATGCGCTCACCATAAAAGGCAGTGGTTTCTCAAATAGAATAAATAGTACTGGCTTTGGTTTGACTCGTTTGAGCGTCATCAGCGTTCTGCTTTGCGCGAAGCAAGCATCTCCTTGATCTGGTGCCACCATTCTGATCAAGAGGTCGACTTCTACAAAGCCTATGCAAAACAAGCCCATTTCTGAGGTCCCATTTTCTCCTTTAGGACGTTGATCAACCATCAATGTGGTAGTGGCATGCTTGCAATGATGTGCTTTCCACGCATTCACTTTGCTTGTAATAGACACGTCTAGGGTATTTGTATGGACAGCTTGCATTCTCTACTATGCAAAAATCTTGTTCATAGATCATGTCCTCTTCTCCACGTCACGGCTCATCAGCAAGCCAACACAAACACCCCAAATCATCATCGACACACTCCCGAAACGCGTCTCAGACACCCAGGAACAATGATGAAATTTCAGAACTTCCTGGACGGTATTATATACCCAGGAATGAACTGGATGAACTAGTCCTCGAGATGGGTGGTGTCCATGGCTCCGCCGATACTGATATACATAGAATAGGAAAAGTAAAAGAAAATCTGGACAAGTACCAAAACTCTCTAGAACGACTTGAGGGATATCAACGCCTTCAAGCTGCGGGGAAAAGTCCGGATGAGTACAAAGAGACTCAAGAGCGACTTGAGAGATATCAAATCCTGAGAGATATAAAGGCAATAGCGAAAAGAATCCACTATATGAAACATCTAGAAAGTGCAATAGTATCTTTTGCCAATGATATGATAGTCAACGAGGAGTTAGAAAACAAGGACTTTCGGAAATTGGAAACCCGTGTCAGTCGGCTTAAAGAAACTATGAATGATGCATCCAAAGTCCTTGAAGCAGCTAAAAGTCAGATGAATGATGACACTTTCAACAAGAAGACGTTAGGCATATCGGATGGGGACAAAGAAGAAGAAATGAAAGCAGTATGCAAAGAGGGTAAAGAAAAAATCGAAGCAACAAGGAAGCTCATGAAGGAGCACGATGATAAAATAAAATCCGCACAAAAGACCGTGTAGTGAATCTGTACATTAGTGCTGCAAATATATAGATTATTATGCACAATATGAGAAACACGTATAATTGAAGGATACTCGAGAAAATATAGTTGCTTTTCTACCACCATTCTGTAGATGCTGCCAGCGCGATGAGCTTGTCATTTTATCCATTTCACTTCATTGCATGATTGGAGAGTCAGTGGAGACTCTGCGAATCATGACCTTGTACATACTACTCTGATACACCAGCTATAAAAATCAGTGGTTTCTGGCGCGCCTCTTTAAAGGGACTGACCGACAGTACCAGTGACTGTGGCTTTGGCGCTATCAGCGTTGTACTTGCATCGACCAACTATTTGCGTGTTTTCTTTGCTTGCAATAAACACATCTCTCTACTCATAGCGAAGCTGAACAAGCTTAAAACGAATAACAAATCAGAAAAGCAGTTAAAAAGACACTTAAAGCCGTCGGAAAGCTATATTAATCTGGAGCAAGGCAATTGACAAATTGACAAAAGAAGACAAAACAAAGATTCGATGATCATCTAGTACAAAAAAATTGCATGTTTGCATGATACTGTGAAAGCATAATACTGGAGGTCTTCTGACCTGTTATTGATCAGGTTAATGAAGGGAAGCCTGAAATCACAATATGAGGGCATTACTGTATGGAACCAATATACTTGTAATAGTAGTGCTACTAGTGCAAACAAATTAATCAAGCCTTTGTACATTATAAGGAATCATGTTTACATTCCCTTAGATGAACTTTGTGGTAAGAAATATTGTCTTAGAATGGTTAATTACTCAATAATTATATTACTTTCTTGAAAAGTAATGCAACAAGTCATTTGTAATGATTAGTCTGTCTTTGCCTTAAAGCTGGACTGGGTGAAAATGTAGAAATATCTGTAAATGGATGGGCACAGTAAGACATTGAAGAAAATTGTTATTCCAAGCTTAACTCCTACTTTGTTTCATAATTTGATGTGCCGTGTGCACCTGTTTGACAACAGCTATCTCCTTTCTCGATTTGCTTTGAAAGCTTCATGCATTGTTCGAAGGATCTCTCTGAACGAAACAACAGCAGAGAAGGTACTTGATACAGGAGAATGCAACTCAAGCATCTTGAATGGCAAGATAATTGTGGCTGACTCGCTGTAGCACCTGACTCGGACCTGAGTATAAGTAGTGCCCGAGCGACCAAGCATAATGATGGAGATTAATAATCCCGGGTAACATATAGCCGGAGCCGGTGATCGACACCATCGCAGATACTTCCGAGTGATGCGACAAGAACACCGTCCTGCGACTTAAAAACACCAGTTATCTTCACTTACATGGTGAACAATGCAGCGCCGAAAATGTCTCTGGCTTCCATCAGCTCGTTATCTCCTATAAGAGACTTTGTGGCCAACTTGCTTCGCGGCGACGCGTCGCGTTCGATCGTCCCTTTCATCCCACGTCCGCTTCGTCTACTTTTTCTCATTGTGCTCATTCTTAACTGTCGATCTCTTCCGTTCGTCTGGCACTGTGAGTACTCCTCAATTCTTACTTATTTTTATCCGTATGTCGTACTGAGAATTTCCAGTGCGCGTCTTTAGGCCTGTGCTGTACATTCGTCTGAAGCGATGGTTCCTCTCGTTCTCTTCAAAGAAAACGCAAGAGGCTTGGTTCGACAGCCTGTGCCCTATAGGAAGAAGTCCATTTGAACTAAAGAGCGTATACACGACATGGGCTAGCCTCGATGAAAGCGACTACAATATTCATCTCAGTAATTCAAGCTACGCTAAAGTGAGTAAAACTCGTCCTCCGGCGTTTTTTTTTTCGGACAGGAACATGGAGTGACTGACGTGTCTCGCGACAGGTCCTTGACATGCTAAGACTGAAGTATGCGCTCTCGCATATGGTCACTGTGTTTCGCGATGGGTGTTGGCTTGCCCTGGGCGCTACGTCATTACGGTTCATGCGCGAAATTCCTATGGGTACCAAGTATGAGGTTAGAATGTATTTTGGGAGTTGGGATTCGAAATGGGTAAGTTAAATCATGTATCAGCTGCTGCATACTTACTGAATGCTGTCTAGATTTATGCTATTGCGCGCTTTGTAAGCAAGAAAAAGCCTTCTTCGAACAACCCAGTATCAAGCGAGCGGCTCAAAGGGGCGGATCAACTACTTCAACTGTCATCGTCTTCAGCCAACCTCACCACCGTACCGTTTCCGCAACTGCATACTCCAAATGGAGGGGAGAGCGACGTTTCCGGAACTACAACCCCGAATCCGACACTCATTGCTTCAATAGCAGAACTCAAATCGCTGTGGTCTGAAGCACCGGATGAGACACTGCATTGTGTCGCAATGAACGAGATATGTGTCAAGCGTGGACGACTCACCGTGCCGCCAGCACTTGCAATCGCTGCAGCAGGATGCGGCGTTTCTCACGACCGCTGGGAAGCACTCAAGAAATTGCGAAAAGGGAAAGGGATGAAGGAGTTGCTTGAAGGGGGATGGAAGAATGTTCCCGAGGGAGAAAGGTGGTGGGATGAAGCACTGCACGAGTTTGAGGGAGAGCGGGTGAAGAGACTGAGTATTTTAAAGGGTATTAGGGAGGGGTTGGAATCTACTAAGCTTCTTTAATTTACGTCAACATACACAACAGTTTTTTGTTTAGATTTCTACACTGTTAATCTACGAACTTGTCTTTCCGTGACAAATCGTGCTCGACTTGGATGGTTATTTTTCCTCTACTGTAACAGTCTTTGGATTTACACTAAGAAAGATACTTTAGCATTATTGAAAGCTCTGATTACAAATGAAAGAAATAAGTTCTTTCAAAAAGGGAGATAAGCTTCTCTTGACAACATCAAGTCAGTTCACAACTTCTAGGACTGTTGTTATGACATAAACTTAAGAGTCAAGGCTGAGTTAGAAAAAGCAAGCCTATCAAACCTGAGAAGGTAGCTATTGAAGCAGAGGTTATAGGGAGGGGATCTGGTTATAATTAGTACATTAACTACAAGCTCTTTACATGCCTAATATTCTAGTCTTCTAGTAGTAAGACATTGAAGAGGAGAGCCAATAGGTACTCATTTACTAGTAACAATTAAGGTCAGGTAAAGAAATAAATGTTAATAAATCCTGGAAGAAAATGCAGAATAAGGTACTCTGTAACACAAAGGAGATAATGTTAAAATTTTAGAGGCACATATTTAGTTCCCTATATATACAATTCTGAATGTACAACATACTAATAATATTGTTTACTATATAGACAACAAGCATTACTACTGTGTAAGTATGTAAGTATACTATAATATTCACCTTAGTCAAGATGTGCTTGACTAAGACAGTACAATATTACAAAAACAAATACAAAAATGTATAAAAATTTATTATTAAGACATATTTTTTTACATATTATAGTAAATATAAATTCCTCATATTTGATTATAAAGATAACATGTAAATATATTGCCTTGTCAGACTTTACATAAAAGTATAATAGAGTAGTGGCTAAAGACACAAAATACTACTAATTACTGAGCTGATACAGACTAAAATAGAGAGTATCACTAATACAAGTAATGACTCTTACATATTTTAGTATAACAAAATAAGGTGTGTTTCTAGCACTACTCTCTATATTATTATAGGTATTAAAGTAGATAAACACTGTAAAGGCCTCTGTAATGCATTTCCTGAGTAGTTCTGTATTTGAATAGATTTGAATAATGTGTTTCAGTTAGAAGGCAACTTGTTAAAGCTCACCTTAAAGCAAACACACAAACTTTAGCACATATTACTTTTATCACAAGATGTTTGTGCTGAGAATCACTCTACTATAAACATTCTCTCCAGATACACATCCAGGCAACCTATTTCTCCACCCAAGTATTAAAAATAAGATTGAGGCAATAAGATATCTATCAGGTGTCTATTATTACAACAAGCGCTTATCATGCTTCTGAAACACAAACCCGGAAATGAGCGGACCTGGGTGAAGGGTGAACTGTAACAGTCTGTCCATCACCCCTTTCTCTTTCAGACTTACCTTTGGGTCATGCTTGGTCTACAAGGTGTGTTTTCCGATTCGAAGAAAATCTCTGATTGTAGAGACAGGTCTCACTTAAGCTTGATTTTACATTTTGTCTTCCAGTGGTTAGCGTTAACAATGCCCAATGGGGCGAATCGTTGTGCAAGAGAAAACCAAATCTCTATGTGGAAGTGAGCCTTGGATCTGCTGTCAGGAGGACTGGCACAATCAAGGGCCATTTGCATACTTGGGACGAGACCTTATCATTGTACGCGTGCCGTTTTCTCCCTTTCTAGACGCCAGGTATTCACGAGAAGCAACGCAGTCCACCAGTAGATTCTTCGGAGACGTTCTCCATCAAGGTGCTACGTAAACCATCGATCCCGTTTCAGCGTGATGTTTGCGTTGGTTCAATCCGTATAGAACTCGAAACCTTATCCAATAGATGTACCAGCGGGACCAGTGAGTAGCGATGCGTCTTTCGGTCGTATTTTTTTCATCTTTATTCGATGCTAGCACAACTTTCACTCGACGTTCCTGTGGGGAAGAGTTATGGAAAACCGTCTCTAGTCGTAAAATTACAGAGCACATCTGTCGTGCCAAAAGATGTCGAATCTGGTGTAAAAGATGCAACTCAGGCAGTAAACGGGCTGAAAGGCTCTACTGAAGCTCATGATGCAATAGAACAAGGATTATCGCATCTGAACAAACAAGGAGATGTGGGGAAATCAGTGTGGGCTCTTGTGCAAAAGATAGACGTACTTGCAAACGCAATCGACAGATTATCCAGCGTATGTCTTTTAACTTTCTTTGTCTTCGATCTGTTTGTTCATCGCCTGCAGCTTCATCCATACGTGAACGCGGCTTGGCAGCTGGTATCAGCATTGTATAAGGTATCATCCGTCTAGATCAAATATACTATGACAAACCTGTATTAATATATTGTCTAGGCTGTCTCTCATCAAATTGAGACCGATCGCAAGCTCATCAAGCTCGCTGAATCCATGGAAGATGCATTTGAATTTGTAAAAGATGCGGATTCGTTGCCCAGTAAGACCACGGCGCTAAAACGGACACTCGAGAAACTCTTGCAGCAGACCATTGAGTGCTGCCAATTTATCCTGACCTATACCAGCCGGAATTTCCCTGGTGAGGCGATTTCCTTTCATGCATGTATTGATAGACAGCCAATATTCAATGACAGCAAGAATGCTGCAAATGAGTAGACCGAAAATCGAAAAGTTCGCTGAGCGCTTCGTCGATCTCAAAACGGCTTTGGACTCGAATATCGGATTGCGTACAGCATTCGTATCTGCACGGATATCGGAAGATGTTGAGGATATATGTATGCTCTGTTTCGTACCTAAAGCAAGACGTACTAATTCCTATTCTGAATAGATTTCCGAGAATTACTCGACCCATTCAATATGAACGCTTTCAAACGCAACACATGCCTTGAGAATACACGAGTTGAGGTGTTGAATCAAATCATGGGTTGGCTTTTATCGGACACCGCCCAGAACATCTTATGGCTTCACGGTGTTGCAGGATCCGGTAAAAGCACTATTGCCACAACCATTGCAGAAAATTGCCGAGGCATGTCGCGGCTTGGTGCATTTATTTTCTTTAGGAGAGCCGATGATACTGAACGTCAACTTGTTTCGTTGTTTCGAACCATTGCATACCGGTTAGTGATGTTCGATTCGTCTATAGCACAACAGGTCAAAGCTTCTGTCAAGAAGAACGACCATATTACTGAGGCTGTTGCAGAGGTGCAGTTCACGAGACTGCTTTTGGATCCTCTTAACGCTGCCAGGGATGACGTACAGGGACCGGTTGTTATTGTCATTGATGCATTGGATGAGTGTGGTACTCGGGAGGCTCGGCGGATACTGATGTCTCTTCTGAGACGGGAGTTTGGGAAGTTACCTACAAATTACCGATGTTTCATTACGAGCAGACCAGAGGTGGACATTAGCACAGCACTGTCAAATCGGCCGGGTTCGGTGTACGAGCTTACCTTAGATTCCAGCTCGGCGGATAGCAAGCGCGACGTCCTACGATACATTGACCATGAGATGCGTAGGGTTATCGACGAATCGGACGTGAGAGTACCAGACGAATGGCCCTGGGATACATATATGAAGCAACTTGCTCGGGCTTCGGAAGGGTTATTTATATGGGCATCGACTGCCATTACGCTTGTGTCGGAAAGTCCCAGTAGACTCCGGAGGCTATATGAACTTGTTAATGCATCTCACCGATTGAAGGGTCTTGACCGACTGTACAAGTCCGTTTTGATTAGCTCAGGGGTTATCTCAATGGACGAGCCATACTCTATAGCTCGCTTTACACAGATACTGGGCCTCATCTTGCTTAGCCGGGTCCCGCTCACAGACGCAACAATAGATGCACTTCTCGGATTATCGTCCATAGAGCCGTCACGTGAGATTCTCGCGAAACTGCAGAGTGTCCTCGTCTTTAGACAAGGCGAACCCGTTCATGTACTGCACACATCGTTTGCTGACTTTCTCATGTCGTCGCCGTGTTCTACGCCGTGTCCAATACACCATGATCCTTCCGATTGCCTGTCTGGCCCCTGGTTCAGTGACGTTGCCATGCAAAGTTCGTTGATTGCGAAACGATGCTTCACCATCATGAAGGGAGGGCTTGGCTTCAACATGTGCGATCTCGAATCGTCTTTCGCGTATAACAAGGATGTTGTCGGGATAAAGGACCGTATCAGTAACAAATTACCGTCGCATTTGCAATATGCATGCAAGTATTGGGCACAGCACCTTGGTGATGCTCCATATACACGCGAGCTGTTGGACGAGTTAGCGGCTTTCGCGTACGAGTATCTACTGTATTGGCTCGAGGTACTCAGCATGCTAGGCCAAGTTGGTCCGATTGCGAGTCGAGCGCTTCTGGATGGTGCTAAATGGTGTGAGGTGGGGACTGTTAGCTTCGGTTCTGCACGCGCACTAACCCTTGTCTAGGCACATGATACAGGCCTTTCTTTGTTCTTGAGGGACGCCAGCAAGCTCGCTGCCACGTTTGCTATGCCCATTACCGAAAGTACACCACATATCTATGTTTCCATGCTTCCGCTTATGAAGGGCGAATCGGCGACTGCAGCTCACTATTCGAAGCACATATCTCGAATGGTAGAGATGAATCGAATAGGAACGAAACCACCACCGTTATGGTCCAAAGTATTAGAGGGACATACGCATTATATTTTGACGGTTTCATTCTCGCCTGATGGGAAGTATATTGCTTCAGGCTCCTGGGACGGAACAGTCAGAATGTGGGACTTCGAGAGCGGTGAGATGGTGTGTCACCTTTTTGAAGGGCACCAAGTCGCCGTCAATTCTCTCGCATTTTCTCCAGATAGCCGTCTCCTTGTCACCGGATCCTGGGATAAGAAAGTTCGTATTTGGGACATTGAGTCAAGAGAGGTGGTATCGGGCCCATTCGAGGGTCATGTTGACGGTGTGCGGACCGTTGCGTTTGCACAAGACGGGAAGCACATTGCCTCTGGCTCGGGAGACATGACAATACGAGTATGGGATGTCGAGAATAGGGCCGTTTCTCAAGTTCTCGAAGGACACAAAGGTGCTGTTCGATCTGTTGCCTTCTCATCCGATAAGAAACGAATATTTTCGGCATCCGAGGACAAGACAATTCGAGTCTGGAACGTGGAAACAGGACAGGCAACAGGCGAGCCTTTTGTAGGTCACACGAAGGAAATTTACTGCATGTCGGTTTCTCCGAATGGCAGGCACCTTGCCTCTGGCTCTTGTGATAACACGGTGAGGGTCTGGGACGTGGAGAGTGGACAGCTTGTCAGTGGTCCGTTTGAGCATGCAGATAGCGTTTATTCTGTCTGCTTTGCACCTGATGGAAAGAGGGTTGTATCTGGATCTGCAGATCGCACAATCATTGTCTGGGAGGTGGCCACCGGCGAAATTGTTTCTGGCCCTTTTACCGGTCACGTAGGCACCATTCGTTCTGTTGCCTTCTCCCCTGATGGGTCATGCATCGTCTCGGGGTGTCAAGATAAGACCCTTAGAGTTTGGGACGCGTCAATCGGCAAGATCATTTCAGACTCTGCAAGCAAGCACTCAGACGCTGTCTTCTCCGTTGCCTTTTCTCCAGATGGCAGTCATATAGTATCTGGCTCTCGGGATAAGACCGTTAGATTCTGGGACGCCAGTACGGGCGAAGCAGCTTCCGCGCCATTTTTGGGACATACTGAAAGAGTTTACTCTGCAGTCGTTTCGCCTGATGGGAGACGAATTGTCTCTGGATCTACCGATAAGACTGTCATTGTCTGGGACATAAGGAGTGGCAAGATGGTATTCCAGCCGTTCGTGGGGCACTTAGACATGGTCAATTCGGTCACCTTCTCTACTGATGGTACACGCGTCGTTTCTGGGTCTAACGACAGGACGATCATTATTTGGAACGCTGAGAACGGCAAAATGATTGCTCAATCTGAACAAGTGCATAAAACTGGGATCCGCCGCGTCGCATTCACCCCCGATAGCACTCTCATTGCGTCAGCATCTGTCGACAACGATGTCGTTATTTGGAATCCAAACAGCGGGGAAATTGTTTCCGGACCTTTCAAGGCTCTTCAAGATAGCACGTTTTTGTATTATGCTCCGCTTTCCTTCTCTCCTGACGGGAGGCGTATTGCCTCACGTAGCTCGAACAACGACATTATCGTTCGAGATCTGGAGAGTGGACAGATCGTCCCCGGACATTTGAAGGGACACACCGACCCGGTCACGTCAGTTTCCTTTTCACCGGATGGGGCATACATTGCCTCCGGATCGGTCGATCGTGCAGTCATTATATGGGACGCAAGCAGTGGAAAGCCTGTTTCTGGGCCATACAAGGGGCACAGTGGTGGAATTACATGCGTTGCCTTTTCTCCGGATAGCGCTCGCGTTGTTTCATGCTCTTTTGACGGAACAATCCGAATTTGGGCTGTATCAAGTAATGAAGGCGTTTCTGCATCGTCTGGAGAGACATCAGATAATATGGTGGCCTTGTTGTCGACTGTCGCCAGCGGGAGCATTAACGAAGGCTTTGCGGGTTGGACATTAGCTGATAATGGATGGATATTGGGCCCACAAAACGAACTGCTTCTGTGGCTCCCTCCCGATATTCGTTCAACGCTCTGGCGGCCTCAGAACGCGGCCGTCTTCAGTTGTGAATTTTCCACAAAGTTGAACTTCCGGAACGCTGCGTGCGGTCAACGTTGGAAGGAATGCTTCAATCCTGCTGAATAAACCAAGCCTTTACTGTTATAGTTCTATTGCTTCATTTACAGGCTATGTATGCATTGAACATTCTATATAAAGAAAAAATAGAAAACTCTTGCTTGCTTAGGTTAATTTATAAGAGTAATTATTCTGTATATGGAAGAGTATGCCAGTACAGAATAAATATCTCTGTTTGTATTGTATTGTCCTGCATATGTGTTATATAGAACATGCTTCATAATCAATTGCTACTAATCTTCCGATTCAATTGCAACGGGTATTCAGTATCATATGTAATTTGTTTACACTAGTTCAACTTTCATTACTCGAGTCTGTGTTGGCACAGACGAGCAGGCTCGAGCAACCTTGGTTGAGCACAGATGGAGAAGGGCTCACAATGACTCCATTTCAAAGAGCAGGCACACACAACAGTCCTCTCAAATGTAACATTATCTTCTGGACAGTGTCGTTTTGCCTTGTGAATTTGATGGAAATCAATACCGGTCGGAGGATATCTGGACAAGTACTACTGATTAGGAATAAATACTAGATATTTTAGACAAAACCTACAATAGTATATACTCATGCCTTCAGCAATACTTTATGCAGGTCGGTCGTTATGCATTAGATACTTCGCTATTGAGAGCTGTTCTGTAAGGCGGAGGGTTTATTCGGACATTGATGTGCTTTACGAGAAAATTGATAAGCTTCAGGTCGGATTTGCATGTCACTGGCTTGTATGGCCGTTCATCGACTTGCCCTCGACTTCCACCACAAGCGTTTAGTTTGCTTCTGACAGGCGTTAGTTGCATTGCTTACTAGCTCTGAAATTGTGGATACTCGCTTGAACGCTCGCTGAATTGACCTAAAAAAAGGTGTGGGAGTGGAGGATGTGATAGGTGCGTGCAGCGGTGCCGTTCACACATCTGGAATCGTTCCTCCAGGTCTGGAGTGATGAGCTAACGGAAATCATACTTTCTAGACGCGACGCTGAGATCATTCTTGTATTCACTGGAAAAGGTGTTAGGACTCACGCTCATGAGAGTGTTAGAACGTGCTTCGCTGCTATGCGTGTCGAAGTTGGCTTGGTGAGCACGTCACTTACTGTTGTGCCTTTCTCCCGCTGACGTGTAGCTACCTTCGTAGATTTGCATCGAGGGGTGAAAGATTTTGCGCGAACTTCGAACCATTCACAGAACAAAGTCGACCAATTGCTTGGCAGCTATATTTGTCGATCCTCTGAATTTTCTAGATTCGCACAGTGCTGAAGAGATGGCCTGACCACTCACGAAAACGTAGGACAATATGCAACTGTTTTCCTTGCATTTGGCACCAACCGATATGTATCTTTTCTAGACGCGAAAGTTCTCCGTTGTTAAAGCATAGGAGACCTTCACGTGCCGTCTGCGAAGGTGAAAAAGGCGATCGTGCCGCCGGGATGCATCACCAAGTCAACAGTTGATGACCGAATCGACCAGATGGTTGCTGGTCACCTCAACATTTTGTTGCTTTTGTATGATCACATCAACATGAAGATCAGTGGTCAATAATTCGTGAAGATTGGCGAATTGATGGATGCTGGGGTTTGGCGCGTAGACGCCTGTGTCGAACGTCATCAGCTCTCGGCAATCCAGCCATTTATGTGCATGCCGCGCTGAACGTTCAGGAAGAGAACCGCTTGTGTACTGTTCCTCGTGCGTCAGCGCTCAATGCTCATTGCTTTCGGACTGTGCTCTCGGACCTCTCGGACGCGGATACAATCAACGTGAGAAGATGGGTCAAAGATGGACAGTCAGTGTGCCTTCAGCTTTTAGCGCTTTGTCGCCACATCAGTTGTTGGTTGTTTCCGCCTCACCATGGCGCTTGACGCCTTCCCTGCCCCTCCTATTCCTCCCAGGCCTCGTAGCTCTGCGAGCTACCACCACGACCGGACACAGTGCTCGCAAGCCGTGCCACCGCCAGTCCCGCCTCTCCCTCCAGGATTCCAACCCCACGAAGAAGACATTCGTCGCCCACACTCCGCTGGTCCGATGCAAGTGCCCGCACCACAGCAACGTAACATGATTCATCCTTCACACGTATGTAGTACTTTCTCCTTCCGCCGTTGGTGTTTCTGAGATACCTTTTAGATGATGCACGGTTTCAACCCTCAGGCTGTTTCGTACAATGGGGTGGCACGTTTCGCGTCTCCGGCGCCGGTGCCTCTTCCTCAAATGCAGCACCAGCAAGGAATGATCAATGCTGTCCCTAGATTCATGGGCCCCTCTGGACCGATTCCATTTCGTGGTACATCTCCGGCTCCTTCGTACTCGCCGTTTCCACCTCCGCCGTCCGTGCCCGGTGGTGCTACATGGCATAGAGAACCGTCTGCCGATGTCAGCTTTGTTACTTCATTGATGGCGACCACTTCTTTGGTTGGTAATTCTTTACCAAGGGCACAGAGTGTGCATGGCGTTATCGAATATTCTCCACCTCGTCCACCTCTTCCGCCGTCAACGTCCCCAAATGGACGTCGTTTCGCAGCTCCTCTTCCGACTATCACTACTCTTCAAAATGCTCTGTCATCGGTTCAGTCTCCAGCTACAGATGATGCAAGTCGTGTTGCCTGGATTCGGGATGTTCTCTTTCTTGTAAAGAGAGACTGTGTGAGAGATTCTCCAGTTTTGTCCTCAGGGCTATTTCTGGCGTCAAACTCCTTTCCAACCGGGAGTATCCAGATCAGCGATCCCGCATTGCGGCATCTTGCAGAAAGCGCCGTGGCATTACTCATTGCTCTTATGCCGACATTACCCGCTCGTGACGAGAATTTGACGCTTCCCCTTGCCGAAGCACTCTACATTCGTGCTGAATTAACAGCGTCAGGCGCGTTTCCGAATTTGATACCGGCTTCACCGAGAAACGCATTCAGGGAGTTTGAAGCTGCGGCTCGCTCAGGCTTTTCACATGCGTGGTTCCGGCTAGGACGAGATTACGAGGGATTTGACGACATTGCTCATGCTCGGCAATGTTTCGAGAAGGGCGTCGATGGCGGAGATGTTGGATGCGTCTATCGAATGGGTATGGCGCGCTTACTTGGACAGCTCAACTTCCCCACAAACATTGTAGAGGGGGTAGAACAAGCCACACAACTTCTTCACCGGGCAGCGGCGTCGGCAACAATCGAGTTCCCTTATCCTCCATATGTCTTTGCGCTCTTTCTACTTGACGAATTTGAACATGTCTCTATCCCTTCCTATATCCTGGCCAAATATATTCCCGCGGGTTCAACTCCGCCACTCGAAGCACGCCGACATCTCGAACATGCTGCATTTCTACACTATACACCTGCTCAGCAACGGATAGGTCGCGCATACGAATTCGCAGAGACGCCTTTTCCATTTGATCCCATCCTGAGCGTTGAATACTATTCTCTCGCTAGCGCTGGCGGTGACGCACAAGCAGATCTCGGTCTATCAAAATGGTATTTGTGCGGAGCAGAAGGTGCATTCAATAAAGACGAACTGCGTGCACGTGAATGTGCCGAGCGTGGAGCTTCGCGAGGTCTTCCGGCAGCGAAGTTTGCTATGGGTTATTACTGTGAGGTTGGCATAGGTGGACCGCAGGACATTCAGCAGGCGCGACGATGGTACACTGAGGCTGCAGAGATTGGGGAAGCAGAAGCAGAGGGTCGATTGAAAGCACTCTCGGATACTTCGATGCCGCTTTCGCGAGAAGATCACAATGCTCTTGCAGAAACAAAACTTGTGCGTAAGCGAACGCAGGCACGCATTCGGTCTGATGCTACTACTGGAAGGGATGGTAACCTATCATCCCAGGCAGTTGTACATCGTCAGCCTGATTACGTCGTTCCCCAGCGGCGGCAAGCCTCTCTTCCAGCCCCCATGCCTTCTAACGGTCAATATAGTCCAGGAGTGCAACCTGCACTCCAACAGCCGCTCCCAAGACATGCTACTAGTCTGCCTCCTCAAATTCCACTGAATGTTGTTGGATATGAACAGTCCCAATTCGCACCAGGTCAGGGCCAGCAGTTTTCCGATCGACCGCGATATTCGCTGGTGGATCCCGGAGTTGCCCAATCCATTGGAAACGCACCAGCACCCTTTGCTGGTATGCGACGCGTTGCGTCAAATGGACCTCCTGCGCGCCGGCAATATACCGGTTCATCAACAACTTCACGCCCTCCACATACGTCATCTCACGAGGCTGTGTCGGCGCTTCCTTCTGAAGCCGACTTCTCAGTAAACACCGCTCCAAGTACGGGTGCTAGGAAATACACGACTTTTGCAGAAATGGGGATTGAAGGAAAACGGGCGGAGGATAAAGAATGTGTGATTATGTAAGTCCGTATCGTGAGGAACATTGTTTCATCTGGATGGCTCTTGGACCCTTTATTTTTTGCTGGTTCCTATACTCTCTGAACGCATCCGTTTTGCATCGACGTTTTGTTATCGGCTTTCCTGGGTATTGCGCGTGTTTCGTTGCATTTTGGTAGGGTGTAGTTGATCACGCTCCTCATTTTCCAATATTTATTCCTCATCACTTCATATTTCAAAATTTATCATCGTCAACGCATCATCGTACTTTCCCGTGATCTGCTATCATCTGGACACTGCAATTTATAGTAATGGCTTGTAATTCGTGTGCGCTTAATATATAGATTGTCATGCTTCTACGGTCCTTCAGACCGACCTGTTCCCCATCTAAGGTGAGCGTCTGTGCCATCAAGATTACCCGCTCTGCATGCATACACCTTCTCTAATGTTCTGATCATAGCGTCCAATGCAATATCAATATGCTCATCATTTCAATGTAGCGTCTTGTAGGTGTGAAGTGTCACCATGATGCCTTCTGGTATAGAGTCGAAGCCGCAGTCGACAGAAACTAGTCGATTCAATGGCCCTGTTTCACATATTTGACTAACAGCGTACTGCGTCTCGTACGTCTAATAAGATTTTAATTTCGGACGCCGATAAACTAACCCCGTTGCTTGAAAAGGGTCCTTGCTCTTTCTGCTCCACTTATACAAATACGAAAGCCACTGTCTCATGGGTTCCGACTCGGTCTTGAATTCCGGCAGGTGGCATTCCATTTCGGAGAGGAGAAAATAAAGCGGTACCGGTGTCGACACACACACATTACTATACCCTGCTTCGGGTTTGCTTACGTTCGCCTATATTTAGGCATGATTCTCAGAAACCATATGAAATTCTACACGAGTATTTGTCGACTATGTTCTGATACGACTTGCATTTGTAAGTGCGGCACGGAGATCAGTTGCGAGGTACCTCAATTGCACTGCTGAGAGTGTTAATTCAGGCTGCACTGGTATTCGCTGATCAAGATCCACACAGAATTTGATCAAGCATTCTTATGCGAGCTATTTCAGTTAGATAAATTTCTGTTGGCCAGTTCTAAATGGCCGTCCTGGGAGGTTCTACTTTGGTGACCAGGGAGCATGCTGCGCAAAGGTTAGATTGGAATTGGTATAACATTCCAATCTGACGATATTTTACAATTTTTCTAGGATAATTAATGAGCAGAGATGTCTTCTCGATTAACAGGGACGCGTCTCTTTCGGCGCTCAGTTGACTTTGCCCCGAATTTGAGTAATGCCGTTGTCTCTATGTCATGACAACACAATGGGTTTCAAGGAAGCAATCACTCCTTTCGACTTGCAAGAGCGAGTATAGCCCTTAAGGGCGCCCGGCAGATGATAAGAGTAGATCCCCGCCTTAGGTTCTATCTAATACATTTTAGCGCCAGTGAGGACTTTCAATCATTGATCGTTTTAAGATCGAGTAGCCCGCCTCAATGAAACGAGCGAGGGGTCGAACGAGTTATCAGGACTTGCACAGCACGAGCAGATTCTCCGCGCTAATCGCAGTTTTGGTAACTTTTGCCCTGCCAGAAGGAATACCAAGAGTACCAGTGCTACTGTTGATTACCTCATTTTATCTGTATTGCCTCCCGGATTACAATGGCTGATGGTGTGTTGACATGTTTGTTATTTCATCTAGTTGCATATCGTGACGTAACTCAGACTCCGTTGCTCACCGTGAGACGGATATTTGTAACCTTTCCCGGCCCATTGCATCAGGGGACACAGTCTTAGACTTTTAGACGCTGGACGCGCCACGTCACGCCGCATCGTCGTAGTCAGAATGCAGCACGTTAGTGTTTCGATCCGAAGCCACTCGGACCTAAAAGCAATGAGGACAGGGGAGGATTTCCGTTTGATTGTGCTTGAATAAGTTCTGACTGCTGAATAAGATAAAACTAGCAGCTAAATTTGGACCCTTTGCAATCTCTCTTCATGTGCTAGCACGTACAAATCCTGCTATCTCCAGTGATCTTCACTACATTACCATCTAGTAGAAGGTATTTCTTATTTTTTTTCCCTACTCAGCGGTATTTATGACTTGTATATCCTTTTTTTGAGTCTACAGGATACAATTTGTAATGAGACTGCGGCGTGCCTCCAAACCCGAACTCTTTGGCTTTAAGTGCCTCCTCTCCGACACAAAGCATTTCTCCAGGGTGTAACTGCGGCGCGCATTTGTCTGGTTTGTCTTCATCACACATTCTGGCTCGATCTCATTTCGAATAGGTCTCCCTCAAACTGCTGCAGGCTTGTGTACTGACCGGCAATCGAAGGCAATGATGAGAGAATATTCTCCTTTGAGGCATCCTTGTATTTTTTAGCTGAATTTTGATATTGTAACGGCCAGCCACAGATGCAACAAAATCGATCACTGCCACCACTTGCCATCTTCGTCAACTAAATCCACAATGAGCAAATCATTCTCTGTATCCATGTCTGTACGAGTACTCCATCAGTCCGAGCAACTGAGTATCTCGCAGGAGATCGCACCTTTCGAAGCTTGCAGTCTTACATCTAAAACGCGCCACAGGCTCTCCTGCACGTTTAATCATTTTCTCGTCTTTTCAAAGTGACACCGTTGCCAAACTATTTCTATTCCTTTGAGGAGCGATGCCGAGCTAATGCGCTCGCCACGCGGTTATCTAAACGGTCGAGCGACGGACAACGGCCAGCTCGGAATCATGTTGCAGAGGTCATCCGTGTCACGGCCGAACGACTGAGCCACTCTAGGGAATGACAGAGTCATTATTTGATCGTTTTAGCCTATTGTAGGCTATCGTCCTCCATATAAAGGGTCATGGATTCATAGACTTACTTCACCATTCGATTCACTTCGCTCGTATTCATCTGCTTTCACGCTCTCGCTTCTTCTCAATTTAAGAAACCTATTTCAAGGCTATTTATTCCATGTCGACTCACAGTAATCCATTTGTCCAAGGAGGATGGTCAGCGTCATTTGGAAGGAGCGGAGATTATAGTGCCAACCCACCCTCTGTCTATGGAGCTTTGCCAATGTCAACAAGTACTGGCGCTGGAGGGGCGTCAAGGACTGGTGCAACACATTTCCAGTTTATGAACCCAAGTCCTACGATTCTAAATTCGATAGTCGCCGGTCCACACCGCGACGGAAGTATTCACCAGCTTGTGAAGATATCCACCGATGAGCGACTTGCAGGATATACAGCCTTCACGGACGCACAAGGCCGCAGTGTTGCTCTGATTGAATGGACGAGCTCGCACCCGCAGGTCGAAGTTCGTGGCAGCGTGATTAAATGTGCTGCTGGCGACTGGCTTAAAGTTATTATGGATCCAACTCTCGGAAGGTTAATGCATTCATACTCTTACAATGAATTTTACTTATATGTCGTTTTAAGACCTGTTAGGCGCATGGACGTACGCGGTTCTAGATTTGTCTGGTGTCCAAATGGTGAAGCCATCCTTGTGAGTATTTCGTTATCACATACAATAGTAAAATCTAAATGCACATAATCAGCTTTATGCTCAGGCCTCAAATTCTACCCCTCTCGCTGTTGCTACAAAGAATAGAAACGTGGTGAACTTGGAGATGAGCGACCAAGCTCTTTCCTGGGGTCTTCTCGAGCCTAGTATCGTCGCAATTACTCTTCTCCTCAGTGGAAGAAGGCTGGAATGATTGCTTCACTGTTCAACTCCGAAGTGCTCGCTGCCGCCGAGAGTATCTCAATCCAAGACCAAACCTAGACTATGCTATTATATTAGAGCTTAATTTTTGCTTTTAGAACTGTAGCCATAGCACTCACTTTCGTCATTCTACACTGTTTATACTTACTTGCCACCACTCCGTCACCCTTTACTGTAACCACATAATAGTCAGATAAGACATAGTTCTGTTCATATTGTTTACACGTTCTTAGCTTAATTTAGCTATATTTATTTGCTCTTTTTAATTATTGTGTTTATACCTGAGATCATGCAAGTGGATTCCTGTCATGAATAAAGGGAATTAATTTCAAGTCAAGTAGACACTGAGCATATAAACCTTTTCTTCTTACACTATTTATTGCATAAGGTTTGATTGAAGTGTCCTATACTCATACACATTATGGTCCAGTCCGAAAATCAAATACTCTATAGGTGCAGACTATATCACAAGGTTTATTCGGATGTAATCAAGAAGGCACAGATCCTGAGTCTGAGTTACAAAGTAGACATCCTGTCTACACCATGAATACAGAGTGCTCTGATGGGCATGGGAAAGGCAGATTAATCTTAGGTTACTGTCGGGTCCACAACGTCTCCCGGTTCCGACTTGAGAATAGCATTTATTCTCGCTATGAGAAAACAACTCTTGATCAGTCCAAAAGTGACGACATCCCTTAACATGCACTGGAAAGACAAGGTTCCGAGAACTCCAATCGCTGCCGAAGTGTTCGACTCGGAATTATTATCAACCTAGTTTTGAATGGAGTATTCATTCTGCTTCAAATTGATCGACCACTGTTTTAAAGCATGCCACAATCAAGATAAGATAAGCGGAGCTAATTCAGCCGAACTTAAACAGTTCTTTTACCGTATGCATTTTTTATTACTCATAGACGCTTAGTTTATAACTTTGCGCTAGACGGATTTGGATGTATAATAGCCTGAAGTGGAAGGCTTATTCAGAATCGAGTTATGACGATCGACGCACAAGCTGACGACGGCACGTCTCGTGGCTCTTGACTTTCTACATTCTAATGGCGATACCAAATTGCTTATAACGTCGCTATCTTTTTCTCTCTATCTCGCTATAACTGAGGACTTATCGGATCGGGAGTAGCAACTTTTGAGCAAATAGCAGCTAGTCTTCGCGAAAATTGTATTGATGCCAGTTGCATGTGCTCGCGAGGTCAGCTGCTTCAATCGTTTTCTGACATTCTTCTCTTCTAAGGCCCAAACTTTGTTGCAGTCCGACCTATCTGCGATGCACACGTTGTCTACTTACAGCATTGCCAAGACAGGGATACGCTTTTTTGCTTAGAGGGAAACCGTGTATACAATGCAACCTGCGCTCGCAGTCATTCCCGAAAGAACAGGGCAGGATGGAAAGTGAGGGTGGATGAGTAGGTTAGAATGTCAGAATAACTAATATAGCGGCTGCTATACCAATTGGAAGGGCGTCTATGGCCACTCCTTCTTCGAAGGCGTTAATTCCGCTCCGGTAAGCTATTTATACTGTATGGAGAGCACTATCATGATGCGCCCCCGCTCATGCCTCGTGTATGATAATGGACTGAAGGCGCGTTGCGGCAATTCTTTCCTATTAATACCGCGAGTTAAAAGTAGGACATCCTCTGCGCTTCATATTGTTGCGAAGGAAATGTGCCCATGGAAAGCAGGAATAGATACGGTCCACAAACAATCCGCCTAGGTACTACTTCCAGCAGGGCTGAAAATAGTAGTCAGAATAATTAAGCTGCGAGCACGATCGAGTATCATGCATTGCGCCTGTCTAGCTTATTCTTAGACGCTTCCACAAAGGTCAGGCATGTCCCTCCAGGTTAATGACAAATGCATGCAAATAAGTGAACTGGTCATCAAGGTGAGATTGGACTTTATGCAGCTGAATATGATTGTGATGTCCCTCTGGCATAGAATATCATGTTGTGAGAGTGGTCGGTATCTGAAGAAGGAACGAGGGCTCAAGTAATAATAATGTGATTGGGCTGTAATACGTGGCGAGTACGGGTAAGTACGGGCATGCTGGAAGTCGAATTTGAATCTGATAAGATTTATCGAGCTAGAATTAGAACGGATCTTATCTGATTCCCTGCCTTCGCGCCTCCTGCCCATCTGCTACTTTTGTGCCGCTGGACTACTGTCTCGCCATGCCGCGCATTCTAGGCCGACATATCATCATGCTTCTCTCGCTTAAGTGTTCAAGCACGCTCGATGATACATGAGCACATGAACTTACCAGACAGTGATGAATGAAGACCCTTCTACCGTATCAACGGTCATGCTGCAATCGGCCGCAGACGATCCAGTTCGATTTGTGGTAGGGCGGTGTCTTCCAAGGGGTTGAGCGCGCCGGTGTTCCAAATCCGCCTCTAAAATTAACCAACACCCTCAAACCTGGCCTTATCGCAGTTCTGCCCACTTCAAATAAGAAGCCTTACAGACGTTAGGGATGACTCCGCACGCCCAGTTTTCCTCAGGTGTCTCTCCGTCATGGACCTCTCGCAAGGCTTTGAGATGCGCTCCTCCTTGCAGACGCGACAGGACACAGATCTCGATAAAACGCTGCGGAAGTTGCGCGCTAAAACATACCCTCAGTACGCTGTCTATTTACTAGTCTGTACCATCTTCGTTGCCGCTCTCTGTAATGCCGCGTCCATCCTATACAATTATCTTTCCCTTCGGGCGGGTATGAGAGGTAGACGGTTAGGAGATAACGGCGATAGGGACACCGAAGCTGCCCCGGCAATATCTAGACGGCGTATTGGTGGCATTTCTCTGAGACGTATGCCGTTGGCGGCTGTGAATGCAGTACGCATAGTAGCGTTCAGGGTGTCTCTCCCAGTAGCGCCGAATGTCCGAATTCCACTTTTCGAGGTCTTCGTCTGCCTTGCCCACCTCCTTGCGATCCTCCTATTTGAGTTTGTGAACTGTGCGCACCTTTCTCTTGTCATTACCGTATCAGTTGCTAAACTCTTGTATTAGCATGGAATCTAGCAGATATGCTAGATATTACTTATTGGGCTAATCGTGCGGCAGACTTGGCTGTCAGCCAACTTGCCTTCATTCTCGCACTTTCTGGAAAGAATAATATTATTTCATGTATGTGTGTTATAAGACGCTCTATGCTGATAATTAGATATGACTGACGTATTCGTGCATAGTGCTCACTGGGATAAGTTACGAGAAACTGAACATTTTCCATCGCTCAGCTTCGCGAGTGGTCCTTCTTCTCATATGGACTCATATGTGGGCTCGTGTAAGTGTTCCATTTAAGATCATATTGTTCGAACGACCCTTACTTGACGTTCTTCTATCTCTAGTGGAAGCTAGGGTAGGTTTTCCCTTGCGGGTTATGTAGATCTCCCTGACTATACGTTCACAGCCTCACTGGGGATGATTCCATGAAATTTGTGTGGTTACACTGCGGTATTGCGGCAAATACTTGTCTCACACTTCTGGTTATTCTGGGGACGCGGCAACTCCGAGACCGGAACTATGAATTCTTCCTCGCCGTGCATATCGTACTCTCTGTGTGAGCCTATGGCATTTTATTGACTATGCGTGTGAGTGTCCTAACATCGCTTCTATAGTGTATTCCTTATCGCAGCATCCATACATGTTACGAACGACAGAAAGTAAGTGATTTCTCTACAGCTTGCAATGCGCGGACTCATGTTCTTATTCAGGTTCCTTCCTTATGTGTGGTCAGCATGCATTATCTGGGGCCTCGATCGTTTCCTGCGCCTTGTACGCGTACTCCGCATTCGCTACCTCAATTCGAAGTGCAAGGGGAGCCATGCACAAGCAACTATCAAAGCTTTGTCTTCAGACACAGTAGCTGTGTCTATGCGTATTGTGCAGCCTAGCTGTTCTCTATTCAAGTTTGGTTGGCGTCCTGGACAGAGTGCTTATCTTACCGTCCCAGCTGTTACCCCTTGGTCATGGGGTGTGTCGATTGAAGCCCATCCGTTTACGATTGCTTCAATTGACGAGACGGTGGAACGTGATGGGGGCGAAGAAGACGAACTGGAGATGAAGTTCATCATTCGTGTACGCGATGGATTTACGAGGAGGTTGCATGGGTTCGCGGTTAGTGCGGGTGGTTCGTGTGCTGTATCGGCGTTTGTGGATGGGCCGTACGGTGACCCCCCCAATGTGTATTTCTATCCGAATGTTGTTCTTGTTGCAGGTACGTTGACTCGATCTACTTGAGAAGATGAGAAGCTAAAACAGATGTGTTGTGTAGGAGGCTCGGGTGTATCATTCACGTTGCCTCTCCTTCTCGATCTTGTCAGGTAAGTGCCATCCGCGTAATGTGTCCCTTGATTGGTTAACATGGGAATGGTTGTAGGCGTGCTCGGAAGGAAACCCCGGATACGCTGTGCAAGAAGGTCAAGTTCGTTTGGTACATTCGCGAGAGAAGTATGCATCGGATTTCATACGTATGGAATTATCATTCTGACTATCTCTTCCATTGTAATGTTCCAGTCCACTACGAGTCGATGAAAGCAGAGTTCGACGCGATTCAAGCGAACCTCCCGGCTAATCTTGAGGTCGAGATCAACGTCTTCGTTACAGGGAACACAGACGACAGCCTAGGGGTTGGTGTTGCATCACTCGGACATTGCGCTGAGAAAATGACTCCGGGAGACGTTCATCACGAATTGGAGGATAGCACTGATAGCTCAAAGGAAAAGCTGGAGTTGGAGTTACCTGTAGCCGAGGATGAAAAGGATGAGAAGTCAGCTGGTTCTGGGACCGGTAATGCTAATAACAACAAAATTGTGCATTTGGAATATGGAAGGCCTGTTATTGCGAAGACTTTGGAGGAGGAGGTTATAGTTTGTGAGGACTCGGTTGCTGTCTGTGGTACGTCTTGTTCCGGCGTTGCATCTATAACATCTAAAAGCTTACAAATATCTGGTCCCGTCTTTAGTATCTGGACCACAGACGTTGATTGACGATGTTCGGGGTGCGTTGGCGAAGAGAAGCGTAGCAGGCCCAATGAACGTCTTACGTGGAGGAGCGAGCGTGTTCCTGCATGTTGAGCATTTTGGCATGTAGAGACGGGGCTAAACCGTAAACGTCACGGTGCCTCCTTCTCTCTGCTTGAGACTCAGAGTGTTGAAAATGCAATAGTAAATTTAGACTTTTTGTTTTTCGTTGATCGTGTATAATACATTTGATATGCATACATGTATGAAGTGTTTTTACTTCTCCTTCTTCTTCTCTGAATTGGATATTGGATATTTGGATGTTGGTTTTTGGTACCTGTATGAATTTCACATTATAGATGTGAAATGAATGATTCTAAATTTCTAGCTTAACTAACGTCTAAGAAAAGTGATTATCATCATTGCTGATTTTATATATATACATTAGTTAGACAAAGTAACTCATAAGAAAGAACCTTGTTGTTTGCATAGTTTCTGGCTAAGGCTTACAGACATTGATTGACGACGTGCAAGGTGTGTTGAAGAACGTAGCAGGTCTGATGAATGTCTTGTGCGGAGGTACGAGCGTGTTCTTGCATGTCGAACAACTTTGGCATGTAGAAGAGAAACGTTGGCGGTGCAAATTATATGAATCTGTTTGTTCTTTTTAGCCTGGGGTAAAACTTGCTCGTGCTTTGTACAATATACACATAAATTTAACGATGTTTGTCGACGCGATTTTTTCAATACACAGATGAAATAATTTCGGCACAATAACAGAAGCCCAATTATTGCTGGCTAGGTTTGTACATTATTGAGTGATATACGTTTCGGTACTAGAGATACACTGTTAACTATCAGACCGCCAAGTCAGTTCATAGGAGTACCGAATTTTCAGAAGATAGATAGAAGCACCTTGGTTAAGCACTCTACACGAAGCCATTCCGCTCTCTCTTACGCGTTCTTTGACGGATTAGCGCCAGCGTCAGCTTGATTAGTGGTAACCTTGAGCTTTTCGAGCGCCTTGTCGAGGTCCCACCCTACGTCGTGCTCCCAAACGGGTTTGGAGGGTGTCCAGCCTAGCTCAGTGGAAGCGTGGCGTGCAAGGAAGAAGCGTGTTTCGGAGGATTCGTTTGCTATTAGCTTGGATCCGGGTGGGGTTCTGCGAGAAGGGTAAGATGATTTAGTGCTATCGAGATGCTAGAGCAGAAGAAAGGCTTTGACGCACAGTGTGGGAGTCGATGAGGGAAGGAGGTTACGGCTACTGAGTGCTCGTATGATGGTGTCATAGACAGACGCGCAGAGACGTTCCGAAGAAGAGGCGATATACACGCTAGGAGGTGAGGCCGGAATCCCAAACTGGGATTCAGACAAATGCCGGGAGTGGAGAATGCTGTCGAGTACGAGGAGGTACAAGTTCGCGAGGTCGTCTATGTTCACCATCCCCATCACGCGATTCGGGCGTTCCTTGATTACAGAAGCCAAGAGTGGGTGGAAGTGCGGGGAAGTAATGTTGGGTTCGGGGAGAGACAGGGCGTCTCGGATGATGTCGATGTAGAAGGGGGAGGGTTTGCCGTATGCGTTGAGACCGTAGACGGCAGCTGGGGCGATGAAGTAGGCGCGGAGCATGCCGTCGCGTGTGGCGGAGAGGATGGATTGTTCGACTGGTTTGTTGAGGAGAAGGCGGATGCAATCTTCGTCTGTGTCCTAGAGTCGGTTGTCATGCGTTATGATAGAGGATGGAGAAGGAGGAGTGAGGAGGACGTACATCCCATGTATCTCTCCCTTCGAACGCATCTCCTGCCAAGGTATGGATAAGTACAGACCTCTTCCCCGTCTCTTCTTTCCTCCTCTTCAACCCCTCAACGAGAGCTTCGATTAAGCCAAGGTCATCCGCACGAGCAACGTTAATGACAATATCCGCCTTGCTAGCAAACTGGGTGACGAGCGCTCGGTCTTCTAGCGTGCCGTTGACAGCGTTGACGTCGTGAATATGGGCTGCGTGTGAGGGAGTACGGACGATTGCTGTGTAGTTGAGAGCGGGGTGGGCGTTGATGATGGTGTTGAAGACAGCAGCTGGAGAGCGGTGGCGCGCATGTGATTAGGTGGTGGGGATTATGATGCAGAGTGGAAGGGAGAGCTTACAGCCGATGTAGCCAGTTACACCTAGAAATAGAATTGCTGGCATTGCGGCAGTAGAAGTAGTTGAAGTATTATGAGTAAGAGTCTGAGAGGAGTGCCACTGATGATTATATATACGGCTGACGACGGAGGCGCGAGGCGATGAGTGTCGGGGAAAGACAGGGCAACGAGGGAACACCCGGTTTCCGGATCTAAACCCCACACACAACAACATTCCCTCCGATAATCCGACTTTTATATACGATATACAAACGATTTGCTCAGGACAGCGTCGAACCGAGCAAGGAGAGAAGGTAATGGCATGCCTATTGGCTCTGACCAGAGAGCGTACAGTCCTCCTGCTACTGCCAAAATCCCCATAGCTCCAGCAATCCTCCGCCTCTGCACTCTGCTCTTGTCCCATCGCTTCGGCTCCTCGGGGTTTGCGACGTACGTGTCGTACAGGAGGCTGAAGCCCTCGAGAGCGTGGAGGATGGACGCGCCAGCAAGGGCACCATACATGAGTAGACTACGTATAGGGAATTTGGACAGAGCGTGTTGGACAAATGAGAAGTCGAGCTGTGCAGGACCAATGGATGAGATGGGAGGAGAAGGATCAGTGGAGTAGATACGGTGAATGAGGACGTGGATAGGGAGGAGAGTAGCTGCTGTGTAGCCTGCTACACTAAGAAGAGAACGGAGTGGACGTGGAGGGTATGGAGAAAGAAGACGTTTGAGAATGCTTGCGGAGACGTGCAGGCCAAGGGGACCGAAGACGAAGAGTAGCTCACGCGGAGCACCCTGGTAGTATTCCCGCCCTAGCAGCTATACAATGCACGCATGCGGTCCAGGTTAGTTATCTAGTTACGGTGAAACGGAAATGAGAAACGTGCCATGACTGAGGAGGAGAGGGACGCGCCGCCGATGTTCGCGACAATGGGAGCAGAGAGGTGGACAAGGAGAAAGGCGGAGACGAGCGGTGCAGGTACATGAGATGCAGTTGTGAGGTATGGGACGAGTGTCCTGCGCCAGGATATCATCGACGAGGGCGAAGACATGGTTTCGTTGAGAGAAGATGCGTCGATCCTCTTCTTGCAATTCAATTGCTCTGATTCGCTCTCGCTCTCATCCATTGCAATCTCAGATACACACACGTTCCAATATTTAAATTTGGTACCATCGAAATTCTTGATTAATACACAGAATCTTGAAGACAGTGCTTCGGCGTGGAACCCTGTAGCTCTGCATGGATTGGAATTCTAACAGTAACAGTAGTTAGAGTAAAAAGGGGGTAATACTGCTTGATTATTATATTCTGCTAACAACAGTGTTGACGAGTGGCAAGGAAAGACAGAGCAGCAAGGGATTATCTAAACCCTATGAAGCATTCCTCCAATATCCCGAATATCACATACAATACACGAACGACTGATCCAGGACAGTATTGTGCTGAGCAAGAAGAGAGGACGGCAGCATGCCTATCGGTTCTGTCCAGAGCGTGTACAGCCCTCCTACCACCCAATAGTTCCAAAGCCAAAGGTCCTTCGATCCCGCGCTCTATTCTTGTCCCACCGCTTCGTCTCGTCAGGATTTACACTGCCGTACAAGTCGAAGAAGACACTGAAGCCTTCGAGGGCGTGGAAAATGGCTGTGCTGGCGAGGGCAATGTACATGAGAAGACTACAGGTAGAGTATTTGGACAGTACACTTTACACAAAGGAGAAGTCTATCTGTTCAGGAACGACAGAAGATATTAGAGGATTGGGGCTGGTAGGATAGATGTAGTGAATACTGAGGTGAATAACGAGAATGACTCCTGTATAACTTGTTATACTAAGAAGAGACTAGAGTAAGTATAGAGTATAGTACAAAACCAAACATTTAAGAATGTGTAGGCTGAGGGTACTAAAGACAAAGAGGATTTCACGGGTGCTACCCTGGTAGTATCTACTAGTAATACACACGGTCAGGTTGTGACCTGTTTTGACCCTGACCTGACCCTGACCTGACCCATTTTGACCTGACCCAGTATACTAGGTCAGACCAGGTCAAATTTGGGTCAGGTCATAGGTCAGCCTTCTCTCAAATTTTCCTAACCTACTTTAACCTGACCTGACCTTAATCTAACTTATAACTTATATATAAATAATGTTATTAAAATATACTTACTTATAATAAACAAATATAATATATTAAAGTATATTTAATATAATATTAGAGGATTGTAACTGAAAATTAAGTTAATAGTAAAAATATACTTTTCTTATAATTAAAGATTTACATTTTAAGAAACTTCTATTAAACTTTAAGTATATATTCTGTTTAAATAATATAAACATATTTAAGTATAAGTTAATAGTAAATGTTAGAATAGAGATCTAAAACAAAATTATAAATTAGCTTTTATTAAAAGTAGAACAAAATATTCTATTTGTATAATATAATAAGGTTTAAAAAGAGTATAGTTATAACAACTATTATAGAGTACTATTATAAAATACTATACCTTAGTATATACTAGTTTTTAATTAAGTAAATAATACTGACTCTATTAAGAATTAGTTTACCTTTATTTTTTAAAAGATAGTATTCTAACTAGTCTTATTTAATTTGTTTATTATAAAGTATATTATAACTACTATTTAGAGAAGTAATTGTATTATAGAGACTGTTACTAAGGTACAGTTTAAAAGACTTATTAATATAGTATTATTATTAAATACAAATAAGTCTGTATATAAACTTGTGTTAGATTTAAACTTAGATAATAGTTAATAAAATGTTTTATAATACATTAATTATAAGATAAAAGTCAGTCTTAAGAACTTAGAACTTAAAATACTAAATAAATAGGGTATATATAGGAAACACCTTATAATACATTTTAAGAACTCTTTATTTAGGTTTTAACAGTAATCAAGCTAGTTAAGGACAATCCTAGTTTATCTAATATATATGACTTTTAAAGTTAAATCAGAATACTTTCCTTTACATATTATATACTTTTCTCAAATATATAGTCTTATTCTTTTAAGTAATACACTACTATTAAATACTATAATTTAACATAATTTTAGAGTTATTAAACTATAACTTATTATACTTAATTCTTTCAAACTATAGAGTGTAACTAAATATTACTAAATAATCCTTATACAGTATAAAAGTGTATCCTTATAGTACTAGCATTTTGCTTAAAGTACTAAAAGAGTAGATTACTATAGTCTGTTTAAAATTATTCTATCTGTAAACTAAACATTATTTTTACTGTGTGTATAACTAATATAAATCTTACAAACTTATAACTTTCTATACTAGTTTAAAGTCTAACTATTTAAGGATACAAGTAATTAGAGTTATTATAAAGATAACTTTAGTATTTTTAGAACAGAGTATAAACTACTATATTCTGTTCCTCCTTATTTCTTATAACTCTTACACAATTTCCTATAATGTAAAGTATAAGAGAAAACTATATTCTCTAGTAATATGTGTATAAATAATAGATTAGTTTGTGTTAGACTATTATTTCTTTTTTCCTAGCCTTTTACTCAATATTCAAACTACTTACTACTACTATTACAAGTTAATATCTTACTATGACTTACTCTGAAAACACTCTTAGTTGTACTCTTAATAAGAATAACTAGTTAAAGAATATTAGTAAAATAGTATTCTTTAATAATCTAGATGACAAGATTCTAATTTCTAGACTAGGTTCATATAATTAAGAGTCTAGTTTACTAGCTCCTACTTAACAACCTGTACATAATGTTAATCAAGCTAAGCTACATTATACTATTTACTTTCAGTATAATAAAGATAGTGATTTTAGTGAAAGGAACAATTCAAATAAAGAAACTAATTATCCACCTGTTCTAAACTGTAAACAACTTATAAAACTATATACTACTTATTCTGTAAAAAAGTATAAAGTACTTATCAAGTTATTTAGTAGTTCTACACTCACAGAGTAGAAGGGGAAAGGGAAGGCTAATGTAGAAGAGAGTGTTACTAAACAGTTTTTAAAGAATGTGAGTAAAAACAAAGGTATATTAATCTAGTCTAAGTAGAGAGAAAGTAGAGTTAACTGTCTAGTCAAAGATAGTAAAAATAGTTACTCACTACCTAGTCTACTTGAGAGCTTCTATTATCTTTGTTTGAAAGACATAGTTAACAGATTCAACTAACACAGTTGTCCTTAACTATTATATTACAAACACATTTATTACTTGTACTGTGTATTTGATTAACAATTATAACTAATTTTACATATTATAAATATGTTTTAAGATATTTAGAAGATTAAGGACAGTTCCTCTAAGGTAGAACTATTTATTTTAGTTAGAAGGTAGAGTATAGAGAATATTACCCCTCTTTATAAGTTCTTCTTTACAAATAATAATAAAAAGTAAGTAAGATGTCTTGTTTGTAAGTGAGATACTCTAAATTATTGTACTTAATAAACATACTAAATACAAGAATACATAAGTAAGCTTAAGAATAAAGCTCTAGTAAGATATCTAAAGTTAGAACCTCTTTTTAAGGGAAAGTCAAATACTACTACTTTGTGTTATCATATTACTCAAAGAAAAGAAGACAACTACTAACACTTTAGAAAATATGAAGAAACCTGTAAAAATAATAGTCTTCTTGATTCTCAAGTGTACCTTAATAACTTAAAGTATACTTGTTCTGAAGATCTTTAGAAATCTAAGGAGATTAAAGATTTAAGTAAAAAGTATATATTCTAAAGTATATATTGTTCTTTTTAATCTAAGTACTATATTCTAAACAGTCTAAATTAACAGGTTTTATAGTACCTAGTACTAATACTATCTAGACTAAGGATAGACTTTCTGAGAGGATTAAAAATTTTATTATTAATGTAAATGTTGTAAGTATTATACTAATTTGTAGTCCTTTATTCTTTTTTCTTACAAAACTTATGTTTTAGACTCTAAATACTATCAAGTACAAGTCCTTTCATAATATACTTGTTTACTAGCAAGGTTTAAAGTATAAGCCATCTAATATTATTAGTCCTAATACTGTCAAATGTTATATTGAGTAATAAGTAAGAGAGATTTAAAATGAGCTTAAAGTCAATTTGAAGGTATTTTCTTTTACTTCTTTTTCATTAGTTACTCTTCTAATTTTAATATAGAATGCTCCTAGACTAGTATTCTTAACTTATAATTGCTAAACATTAGCTAATATAATAGTATATCTTAGTGTTACAGTCTATTAGCTTAACTCTAATTAGTAGTTACATACTCAACTTCTTATACTAGAAGTTATGACAAATGGCCACTCTACTAAAGCTCAAGCTGAAATGCTTTACAATATTGCTAAAAGATTTGGTATTACAAATAAGGTATGATTTTTTAATTATTTCTACATAATTATACAAGTATTTATACCTTTTTTTAACAAGTATAGTAGGAGTACTCTAAGTACTCTCTCTTATTAAGACATTAAGTAAGTGTCTACCTTATATACTATATAGTAAAGTCTAATAATCTAAGACATTCCAAGTGTAGTAACTCTACATAAGACAATTAGGGATTTCCTAATCTAGAGTATAATCTAATACTCCCTTTCAAGTATTAATTAAGAACTAGGACTGTATGTCTAATAGTTTGTTTAGATGCTTGATCTGTAGAATGTAGAGAGCCTTTGTAAGAATGTCTGCTAATTGGTTCTATAATTGAACATAATATACATTAATGTAATTGTTTTGAATGTAATATTACACAAAGTCTTTTTGTAAATCAAGATGTTTAGTATAAGTATTGTATATTATTTTGTCAGACTTTATAGTCTTTATTACATCTTGATTATTGTAATAAATTATAATAAGTACTGATTCAGTCTGTAGTACTTCTTCAGCAAATTGTTTGAGCCAAATAGCTTCTTAAGTAGTATATACTAGTGTGTTACAGTTCTCTACTCTTGTACCTTTAGTTCTAAGGGTTCTACACCCTTCTGTACTAGAACTCAGGACTTCTGTCTCTCAGGAGCACTGTTTATAAACTAT